TACAATACCTTTTTAACCAGATTGCTTTCCAATACGAACAATTCTTGCTTAAATAGTTTTTATAACGTATTTGTCAACAGGATTCAATTTATGTTTACAATTCAATATTAAGGTCATTATATATTTAGATAACATTTATAATCATTATAAATTAAATACATTTAATCATTAGATTTCTTCACAGTACTTTCACAGTTGTTTATAAGTGAATAAATTCTTCATTTCAAATACATTTATAAATAATTTAATGAATATTTAAGTATTTTGTCAAAGGCAGATACATGCTTTTTTGCAAGCACATGCATAAAATACCCCATACATATTTCCTATTTATCATTTCCGGCATGTGCAAATCTTTAATTTCTGTGCATTCACTATATTTTTCGTGTAAAGTAATTTACACTAATTTAGCATACACCCGAAAGTTTTACATAACAAATATATATGAATAAATTTGAATGAAATTATAAGTATTATTTTTAATACCCACTCAAAGGTCAGTTTTTCTTCAAAATTCCTCCACGGTGGCATCTCTCTCTTTAGGCAGATAGCCCTTGCATGCGTTACTCTATTTAATAAAAAACTTAATCTGACCTATGTGCCTAATTACAAATATTTTAACATACATAATTTTATATTTACATTTAGCCATCAAGTTTCAAACTTTTCAAAATCTTCTAGAAAATAAATTTTGGCAGATCTCTTTTAGCAATTTTCTTAAAATCTATATTTTTGTAGTGCAACAGCTTAGAATTTTATAAAACAAATTCATAATCAAAATCGCTGTTGTTAGTTATCGAAAAATAACCAAGATGTGATTTTTGCGTAAATGTTAGTAAACTATACAAATTGCTATTATCCATTACACTATGAATGTTTCTTTCATGCGAGAGTGTCCCTTTTTCGATTTCTATGGAATTGTCGTGTGTCGAAATACTATCAGAATCTTGTCAAGCGAGCTTCTGAATGTAAACAAAGAACACCCCGTCTGGTGACCCAAGCTTCAAAACAGTGCTTCACTTCTAGCGCGGAATGGCCCCTCCTCCTTTTCCTACCTCCATGGCCAACAGTCGCCAAAAACAAAATAACAATAAAGCAACCCTTGGTTCGCCCAAGGTGAAATATACTAGCCCGCCACCCGCCAGACACTGTGGTGGACGCTTTTCTTCTCGTGGACAAACAGTAGAAAAGTGGTCTCATTGGGAGGTACGAGACGTGATTCGTTCTTCTGGTCCAGTATTTGGAGAGCGGTCATACCCTTACTGCCGATCATTATTGTGACACTTAGACAAGGTTACGTGAAGCCATCCGACACAAGCGCCCTGGCATGTTGAGTGACGGTGTCAACTTCCTGCATGGCCAATGCCTGGCCCCATAATACTCGCCAAACTCAAAAATTGCTGCAAAAGTGTAAATGGAAAGTCTGGAGTATCCCCATATAGCCCAGATTTAACATCCAGTGACTATTTTCTTTTTTTCGAAATTAAAGAAACATTTATCTGGAATGAGATTCTCTTCAGACAGTGATGTGAAACACTCACGAGAATTGCCTCAGTGGGCAGGGACATGATTTCTGCAAAGCCAGGTTAAACAAATTGGTCATGCGTTCAGATAATTGTTTAAATAGATTTGGTGATTATGTGGGAAAATGATAGGCAAGTATGTTTCTTTTCTATTTTCTATCTATTTATTGTTAATAAAAAATGGTTTATTACCCTTATAACCGTTTTTTTCGACCAACCCTCGTATAATAACTCACTGCAAAACGTGAAACAGGTATAGTTGTGCAGCCATATTAGCTGACTTCTGTACCTTCAGTTCGCCAGGGCTTGAAAAATGTTTTTGGAAAGTATAATTTAATGTAGATATGTACGAAATCAGAATGATAAGCAACGGTGTGAAGTATGCGATTCAGTATCATAAATAAAGCTCTCGTCTTTCCCCAGCAATCCACTGTATGAGCACAAACAAGGATCGATGCTTCTTCCTATGATGCAATGATATGAAGAAACAAAAATTTTATAATTCTATCTTTTATTTTTTGTGATTTATTTTAATTTTTATGACAGTAACATTATTTCACGAATCTTATCGTGGCTAGGGACGCAGGTTTGGATCTGTCGTTAGGCACGTGATAGGAGATAGTACGAATTGGCCGAGCTTCGTCCTAGTTTTGAAAAAATAATACCCCGGCACACGGATCCGAGGGTCAGCTATGCCTCTCTCCCTTCCAAAGTCTCTCGAGAGGATTTTATGGTCGACAATATTTTAAGTGTCCCCACATCGCAAATACAAACATTTAGGCCTTTTCCAAAATTTGGACCCGGGTAGAGTCGTTTAACCAGCTAACAAATGTATCGATCAGGTGCATAATATTATGCAGAATAAATGTAGTGTATTTTTCACTGCTCTTCGTCTTTTCAACGATTAAAATAAAGTGTCAAATGCTTATAACGTTTCGTATTCCTTGAAAGCATAAAATGTACGAAATGTCGGAAGACTTAAAAGTGAATTATCATTATGTCTTGTAAAGTACCACAGAAACAGGGTAGAGGGTGTCAAGGACCTTTTTAATTAACGCATAAAAATTAACAGAAAGCACAACTTGTGCTTACAAAAGGCAGAATTTATGGCTTAAATCAAAGGATAGTTGAATCTATCTATTTGATTTAACTAGGCAGAAGTAAATTAGCCTAACGGCTACACAAATAGAGTGTAGCAAAAGTTGGTTCTGACCTAAAATCGGTGTGACAAGCCGAATGGCAAGAAAAATTTAGCGCCGCTGAAAACTACTCTCAAGAGAATCAAATTAGCAAGCTGGCTTTCAGCAGGCAGAACGCACTCTAATGCTACCCTTTAAAAACCTTCCTTTAAATACTATCTCTTTCTACCTCATTTGAATATCGTGGAAACTAGAAATTTACATTCTGGCAGGAAAGTGGGAAATGAAAAGGACAGGAAAGCAGTTTAATGTAAAGTAACTGGTTAATAAACTAAACAAGACTTTACATACTTCACTTTAACATGCAAAGAAACAAAGCATACTTTTAATGCACAATGTAGCGCAACTTTTGCTAGCACTTCGTTTAATGTTTTAATTCTTATTGTATGTATTAAATGGACGTTGCGGAAACCACAAATTTTAACAAATTGTTTTTCCAGGGCTCTTTTATTGCCACGAAAGTAATATTATGCATGGTATTCTTTAGTGTATAGACTAGATTACAATGAAGCAATCATGTTAATTACATTTATCTTTAATCTATAAAGAAGAGATAACATATGATTTGAAGTTAGGAGATATTCTGGCGTCCTAAACTTGCGTGGGATTCAGGAATCAACTTGAACGGAAATTAAGTGATAAAGATGATTAGAATCTTTGAAGCCGAGAAACATGCAATGTCGTTTATGCTGGGATTCGAATGATGGAAGGAAGCTAGATGGAACTAATTGCTAAATGGACATGATAATCACCTATGGGCATATGTGGTAATTTCTAACGAAACTTAGCTAAACAACCTGATAAAAACTTATTCATGAATTTAATTTCAAAATTGCTCGATCAAACTTAGCTTAGAGTAGCAGAACACGCAAAAATCAGTTTCCCAAGCAATCGCTTCTGGAAACAATACAGCTATGTATTTGAACAGATTTTGGATTACAGATTACGGACACTGCTCTCCATATGGCTTCAGAGTTTATCTATCGTACTACACTAGTGTGCAAAATTTAAGGATCAGATGGTTTGCAAATGTAACGTTTTTGAATGCAGAAGTGTTCCATATCGACCCATTTCACACCATGAGATCCCAAGATGTGAAAATATGCGGCAAGTTAGCAAAACCATCGAATTAAGGGATTAAAAGGCTAAAAGCACAAAACGTAGTTCTGACCGTAGCTGGAGAGAAGTACCAATGTCCATGTGATAGGCACCTGGCAAGAAAAATCCGATCTTCAAAAGCAGAATGATCACTCCTCACTACGATGCAGAAATTTCAATATCTCTCTGTCCATACAAAGACAAGGTCGTCAAGAATATGTTAAAGCATAGCAGCTGATTGATTCCTTCCGCAGCGTCAGTTCAGCTGCGGAATCGTTGCTGCGGCTAGTCATGTGCTCCCAAGCATCTCTCGAGAAGGGCTTAAATGCATTCTACGGGTTTTAGGCCCGCGGACCTTGCAAGCCAATCCATGCGTTGAATATTTTCATTCTCCAAGAGCTCTACCATAGCTACTGTATTATGAGGTGCAGCGTTGTTCCCCATGAAGAGGAATTCCAACCCACAGCACCTACAAACAAATGCACCTGAGGTAAGAGAGCCTCAAGGAATAACGGACACCGGTGACTAAAACTCCTTGCAAGATGTGGAACTGAATACAGCTGCCAAACATAATACCACTTCAGACGAGAATTCCGGTACCTCCAAAACTGTTCCTTTCGATGATGTTGGAGCAGTGTTCCCTTCTCTCTCCACATGTGTATACGTGGATCCATGTATATGTGTATATGTGGATAAGTCCAGAATCGTTCCTCAGATTAAATCGGGTCTTATCCGCAAAGAGCACTCGACCCTACTCGTATTGTGTCCATTTCTTCTGTTCCCAGTACTGCAGAAACCGGTGAGCAGGCGTTAATACCATACACCGTACTGGTTATCGTGCATACAGATCACATTTGTGCACTCATTATTGTATGCTAATTTCTCCGCCTCGCCCTTAACTTTTACAGAAAGTGTAGCTGGCGGATAAAACATTTAAGCAGCCATTTATTATTATTATTATTTTAATTTTTCTAATATTCCCAACTTAGAACAGAAGTATTTTCCGACAATTTTCTTTTCTTTGCGGCAGTCATGCATTGGGGGGTAAAAAAAAAAAAAAAATCTGTAATTTGCTCTTGTAATTATGATACTTATGATACGGACAGTTTTACTTTACATATTAAATTTTATGGGAAATTTATATAATTTGGGTTCTTATGACTTTTTTTTTACATTTCAGAAGCTATGCCAATGCTGGATAAGTTTAGTTCATTAATGAATATAAAGTCATTAACTTGCAACAGGACTTCCAGAAGACTCAATTCTGCGGCAATAATTGTCATGTAAGTAAAGTATTTCATTTCAGAATCTGTGGTTTTAATTAACTTCAATATATTACTTAGCTGCATATGCCTGGAGTGGTTCGGATTTTTCGAGGATAAAGGCTCTAGGTAAATAAGGATTGGTTATTCTTTGTACAAAACTGGAACTTAAGAAGAGTCAACAGACTAAGTTAAAAAAAACACTTTAATATATCCATTAGACTAGGGCTTCTTAAACTTTATTCAGTCGCGACCTCTTTTTGTCGTTGAGATTTTTCCGTGACCCCAGGACCCCATAATATTTGCGAAAATTTTATGGGACCCCATAGGCATTCCGCAAATCCGCCATACCACGTGAGTGAAACTGTCAATTTTTTCACTTGTACTGTATAATATACTATTGTAGTTTAGGTCATTAACTTTAATTTCTAATTTTAAGACATAGAACAATGTGAAAATTTTAAATAAGTAACAGACGAAATGACAGCGTCACGTGCAAAGCAAGTAAAACGAACGTTTATATTACAAAAAGAATGCGTCGAAATGTTTTCGTTTTTCTTTGTCTGTATTGTTATCTTATCTTTATCTATTTTCAGATACACTGTGTACAAAATATTTGGTAATTATAAAACTAAAATTATTATTTAAGTTAAAGAAATAAAAATCAAAACGGGCTTCGAGGTCTGGTGGCCAGCCTAACTGCTAAACTGCTAAAATTTTTGACAACCCCTGCTGCAGGTCCTGCTACCCCCTGAACACCATGGGGGTCGCGACCCACAGTTTAAGAAACTAGACTATATAAGAAACACACTTTGTAGATTAACTAAAAAACACTTAGCAGTAATTCATGAAGTGATTCAAAAAGCAATTCAGATAGTGAAAAAATTTCGAAAATGTTCTACTACTTACATATTAACGCAACCACTGTGTCCCAATATGGCGATTTTTTACAGATAAAAAGGTAGAATTTACTTATCAATCTGAAAGCTGGTGGTTTTGGGGCCATTTTTAAAAGAAGATTTCCACACTATTGATATTTGTCGTCAGTAAACATTATCAACTTATGACAAGGAAACACGCTTTAGCAATTTAAAATATAAATGTTAATTATTAAATAAGGATTATATTATACATTAAAAAGTAAAAGACTCAAATTCTTCTTTCTGCATTTTTTTTTTTTTTTTCCCGCCATTCTACGGCGACCTGTTTTCGTTTACAAAAATATCAGATAGTTACGGAGACTCGTCTTCGTCAACCATCAGCAACAGCAGCTGTTTAGAAAACGTGTTTCCTCGTTGTTTCCTTTAGAAAATGTTCAACAAAATTCTGTATTTTCACAAAGCTCATTCTTTGAAACTAAGTTTAAGGCAAGAAATATCATGATTTGTATATAAAAACCATTATTGGAACTTGGAATACAGTAAAAAAGAACGCATATGAAAACGGTGGCGTTGCTTGATTGAAAGACTGCTATGAGCATGGTTGCCGGAAGAAGGATTATGTGCATGGTTGTCGGGTATAGCATATTCTGTAAATTTGGTGACATCTACTAAGGTGGTTGCGTTAATACATAAGTATCCTAAAAACTTTACCACAGCTAATGTCAAGCAGTAACTTCATAAAATGTACCTCTTGCGGTTGACATCTTTCTTTAGAAAGAATTTAAATAAAATTTTCTTAATAGTCCATTTAATAAATGATATTCCATTTAACTAAGTGAATGGAGCATATATTCAAAATATTAGTCTATAAATAATGTTTTATTATTTCTTTTTGAAAGCTAAGAACATATATATGAATATATAAAACAATGAATTTAGTAGCGATAATGAACGTAAAGGCGCAGGCAAAAGTCAAAATATACTTAAATTTATCTTTCAACAATTTTCAGACTTCCAGCAAGACTTACTTGTGCAAATTTTGTAAGTTGTCCAAGAATGAATGATATATACGCTGAATGATATAGGAGTCTTCCTCAGCGTAAATACAACTTTTCAATTTTATATGCCTAAGGTATTAAAAATTCTGAATAAAAAACTGCCTTTGACTTAAAAGTGAAATAGTCAAACAAATGTACTTTAAAGATACTCATTGCATTCATAAAAATGTTTGTATTTTGGATGAAGTAAATTGTGTTGTTTCCTCATTTTCTGTATTCATCATTATCCGGGGAAAAAAAAAAAAAAAAAAAAAAAATGGATGGAATAAGTTACACATATCCAGAATGCATTGTTTTAAATGCATCCACTTTTAAGACTGCTTTTGAAAAACGCGTATAAATGAGAAAGATTTATAAAAGAGATTTAATTAAAATATTGTTCCGTTCTACGAGTTCGTGGATTTGGAGAAACTGACGATAACACTTGATGAAGAATAAAAACACAATTTATTCGCCAGTATTATACAGAAGAGTTCCAAAGATACGTTTACAGAAGTCGAAAAAAAAAAAAAAAAAAAGAGACAAAAACGTTGAAACAATCAGCAAGAATGAAGTGAGAACATTCTAGAATGCGTTCTAGAATGTTCTCACTCCGTCTATGGCATGTCGCCAATTTTGTTGCCAAATCTGGCAACATTGTCTTTCCCTGCCAATTTCTGGCACCCTAACTTAGCTTTGCGGGGAAGCTATCTCACCGCAGCTGGACATTTTGTAACAATATGCTAAGTATATTTTTGGTTATAGAATTTTAATGTTATTAGTGTACCACTGCATTATTACTTTAGTTATAAATGTTTAAATTTGTCATCCTACTTTTAGTTTGTTTAAATTATTACCTGCATTTTAAAAGTTAAGATATTTCTTTTCCCACTCTCTCCTTTTTTAAGTCATAAAAATTCAGACTATATAACATATAACAAAGATCAGAACGGATATACTTTTATTTCAGTTTCGCATTTTGAATAAAATTTATTCTTGGAAGATTTTTTAACATAGATACAGATTTTAACCATTTTTAAAAAGACAAAGTAAATTTTCAAGTGCCATCTGATATGCCGTTTGATTCTGAAGTTTAGATAAAGAATATATTGAATTCTATGTGAATTGAAATAATAAGTTCTTGAAACATTTTTTTTGTCGCTAACATCGTACAAAGAAATTTCAGACTGTGCCAAACAAATGAATTTCATCTTAGGTGGAATCATCATTTTGTTAAATTTTTTTCGCTTTCTTCTTCATCTGCGTTACTTAAATATTCATCCATCTGAAAACGCTGTTTCTAACTCTTGCAATTTCTTTAAAAATAGTCACTAGAAGTCACTAGATTAAAATCACATTTCCTCACATTTTAGTAATAAAATTAGGCTAAAAATTAGAATTGAAAAAATTTTTAAACCGGTCCTGCGCTATAGCTGCTGGACTGAAGTAGAATAAACTTAAAGCATACAAATTCATTATTAAATTGGAATAAAAGCAAGGCAATTCCTCTATGATATAATAATTGCAACCGTGTATGAGAGGTTTAACACAATATCAAAACAAATCCAACTAAAGAAAGAATTCATAGTAGAACAAACTCGAAAAATAAAAACGCGAAAAGAAAAATATACAAAATTATACAAATAAAAATTAATCTCCTTTCATTGAAACTCTAATTCAGAACTCATCAGGGGAAAATGAATTAAAGCTTCATAAAAGCCGACTAACATTTTTCCAAAATATGTTTCGTTCTCCTGGTTATATTATATTATATATATATATACTCAATTTTTTTCTGTACAAGAAATGAACTTTAATCCCAATCAAATATCTTGCATTATGTTTGATGACCTTTTACCATCTCTCTGGTAACTTCATAGTGCCACACTCCTAGAATTTCTGGTTTTCATCAGAAAAAAAACTCAACTAAGTGCGATTCGAAGTCATCTTTATTACTCAAATTTTCACCATTTAAGAAGTTTTGTAAACTTCAAAATAAATTATAATCCGATGGTGGAAGGCCGGAGCTGTATGAGGGATGCGATATCACTTCCCAACCAAGCACCAATAATTTCGCACGTGTTGCGAAAGATATGAGACGCCTCGCATTGTCCGTGGTGGAACACGATTCCTTTACGATTTCCCAATACTGGCCTTTTGCCTTTGATGCCTCCTCCAATTTCATAAGTTTCATGGCAGTAAACTTCTGAGTTGATCGTTTGTTTGCTTGGACGCAGATCAAAATACAACACTTTTGTAATCCCAGCAAAATAATGGCATAAATCTTTTTCTGGTGCAATTTAGCTTTCGGTATGATTTACGCTGATTCACCATGATATTTTCAATTAATGTCAAATCCATTTTTCATCATCAGTGATAATTCGCTTCAAAAAAGGGGTCGACTGCATTACATTTGAAATGCATATCTCAAATATTGATTCGCTGCGTTAAGTGAATTTCTTTCAATCATGCGGACCCAAATATCGAGCTTCTTACGGAGTCCAAGACCTCTTATGTGACTTTTAATTGTTATTTTAATTGATGCATTTGATATTTTTGCAATCCCTAGCACAGTTATATGACGATTTGATTCAATTTTGGCTTTAATTTTTGCAATCATCAACTTCAGAAAGTTGTCCAGAATATTGAGCATCTTCAAGTGAAAAATCTGTAGAACGGAATTTTTTGAACCAATTCTGACACGCGCCGTTCTGTCAAGCAATCAGCACCATAAACTTCACATATCTCATTGTGATTCTCGGCCACTTTCTTGCCTTTATGAAAATAAAAAAGTACAATATGTCGAGAATATTTATTTTTGCATCCCATGTGAAAACTGACCGTAACCTAACAGTTCGAAACATAAATATAAGGAATTCGTTTCTGTAGCAGTTTGGAACTTTTATACTTTATTTATTTAATATAGTGATTTAGAATTTTTTTAAAAAATGTACTCTAATATTTCATTGTTGCTTCATGATTTCAGATGTTTGATGTCCTTTTTCTGTTTACTGGCAGTCTTAGGAAGTTCTATAACGATATACGAGCATTACTGTATAAAGAGAAATGCATTGTCAAGTAATCCTGTTGGTGACTACCAAAATACAAACCAGATCAATGGTGAAAGCAGAAGTAATACACTAAATGTTGATGACAAGCCTTCTCAAAGTAATCCGGAACCAGAAGAAAATGTTGCTCAAGGTTATATTTTTCTCTTTTAGAAATTTTACTTTAAGCAGCATTTTTGCTAAATAATAAATGAATATTTTTAAATGTCATTACGAAGTAGTCAGTAATATTCCATATTAGCAATTTGTAAAATGAATGCAAACTTCAGTAGTTTGCAAATGGAACTGTTTATTTTTCTATTTTATAAAATGAATTTTTTTCTTTTCGGAATTTGAAAATTGATCGCACAATTCTGGTTTACTGAGTGGTGCATGCAGTAAAGAAAAAAATAAATCACTAAGAAATCACTAAAGAAAAAAAAATTTAAAAAAATTCAGAATTTTTTTATTGAGATCTTTTGCATAGCAGTACAGGGTTATTATAAATGATTGCTAGGATTTCAAAACATCGAACTTTTAAAAGTATTACCCATACAATAATAACTTATAAGGTATTTTATGTTAATCAACCCATTATACAATTTCTCCCTTCATTAGCTCTCACAAGAGCGTAAATGATTCACATCTATTTAAGACAAGAGTTTTGAAGGTTTCCAAACAGAGCTTTTGGCAGCGAATCTGGGGCTTTACTTTTTATCTCCCAGCTCTGTCAGTTAGAATTCCAACATTAGCCATTTTGATAGAAGTTGAATCGCGGCATTAAAGTTAAGAGCCACCTTATCGAGTTCAAATTGTATAGTCTCCGTCTACGAATGCATTTTAGGTTGCATTTTCAATTTTCTGTTTCATACCGTTTAATTCATGTAATTTTTTATTATCTTTTAAGTACTTTTTTTTTTCTTTTTATGTTTATCTCTCTCTGTCTCTTTTTTTTGCCCAATAAAATTTCCCACTGGATGTGGGAAATTCAATTCTGCATGGCTCGACCTAGGACGGATGTCATCTTGACGGTGTTTAATACCTGCAGGTGGCGGAGTTTAATTGTCTATACAATCTGTGACTTCTATTAAATTCAAGTTTAACAAAAAGGTTAATTTAAACCCTTCATAGAACTTTGTCGTATTTACGCAGATGGAGCGATAATTCTCTTAGCAGTCTAATAGTGCTCGAAAGACATTTTAGTTAGTATTACACAGTTAGGATCCTATAAATTGATAATTCAAGACTTGGAAATTCACGAAGTTCTCCTCACTCACAGCTAAGTAAACTATCACTGAAACTCATAGCACTTGCACTGATTAAAAAGTGATATTAATCAGCTACAGAAAAATAATGCTAGAAATCTAACAGAAAAATAATGATAGAAATCTGATATAATTTGGCAAAAAAAGGAATGGTACTTTTGATTCGATAATTCCTTTTCCTATTACTAAGCGGAACTAAATTAATTGCATATACTTTTTTCAGAGTGTATGAATCAGTTGTGCGTAATCGCATGGTTGTAAAGTGAAAATGTGTGGCAATAATATGGTTGCTATAATTATTTTGATTTCCATGAGTAAAATATTAACTGAAGTCCTTTAAAATCTTTTCCAGTGATGTTTGAAAAATGCAAACCTTTTCTAAAATGTTTTTGCCTACTTACCAATGGATCTAAATTGCTAAATACGAACAAAACTGAAGGGCAGTTACTTTGCGTTCATGGAATTAGATTTTTGAGCATGGCATGGGTCATTCTTGGTCATACTTATGCAATGTGCATCACTACAATGAGTAAGTCATTAAATGCTTGAAATGTTTATTTTTAATGTGCTATATTTGCCTACTCTGTAGTATAGTGAATTATTTTTTTAAAACTCGCTCTTAAAAAAAAAAGGTTTAAAAAGATTATTAGTGCTCATAACCGAAAATATAGACATATCAAAACCAAAACCTTTCTTTTCTCCATTTATCTCACGTTTCTGGTCCTGAAATATTTATCAGAATTTCCCTTAGAAAAAAATCATTGCATTATTCATCAAGAAGCTTTGTGCGTAAAGATACTTCCCGATGATGGTAAAGTTCTATCAAGGTTTTTATTTCTAATCGAGCAGATAAAAGAGTTCATGCAATCTAACCCTGACAAATTCAGTAAACACATTGGAAAACTAAGTGACTCTTTGTGGCTACTTGATCTGGCTTTCCTCGCCGATATCACTGAGAACTGAACATTTTAAATCTGGATCTTCAGAGTAAACACAAGGAGCTGGCTCAAATGATGGGACATGTGAAAGCTTTCAAAACCAAATGGAAATTATGGATGTCTAAAATGATATCAAAGTCCCTGGTTCATTTTCCAAACACTAAAAAATGGCGAATGACGACAGTTTTTTATTTTTGCGATTTCCCGACCATCTCGAGACGCTTCTGGACCAATCTGAAAAGCGATTTCAAGATTTCAGTTGCCTGGAGCCAGGGCTGAGCTTTTTTGCCAACCCATTCTCCATTCACCACGAAGCAACTGAAAACGCCACAGCAATTGCAAGAATTATTGCCGCAGAAGTGGAAAACCTCGAGCTGGAAATATTCGAACTGAAGAATGATATTATCCTCCAAACACATGCCACAGATGTAGCCTTCTGGAAGCTTGTGGAAAAGAACATGTTTCAATTATTAAGAAGTGTTGTATATAAAATCAAGTCTTGTTTTGGGTCTACCTACCTCTGAGAATATCTATTTTCAACCTTGAACATTATCAAGTCGAAGAATTGGAGCAGGCTCACTGATTCGCATCTTGACAACTGCTTGCGTGGGGGAACCTCAGCGTATGCATGTAACGTACATATGTTGGTGGACGAAATTCAGTGTCAAAAATCGGGCAACACCGTAAACAGAAGAGACACGACTATATTATAAGTAATAAACACCTTGTGCATGAAATGTATATTCTGTTTCTATCTGGATCCATTTTTTCGATCTTCTTTACGAGGACGCGTTTTTTTCTTACGGGCTAGCGTTAACTAGTAACGTAATAATATCGCCAAGGGATGGCCTGAATCTCACCGGGAATGGAAATATTATATGGTGCCCGCTTCACTTTCTGAAACTGCCTTGTGTGCCCCAGCACCAAAAAAGCTTGAGTATCACTGCCTTAAAGCATGGGTGTCTAAACTATGACCGTTTGAGAGCCGCATTGCAAAGAAAAAAATTTGAAGGGCCACACATACGATATTTTTTAGCACATTGAAATAAAAATTAGATCTACTCGTATGTTGTTTTATTAAAATAAATTAACTTCTTTTTATTGTTATGTTTTTAAATTTGAATTAGATATGTATAAATGCATATTTATTATTAATTTGTAAAAGTTTCGTTTCATTTAGTTTGGATTTCATAAAGATGGAAAAAATTTTAATTAATGAGATGGATGAATTTGCTTTTGTTGAACAAGCAAATCGTTATCGGGTTCAATAGGCGAAGTTGCATTCTGAATGCATTTTCAACATGTTTGTCAGTGATCTTTGTCCAATTTTTGCTTTTTGCATGTTTCATTCTCGAAAATAATAGTGCACAAATATAGGTACTTCCAAAAGCTGAAGACATTAATAAAGCATTATTGTGAAAATTAGGATATTTATCGGGGGGGTGTGGGGGTAATCTTTATCTTTATCCCAGTCCAGTAAAAACTTTTCAAATTTTTTTTTCTTTCAATTGAATGTCACTTTGCAGCTCAATACATTCCATTTGAAGATTTCAAGGTGATTTACTTATTTCGAGAGAAAATGGAGTAGAAAATATGTTGAAATACTCTTCATTTTTTCGAAAATCTTGAAATCTACTTTCAAACTCTTGAATTAAATCAAAAATTAATGCAGCACATTTTATATGTTTTGTGAAACTCACAGGTTTATGTGCAACCAAAGGACTGAAATGTGCCGAATCTTTTATTTGATTGTGCCAAAATTTTAACTTTTTTCTCAAACGCTTTTATTGTTTGAAACATATTATTAATAAGTTGATTTTTTTTCCTTGAAGTCTCAAATTTAAATCATTCAAATTTTCTGTCAAGTCTAACAAAAAAGCTAAATCTAAAACCCAATCTTCGTCTTCAAATTCAGTCATAGGTTTCCCTTTTGTTTTCATAAGTATTTTTATTTCAGTTCTTAAATCGTAAAATCATTCGAGCATTTTCCCCTACTCAGCCATCTTACTTCTTATCTTAATAAATACGAGTAACATTTGCAAATTCAGTGTCCATTAACTTCAGAAAATCTTGACTTTGTCTATGATTAATTCTTTTCGCTCTTATAAAGTTAATGGTTTTTATAACAATGCTTAATACACTTTCCATTTAAAAAAATTTTCCACATAAATTGCCCTGATTACAATACAATAATATGCCATTAAGATCGTATTGCCGGCAGCGACAGCTTCATTATTAACCATTTTAACGAGTCCCCATTTTTACCAACCATGGCAGGGGCTCCATCGGTTATGATAACTGATAAATTTTTCATAGATAAGGAAAACCTTTTCGTCATCGTTTTTAATGCATCAAATAAATCTACAGAGTTGATTGTGTCTTTTGACGATACTAAAGCAACCATTTCTTCCGTGATATTATAATGCTCATCGATTCCTCTGATAAAGATTGCCAATTGTGCCATATCAGAAGCGTCAGTGCTTTCGTCCATGTCTAACAAGTAATATTTAAAATCGATGCATTTGCTTTTTAAAGGCTTTTCAATCGAATTCCCCAACTCTACAATTCTTGTGGCTATAGCTTGGTGTGATAAACTGATTTTGCAAATTATGTTTGCCACACTTTTCATACATTCTTTTATAAATTCGCCATCAATAAAGGATTTTGATTTTTGTGCTATTAAATTTGCTACAACATAACTTGCTTTTGCAATGTTATTATTTTCAGTAGCTGTCTTTTTTTAAAAAAATTTGTTCCGACGTTAGCCCTTTCTTTAGCTCTGCTATTTTATCTTTACAGAAAATGCCGACCTATACATCATATTTTGTGGCATGCTTTTGACTATGATATCGTTTCAAATTAAACTTTAAAAACTGGCACAAAGTCCCTACAAATTGATCAAAGTGCTTTACTATTCTCCTCAATAAAAAAGTATTTCTCCGTCCAGTTTTCATTAAAATATCTTTTTTTCATCTTCGGTTTTTCTTTTTTTTATGTTCTGCTTGTTTTTTTAATGACATGGAACCATCTAAAAAATAATATATTTTAATTTTATAAGCAAATATCCATAATGAATATGAATTATTCCTACCTTTTTAGGAATTTGATACAAGAATTAGGAACTTGAAGTACAGTGCATTAATATTTGTGTGCTTGAAGTACAATATTGCATACAAATATTGTAATTCGTCAAAAATTTGCATACATATTTAAAATTTTTAAAAGTTGAGTAAAATGACATTGACAATTAACAGTTGATTATTTTTGGAAATATAAAATCGAGTGGATACACACATAATTCAAAATATAAATTCTCAAGTGCGATAAAATATACCACATGGAACGGTTTTAGGATGTATTTAAATACTTTACAAATTGTGAACTTTTGTGAATTGCAAAAAGTATAAATTGAACTACATGCTAACTAGTTTGTATAGCTAATAATATTACTTATTATTATTACTTATCAACATGAAATTCTGGAAACGCAAATGACAAAGACAGTTCCCGCAAGAATGAAAAAAACAATAGTACTCCTTTATAATGATATAAACCAAGAGATGAATTACTATTACAAACTATTACTATAAATTGCAGTAAATTCATCTTTATCAACAATTTTTCCTGACCAAATTTTGTATTTCGTACTCTGCTTATTGCTTCTTTGTTTGTTTTGCAGAGACAGAGGGTGTATAGCATTTAACTTTATACTGCATTATTAATTGTTTATGTAAATTTCGTAAATTTTCAGATCTAAAATCAAAATGTACACAGACGGTAGAAGTATGTAGCGCCATCTAGGTGCAAAACAAGACGTGAACTATGAATATTATAATATTCTTAGCGTGCACGGAGAAAAAGCGGGATTCGCATTAAAAATAAGAGAAGTGAACTTACGCACGCTCTTTTCACGTGACCTGTATTACAAGACAGATTTCGCATCCCGTGGAAATCGCGGGACCCGTACGCGGAGAGTTTTAATACATCATGACATACTAAGATGTTTTTATTTAAATTTTTATTTTAAAATAAATGTCAACGAATCAGTTATATAGTATGAATCAAATTCAAACATTTATTTTTTTTTTATAAAAATTTAAATACTTTCATAATTTGCGTTTGGACCACATTTTAAGGACTTTTGGACGCACTTTAGACACCCAAGCCTTTAAAGGTTAACATAGGTTCGGAAATTAGATTATGTGCCATAAATCTCTTCTTTGAAAGTTATTAAAAAACTTACTTTAAAGCAGTGGTTCTCAACCTATTTTGCCTCATGCATCCCTTTCACCATCGCTAAAAGATAATCCCCCTTTCCTTCTCTAAACTCGAAAAAACACGTTATATCCAAAACTACCATAAACAAAAAACTCACTTGGCCTTTTAAAATAGTTTTAAATAACAAAACATAATTAAAATGAAACATTACAATAAGGGCGTTATAATTACACATTTAAGTTACAAAGTAAATCTCGGGGAACAACATGCTTAGTTCTTGACTCCAGTGCACCGACTGAAGGCTATTATCTTTTTTGGCCGGTGTTTCTTCCGGAGGCCGCTAGGTGGCGCTCATTGAGCCGTGGGGTTACAACGTGCATTTATTTAGATTCAGATTATTTTTTAACGTGTTTTTATAAACTAAACAGGAAAAAGTATAGAAAATGTTGCTAAATAACAAAACTTAAATAAAAGGGTTTCTTTTATATTCATAAGCTAAAGATAAATATGTTACAGCTAAATACAGCTAAATAAAAGCTTGACCGCATTTTCCCTCTTGAAACTATGAATCCTTCCCCCCCCCCCCAAGGACGAATTCTCTTCTAACTGAGAATCCCTGCTTTAGAGTATATCTTAACTACGTAAAATTAATATACATCATAAACCTATCAAATATGAATTTCTTTTTATATGTGTTATGATATCAAATGCATTTAATGCCAATGACTTGTATTTTAGACTTATAATTTCTACGGGAAAATAAATATTTTTGGAAATCAATTTATATTTTTATAATGCAATTATTTGTTAAATGCATTAGATGGATATTTGTTTTTGATTTTTTTTTCATAATTTGTTTGTGTGTTATATCTGTTTTCAGTTAGCATAATTATCTGCGTTTAATATTATTTGTAATGCAATTTAAAGAACGTCCATTGCAAATTCTGGAATTTGTTGACAATTGGCCTTTCCAAGTAGTTCTTCAAGGATTTTTTGCCGTGGATTCTTTTTTTGTATTAAGGTAAGAAATAGCGGCACCTGCATTTTATGTGCTCATAATTTGAACTTTTATTTCATATAAAAGTACTACTTTTAGTTAAGAGAATGAAAACTAAAGGTAACATGCATTTTTATACTTTTCTTCCTTTTAAATTAAGGATTCAAGTAGTTATGACAATTCAAGGCATGTTCCTGCATTTATGTTAGGCAGAATAACCTTCGCTTGTTTTACTGTTGGCTTATCAACCAAAACAAATCGACGCTGATCAGTTTGTTTTATTAACAAAATACAGTACACTGATCTGTGGCTCATTAATATTTATTTAAAAATATCCCTTCAATTTATATTTGGAATTCATATAAATATAAGAATATGGCGTTATTGTGTATAACGTAAATATAAATTAAGCTGAATTTAAACTATTAAAAGGGATGAACTACTATTACAAACCATTACTATAAATTGCAGTAAATTCATCTTTATCAACAATTTTTCTGACCAAATTTTGTATTTCGTACTCTTCTTATTGCTTCTTTGTTTGTCATGCAGAGAAAGAGGGTGTATAGCATTTAACTTTATACTGGCATTATTAATTTTTTATGTAAATTTCCTAAATTTTCAGTTCTAAAATCAAAATATACACAGACAGTCTAAGATCCCTGAGCAATGGTAGTTCGAACCGCTTTCAAATTTCTATTAAATATTCAAATATATGGGATGTTTCGTGGTTCTTCTACCCCCGTTTCATGTGTTACGTATATACGAGCAAGTTTCTCGTAAAAAGGCCTTTCTTAAGATAGCCCATGTGTCAGGTAAACAGCCCTAGTTTCGCCTTTTATTTTCAAAAATAATGACAAGTTTAAACTTTCAATATAATTAGTAGCATGGTATATTTCGAATCATTAACGTGATAAATTTTTACATTTATACAGATTTACTTTTTGTAACTACATTTTAAAATTTCTTTATCACATTATCTTTATATAATGCTATGTAATTTTTTGATATTTTTATTAAACTTTATTATTTGTGTTTATTCTTTCCTCTGTCTTTTAATATTAAATATTCTACCCCCCTTCTAAAAAAGTTATTTTCATATTTCTTCCTGTCATAAATTTTACTTTCATATCTTTCTTTGTTCTTAAGTTGACTCTTATTTTTCTTTTTAATTTTATATTTAAATATTTCCTTATTTTTTAACATTTACAAGTGTTACATTTCTCTAATTCGCTTGTATTAATATTCAAATTCTTTTCTTATTTTGCTTTTTAAAAAAGTTATGAAAACTTCATATGAATAACTTCTACTCATATTATTATTTCCAGTAATTTCGAGAAGCGGAAAGGTACTAGAAATATCTCGGCGACCGGCTGAAAATTACATAAGGCCAGAAAGAGCATCTGCACTCAGTTCTTTAGTTATTGTTGTTAGTTCAGCGTGAACTGAGATATCCCCGGGTTAGCGTTTTCTTTAGATGCGCTTTGCATTGCTTTGTGTTTAACGTTCGTAGTAGTTTGAAATGTAACTATTGATTGTACTTTGTGATACTGTGAACACGTGTACGAATATTTCTGTAGAAATTTCCAGAACTTTGAAGTGCTTTTTTCGATAAAAATAAATTTTATTAACCTATCATCGGACCTGTGTGCATTCAACCTGTTACGAACTCGTACGCACGCAACAATATGAAGGAATTCTGGAAGTTTAAATTATGTTTAAAATTAGCAAGGTAGTTAGTTAGCCAAGGTTTCCACACTTCGTTACCGAAATGCACGTGGTAGAGCCTGTACGATGTCAGGGAAAACACAATTGGCAGTATAGAAAACCGCACGTTCCTTGCAGTCACACTTCATCTCTCCTTCCACCCAATGTATTTAAGCATTACTATTATTATTTACTTCGCTAATTCGCTACCTTCTTTGGTTTAAAAATGACCATGAGTATTATACAAAAAGAATAAATAATAAAATAATAAGATAAAAATAAGAAGATACTTCTGCCACAAAACTCCGGTAACCTGCCTTATCGTTGCATTTTCAACTAATAAAAGTCATTGCAAATACTCCTTTCTCCCGTTGTTACAGTTGTCGTTGTATCTAAAATCAGGTGTTCGGGAGTGCTATGTTAAAATTATAGCATCGCCTACCTGGAATTCTCATTCGATCCCAAGTAAACTGGCTGGTTATATGGTTCGTTTTCATGATTTTACCCAAGAAAAACACGAACACGTGCTATTTTCTTTTAGAAAGTCATCCGCGAAGGCATCCCTCCCTTTAAATATATAGCCCTCGTGTGCTTTGTCATATTAAAAAAATCTGATGTGTACACCTTGCCCGGAATATTAAATTATACGCATTTTTATTGTATTTCATTTAAACTTATTGGACTGAATTAAATCCACATCGTCGATAGCGCATAAACCACAATAGAATAAATGCACTTTTTAAAATTCACTATATTTGTTTACCATAGCGACACTATGGCGCTAGGTTCACTTAACAGCGTTACATTTCGTCCATATTATATTATAATTCAGAATGCATATAAATTTATATCATTTGAAGAATTATCTAATCGTTGCCACATGTTCTATTCAAATACTATAATAAATCTAAAACGAGGTATAAAATAAATTAAGCAAACAAAACAAGAAAACCAACAGTTTTTCGCAGATGACTCAGTATTTCTCATTCAATTAATTTAGTTCTCACTTCCTGACAAGGCAGAAATACATAAAACTCAAAATATCTATATTAAAAATTATGATGTAAATCTTAAACACTTATTTCTTCGAATAAATTCCAGAATGGATTAAGCATGATTTAATTCGCAATAATAAAAGAAGGCGTTATCTTTGTTATTTCGAAGCTTAGTTTCTCTAGATTGGCAACAAATCCGCTATTTTACCAAGTTTGAAATGTAAACAAACATGTCCGCCGTCGCAAAATTCATTAGGCTTAACTGCACTTAAACAAGTTTTAAATTGTTGATAACTTCACAAATATTGCATGCAGATTTTCTAAAGGCATAAAAACCTTAACCGGAAGATAAGAACAACATAATCAATCATTTTTAAAGCAAAAAATGCACAATTTACAAACATATAAGAATAAAGAAACTGAGCTCACTAAGCCGAGTGACAGAGTGGATATATACATATTTATATATTTTTGGTGCGGCCGATTGCAACCAAAATACGAGGTGCACATCTACATATTATAGCAGTCCTACATACAAAATTTCAATGTTCTGAGGCTATTCGTTTTAGAGTTATACATACGTAAATACGCACGCACAGATGCCACGAAAAATTCCTTCAGAATTAATTTTAAATCAGTTTTATAATTTTTTTGGGGGGAAAGAATCTTTTATTCTGTCCTTACTTGCGGTTGTACGCAAAAATATAATTAAATTGCATTGGATAGCGGTCAAAATCGATAATTTCTTTGAAATATGATACTCAAAATTTTTCGCGACTACAATACATCCTTTTTACTTTGTACAAGGAAGTAAAAATGGCTATACTCCAATAATTACTAATTTACTAATTCAAATTAAATTGTTCTTAGAAGTTTATGTATATCATATTTTTAAAATCTTTTCCCGTTTTAATTAGTTTTCTCAACTAACTGCCCACAATTAGGCAAGTCCCGCCCAAATAAATAAATAAATAAATAAAATAAAATAAAATAAAAAGCTGTTAATGTATTGATTTGTATAGCAATGGTAAAATTAGTATATTTATTATAGCTAATAATTTGTTTTTTCATATTTGCTAATATTTTACTTAATATGTATGCTGTACTTTTCAGTGGATTCTTATTGACTTATCTTTTTATGCAAGAATGTAACAAGAGAGATGGCAAAGTGTCTTGGATTTTTTTTTATGTTCACCGATACGTAAGGTACATACTATTTCTGTGACTAATTGTGTTTCTATAAAAGTTTAAAAAGAATTTCAATAAATAATTAACGGATAATATTCTAACAGTTATTACCTTTTATTATATTATTTTAAGGCAATTTCTTTACATGGCAGTGTATAAATAAAGAATAAAATTATGAAAACACACAAAATTAAAAAAAAAAGTGTCATATTGTGCGAATGTGAAAGGTTTTATTATTTGCACTGAGCTTATCGAATTTTAATTGCATCCTTTATTTCTTGCTTTCATTGAGAGAAAAAGATCACGTTGAAAAATAAATAAAATAAATAGTCTAAGGCGGGAATATAACCAACTCCTGGGCTACCGAAGCCTCGCAACAAAATTCTTATAACATCCATTCTAAGTAATGAATGACTGGTATATAATGTCGTTTCTCCACTGAATTCAAATGATTTCGTTAAGCAAATGTGATATTATCGGATTCACCTCTTACCAGTTTGATTATTAAGTAGCTTGATAAATAAATGTCTTAGTCGCTTTAAAGTAATAAAGCATCAGTCAGATGCAGCAAATGAAGAATCAAGCTACTTAAATACTTGGCGTTTTATTGTCTGCCTCTTTTATTATTGTGCTTTTTTTTTTTTTTTTTTTTTTTCTTAAATAAATCCACAAGAGAAGGAAAGGTTACCGTAAATTTTAGCGTAAACATTTATCCATCGGCAAGAAGCAGGCTAACCTTTGGTACAGGGGCGGATGGCTGTGATTTAACCGACTCGGCCAGTTTGCATAAATGTATCAGAACGTTTTCGAAAGTTGATCATTGTTCACCAAACTGCATGGGTGTCGGGTATTAAAACACGAAAATTTGCCCGACACCCTTTTTCAAGCTCAGTATATACCATGAAGAATGCAAACTTCGTTTATTCTTTCTTCTGTATTTCAATATTTAACATTTTATTCCCCTTCCAAAAGAATATTGTTTTCATAGTTTTTCTTATCATAAATTTAATTTAATATCTTTCTTTTTTTAATTTTATGTTTATAAACATAAAATCATTAAGATTCTGGGATACGCATGTGAAGACTTATTTGCCGACTTGAATAAAGATGCCACATCTTTTGCAAGTTAACCATTTTTCATCAAGAGATATTGTATGCCCTGCAATCTTATGAAGTTCAATTTTTACCGTGAAGAATGTAACTTTCATCAAGGTGCCGGGACGCCCATCTAAAGATCAATAGTTGATGACTTCAATAAAGGTGCCGCCAGCGGTACGAATTTCAGTTTATATCATGAAGATTGCAGCCTTTTTCAAGATATCGGAGAGTTTCCTCGAAAATCGAAGTAAGCAATCGTCGACATGGACGAAGATGCGAACAACCATGTCCAAGTTAGTCATTGTTCATCAAGACGTGAGGGGTGCTTGGCATCCTTATGAAGTTCAATTTACACCACGAACTTTCATCAAGACGCCGGGATGCCGATGGTCAGGTATTTATTTTCGAGAATAGTCACGGACGTGCGTAAAGGTGCCGACACTCTTATGTTCAGTTTAGAACATGGAGAAAGCAACTTCTATCAAAGTGTCATAGCTCTATATGATGGTTTCTGTTTTGGTAAAATCTCAATCACAAAGGTGCCAGCACGTCACGTTACACAAGAGGGTCACTGTTTGCTTGTGATGTCCTGTCATAAAGGTGCAAGCACCCTTACAAACTCGGCATCATTATTAAGTTTAGTTTATAACTTGAAGAAAACATTTTTCTTCGAGATACTGGTACCTTTATACCAGAGCATCTTTAATAGGTGTCTTGGCGAGAAGCTCTCATATAGGTGCAAGCATCATTATGAAGATTCATTTTTTTACTCGGTGAAAGCGATTTTTTTTTAAGTCGGAGTACTTTTATGATGGCATCTATTTGGACGAACAGTTGGCGAACTGCATAAAGGTGGCGGCATCTTCAGTGACATGGCAGTTATCGAAGCCGCAGGAAATTTTCCTAATTCTCTATAACCTCTTTCCCTCCTGCTTTCGTAACTGAAGCTAGATAGTTACTACTGTAAATCACCAATATAATCTTCTTGATTAAAATAAGTTGCTTATGATAAGATAGTTAACTTTTATTGTAAGCCATTAATTCTGGAATCAGACTGCGAGGCGTAACTATTTTATTTTACGAAGTTTTTGAATCTAACCCCGTTCCAAAAGTCTTTAGTTGGAATTTAATTTAAATTAATTCTTTTACGTAAACATACATACGTTTAGGCGTAACTACATAGTCTGCAGTTGCTCATATAATTCTTGAATTGTGAACTTATTTGGAAGAAACAGGATGCCTGCCACAAATTTTATGGATCTTTACACCGCAAAAAAAAAAGACGATCCTAAGCATCCTAGCCATTCGAGACCAGGCCTATCGGTGAATCTTTCTTCGTTAACCTCATATTGACCACAAGGCAGTAACACCATATTAACATTATAAATAAAAACATACCGACGAACAAACAAAATTACTGTACTTTAATTTGCTATTTTATTCAACAATTTATACTGAAACTGTATTTCTACAAGATAGGATATCTTTTATTCTTCCGTAGTAAAATCAGTCTCCATTCATGGACACTACAGATTTTTTTCAGTACAGTTCCATTTAATATTTTCCTTGTTAAAATGTGTATTTCGATATTTATTTGTTAATGTTGGTAATTAATTCATTAACTATAGCAGTTGCCTTATATTAGGTGGTGTGGTGTATTTAATTATGGCAAAGCACACTAGGGCTATCTGCCTAAGGGGAGGGATGCCTTCGTGGAGGACTTTCTAAGGGAAACTGGCTCGTATACACGTTACACATGGGGAAAACCACGAAAACACCCATGCAGCCAGCCCGTTCGCGGGATTCGAACCTCGGACCGAACTACCAGTGTTCAGCGACTTTACCGCTCGGCCGCTGGTGGGCTGCCTTATATTAGGAGTTGTAAATTTAAATTAATATCCAGCATTTCACTTAAATAGAAAGCCAAAATTTTCAATGAGTTCTGAAACACTGTCACTCTGAATTGGCCTTTTATTCATTTGTAATAAATTACAAATAAATTACTCGAACTTTTACACATTTTAATTACCCTACCATATGTAGTTAAAATGCAATATTATAATAAACTAAGAGTAAATTTTTTGAAGTTTTATGAATTTAATGACGATTAACATAGCTGATGTAATATAATTCGCAATAATTGTTCGCTTGGATTAATATGCTTGTCAAATTTGTTTCAGGCTTACTCCAGTATACATGATGACAATTGCTTTTTCTGCAACTGTTTATTTCTACTTAGGATCAGGTCCTTACTGGTCTAATTCAGATACCGATGGAAGTTGCAAAACCTACTGGTGGTGGAATATACTTTACATAAATAATTTCGTTGAATTCACGAAACAGGTAACTCATTTACATTGACTAGATTTAATAGCAGCATTTTGTTTAGCAATAATGTGAAATATTATATCAAATTACATTTATCGAATATATAGACAGCGAAATCGGATTTTACCTGTTAAATATTTGATTTAGAACTCAACTTCTGTTTCAAAAATAGTGTTCATGATAAAAATGTCATCATATCATTGCTTAATATACAGGGTGACCATGATTTTGATCGTCGGATAACAAAATTAAATTGGAACGTAATTTTACGAAGTAATCATAGATATAGTTATAATAATAGCCACAGTATTACTGTATCTGTGGAAGTAACAGATGAAATAATTTATATCGATATAATCTTTGCTTCAAGGAATTTCGTTTGCTCTAATTTTTGGGAATGGCAGCAGAAAATTCGTTTGTTTACAGACAAAATGGCAACATGCATTAAAAAAGCAATGAGCGTCCTCTGGTTATGGGAAACGAAATACCCGAAATCAGTTTGGAGGCGATTCCGACATGAATTCAATAAACCTCCCTCGACGAAGCAATTAATAAAAACATGGTTAAAAAACTGTTTCGAAAGACCGGACATGTTTTGCATAAAGGAAGTGCAGGTAGGTCAAGCGTCGGTAATGAAAATATTTCCGTCGTTCGAGATGTGTTTGGTGCAGCTTCAGTAAAACCATTCTCAGTGCCAGCTTGCAAACAGGAATACTCATCTCGACAGTTGAAACTGACAAAAAATAAACAGTTGAAACTGACTGCGCATAATTTTCAGATTTGTTAACAAATCAAACTTAACGATCGAATCGTTTGTAAGGAATTTTCTGTAGACGTCTTGCCAGTACCGGATATCTCCTTTCTTAGAGATTTTGCTACAAAATTCTATATTCTTGCAGAAATTTTACGTAGTTTCTAACGCTGCTGGCAACAAAGGAAAAACTCAACCACTGCGGCTTAGAAATCTTCCAGGTGAAATAACGGAAGACAAGCCTACTGTAATCGGCAAGACGTACAGAATATTTTCGCAAAGAACTATAGTGCTCGAAGTCTGTAACTGATAACTACAGACTTACGTTTACTGTGACTATCAACAAATGCAGGTGAGCTTCAGAAACAAGAAAAATGGAAATGTATATAAGCAACACATATGTAGCAAAATGAATTTATGTAAAAGTAACAAAAGTAATGTGTATATTCTCAATGTAATGAAGAAAAACATAGGCTGTACAATTCGACAATTCAGTCAAACCAGAAATTGCCCAGATCAACATATACTATGGAACATATCGTGTAACAAATACTACTCTGTGATATCAGAAATAAAGTAGTCTCGTCCGAACCATAACCCGTAACCTCTTCGATTCAGACTCAGGAAATGGCCCCGTGGTGGTGTTAATTCTAAAGTTAGTTAGTGCTGGGGCGTTATTTGTGCAGTCCATGGTTAAATATGGTACTCCATTCGTTTCTACTACCTACCTACCTAACTATCAGGTTAGGAAAGCAGCATAGGACATAATTTTTACACAAAAAAGACAGGCTTTTCAGGGACATAACAAATGTGAAAACAATTCAAGCTAGTATTAATAGGTAAGTATAGAATTAAATTAATCAAAGCCCTAGACATTTGCCTTATTTGTCTATTATTTAATCCGGCACTGATACCGATGTTTATTTACGCTCTAAGAAATGCTGATCATCTTTAGAGGTGGTGACTATTAGAAGCTGGACAGCATGTCATGCAGATAAGAAGTAATTGCTTATGATATCGGCTGCTGTACGTTCTGTATTTATTCCACAATCACAGCTGAAATTCAATCAACCTACTTGAAAACAAATATCCTTGAAGCATTGTATTATAATTAAGCAGATTGATTCTGCTACAAAAGAAGTCCAGATCCTGATTTTATGAACACATTGACAATAAAAACGTTTGTTATCAAATTAAATAACAATTCTAATTTAAAAGAAAATTACATGCAAATATCTGGCTCCGGTAGAAGGGTTGCCGCTAGATATTTTCCACTCGATGCAATATACGTTAGCTTGTAGATTATGTCGCTCAGTGCCAGTCTAATTTCTAAAAATTCTAGCGTTCCTAAATTTCACCGCACATATTGCACTGGCTTTACCGCCAGTCCTAACCTTTAGTTGTCTGTAGACCATAATTTAAGAATCGCTGCTTGGGTAAATTTTTCTGTTGCACATAAATAATCTTTCTCAATTTCAGTGCCTTATTCCCAGCTGGTACTTGGCAAACGATATGCAGTTTTACGCAATCAGCCCTTTATTTTTGATTGCATTGTATAAGTAAGTATCTTTTATTTATAATTATTTGATTAAGTAACCATTAACTATGAATGACGCTAGTCTCCGCTCTTTGTTACTAACATGAATATCAAAGAATTTATTTTCTGTTTGTATTTTACTTGCGTACTTGATACATACAATGAGTGAAATTGAAAAAGAAATTTTTTTAAATTTATTTTATTCTTAGCTTCAAAATGTATGAAACTATTTGTTCTTTAAATTATTCTTTCATATAACTGTGTTTTTACTGATTCATGATTTTCTTCATTTCCATTTCCTTTTATTTTAGGAAGCCCAAAATCGGTTATTCTCTTCTTGGAATATTTTTGTGTGGGACTTGGCTGGCTAATTTTTTTATTACATACAAATATGAGTTATTTGCTGGGATGAGTATGCTTGCTACCTCTGATAAAAGCCGTTTACAAGAAATTTTTGCCAAGTAAGCTTGTTTTTAGATTTCCGTTTGAATTTTACTTTTCCTTACCTCACTTCAGAGTTCTTTTTTACGATTAAACGATTAACTCTTTGCGGTAGTATGTCTGCTTTAAGCCACCAAAGCTTTTACCGTTCTTAGTCGTATTCATATGTCTGCTGTCAGCCACCAGAGTAAAGAACCATACTGATCTTATCTTATATTACTGTTTGTTCAACGAAAATTAATTCCAACCAGCATGATACTTATGTAGAAATTTAATATGACAGCAAAGGGTCAATTGCAAGGGTAATTTGCAAGTTATTTAATTTTACGCACGAGTATTTTAGGTAGTCTAACATACAAAACATTTCTAGTTCAGTGAAATTTTCAGTGAGGTTCTGCTGTAAACTCGCCATTTTGAAAACGAAACTCGATGTCTGCTAGAAGATATGCCACAAGCGAATTTAAAAATTTGATATATTTTTTTCAATTTGGGATTATTAAGAACACACGAGATTCATAATTTGGAAATTATAGGACTTTTAAATTCGATTAATCATTTGTAATAATCTTATACATTTTAAGCCAGCAAGCTACTTATATTTCTGTTCTTTATTTTTAGAAATAACAGCTACATGGATAAACTCTATCTGAAACCTTACACCAGAATTGGTCCGTATTTAATTGGTATATTTTTAGGCTATTTTATGTACGAAGCCAAAAATAAAAACAGAGGCAAAGATAATTGGGTAAGTAAATGTTAAATACTATCAAATAGGTATTAATAACATAATTAAGTATTGAAAAATTTCTGCATTCATAGAAAGAACATGTATATAAGTAGGGCTGGATTAGCCATTAAGCAATATAAGAACGTATTTAGGGCATCAAAGAAAGAGTTCACCACAAAAAGATTTTTAAGTATTCAGGTAAAAGGGCACCAAAATATTTCCCGTTGTTGGTTTTACCATGAAATGCCTACTGCGAGAGAAAGAAGGAAAAAACTGGAGTAATCGGTATGAGGGAGCACTGTTCAAGTCTTTTAAAGGTGTTAATCCGGTCCTGGGACTAAAGTTTAAAGCTGGGGAAAAATAAATAAACATTACATTTTAGATTGAATGACTTCTCGCTAGATAGAAAGAAAGGTATAATTACTAAGGAACTAGTATGGATTGTTTTGGACTGTTTTCCTTTCTCAAATTGCAGTTACATAATTAACTCCTAAATGCAAGAGAATGGAATTAATTTTAATTCTGATTTTAGTCTTATGATCTTACTTTATTAGATTTTCAAATTTTGAATTTTTAACGAAAACACATATGTATCTCTTTATTGATAGCTATTTAAGGTTTAATTTTCTTATTTTATTTTTTTACTGCTCCATTTCTTGTGATAATTTATGATAAGCAGCATGGCAGCAATTTGTAATTACATATAATTTTCATAAATATTTAAAGAAAAATAGTTAATGCTTACTTTTAATTTATTTCAATTCATCAGTATGATTTTTAAGATTCCACCGAACAGACGGTATAATGGTTAGGGGTGCCTATTGCGATTACCGAAGAGCCTGGGCTCGAATTCCGGAGAAGGCATGGTTGTAACCGTCTGTCCCTTCATAAGAGTCATTGGTGAACTCTTATTATATGCTTCCACAATGAAATGGCCACCATTTTTGGCCTTAGGAGTGGCCAATGCTGAATAAGCAAGTGCCCGCCATTGGGGGAGGGATTAAAACTTCATGTATGATGGATAAATGAAGGTATTTATGTCATAACAATTATGCAATTTTTCCTACTTATTTGCATCTTAGTTCTGGATGAAGGTGTTCCATGTTAAATCAATCAGTCATTTTATAAACACGTTGGTAGTAACATACAAATCAGCAATATAAAGTAATATCACATGATAATTGCAATTCATAATTATAAACATAACAAGATTTCAAACAAGTATACGACGGGAAACAATTATGTGAAAATAATTTTGACTTCAGGCAAAGAAAGATGTATACTCACTCGCGGCGAAAGTATTGTTGCGTTGAAAGACTGAATGCACAAGTCCGATAATAGGTTAATAAAATTTATTCTTATCAAAAGAAATATAACAAAAATCTGGAATTTTCCTCACAGAAAATTGTACAAGTGTTCACAATATCACGCAGTATAATCGTAGTTATACTTCAAACAATTAAAAATGTTAAAATACAACGCAATGCAAAGCATATCTAAAGAGAAAGCTAATTCAGATATCTCAGTTCACGCGGAACTATACTACTCGTACAACAACTATGCAACTGAACTCAACAATGCCAATGAGGAAAAATTTCGGAGTCCCTACGGTAATCAAACCATCTACCTCCACATCAGAAGAGTAATGAGGAGCAGGGCTGAGGGAAACCAGAAAAGAGGGGAGAGAAGAGAGGAGGAAAGCCTACATGGCTGGTGAGTTCATGGTACAACATCAGATCCTCGTTCCGAGACGGTGAGTGTTGGGAGAAATCACAGCTAAGTAAAAAAGATGATGAAGAATCATTGGCAATGGCAAATCTGAGAAGAATAAGGGTGGTAGGATGAAAGAGAAAAGTGAGAAAGAGCAGGTAACGTACCGGGGAGCGGTGCTGGAGACAGGAAAAGTTCGGGTTCCAAGATCATCTCCTGTGGCACCATCTATCTGCGTGAATGGAAGCTTGCCGGAAAGTCGAGATTAAGATTAGCTGATCAATGATGGAGTCGCCATCTAATGGTGGTGTCTGCAGAGATTAATCTTCTTCAGCAAATCTGATTGTCATCGCTGCTTGGAAACCAAATCTGAGTTTATCGGAGGCTGATTTTGCTTTCTTTACCTTTTCAATAAGAGAAATCACAGTTTTTAAAAAGTTCATGATTTTTCCATCTTGCATCCAGGTGAGGGCTTCATTAAAATCTTCAGGTGGAGGTTTGATTTTTCTTCTGATTTTATCACTGTAGGAAATTCCTGGAAGGGATTGTTGAACTGCATTCATCTCTTTGGTTGAAATACCAGGAAAATTTTCAGTATTGAGCTCAGGAACTTTCTGCATGAGAGTCTGTTTTTTTCTGCTCTGCGGGCTGTCTCTTTTGATCAAATCTTTTTTTGTAGGTGCTACACCCACGGTAGCTGCTGACATGGTCGTATCCGCAAAAAATACACTGGCTTCTCTTCCTTTTTGAGGGTATACTGGTTGGTTCGGTGCTGTTCGCCGCACTTACAGCATCTTAGCGGTTTATTGCAGCAGACTTGTGAGTGTCCGAATTCCTGACATTGGAAGCACTGTATTGGGAGCTTTCTAGGCGAGAACTTCTCGATGTTAACATTGAAGCTGAACATTCTGTTTACATAATGGATAGCATGACCTTCTGCATTTTTTAAATTCTAATAGGTAAATGGGTAGTTTCTCAACAGTTTCTTGACGTCTACGAGTAAATTGCTTGACTTTTATTATTGGAAATTTACGTCTCGCAAGTTCGTTGAGTATGATTTCTTCCTTCACTGAGGCTGGGATTCCCTTAAGGATTACACGTAGCGGCTTTTCGCTTTCTAGGAGAAAAGAGTGGAACGATATGCTCTTGTCCACAAGTATTTTACACATTTTTCTATAGTCCGTCGTGTTTTTTGTGTAGATAAAGATGCTTTTTGCCTTCAAAGTTGATTCAAACTCCTCGGAACAGTTTTCCTGAAAAATTTCATCAATTTCCAACCAGTCTACGTCATTATGGGCTATAACAATGGGGGAAGGCGTTTCTTCGTAGTTAGCTCCTCCTTCATTCTCTATTGGTTGCTCTGCAAGGGTTTGGAATCTGTTTTGATGTGGAATATCCATGGGTTTGGGCTCTTTGGGATTTTAGCAACTTTTTTAGGCTTGATCCATTCATTCTCTGGGTTTTCCTCCGTCTGTTGATTTTTCTGGATTATTTTCAGTCGAAAGGTTGTTGTTAGTACAAATTCGTTTTCTCATGGTTTCCGTCGGTAACATCCTGGGTGGATTGAATCCGATCGATCTGAGTTTTTCCATAAAATTATCCACTCCTTGTTGCAGTATCATGTTTCTCAGAAATTGTACGGTTTCCTGATTTGTCTCAACATGGTAAAGTTCAGTCTTATTTCCGAATTCGTTGTCTGATACATCAGTCGCAAGTGCATTAGATGCAACAGCTTCATTTTTGTCCTTTGTATAATTATTTGCTTCAGCTTTCTTAACCGGTTTGGGGGTTCGAAAAAGTTCTTGAATCTTTTTAGAAATACCTGCTGGTAATCCGATAGCAAAAGAAACATCCGATTCCGCATAGTCGCTGTTCTCCTGTAAGTCCGATCGTTCACTAAACGAGTAACTCATAGTGATACCCGAGGGTAGCACTGAGCTAAGAAAATTCTAACAAAATTCGATTTCAATATGAATCCGCTATTTGCAAAATGGCAGAACTAGCTAAATCAACAACAACACTTAACAACCTACTAACTGAACTCAGACGCTCTCTCTCCGGTTTTTATACCTTTCAAACGGTCGCGAGATATTTCTAGTAATTTCTCCTTTTCGAAATTTCTGGAAAACAATAACAGGATGGAATTACGGTTACAGCTAACATAGTGGTTAATTACATTTATTCAATTTCGATACAAATTACCGAGATAACCATTTACTCAATGTTAAATGCACGTGCCCGATTTCTTACTTTTCCGGCATAGCTTTCTCTTAAAATTTGTCTTGCGCTGCATTGCACGAGGAAATATAACAATTTTAATTCTACTAAAATTAATTATCTGAATACAATATTCATAACAATATCATTGCTATGAAAGCCATTCGCTTTGTTTCTGCAGGTACTGAATTTTTCAAAATTTTTAAGTTAAATCAACGCAACTGCCTTTTAAAATTTATGAATTCGACTAAAATGAGAACGTACACGAGATTGAATTTCGAGATGAATGGAGACTCGCACATGTGACAAGGGGTCGTTTAGCTAGCTACATTGCAACAAATCTCAACGAAATTATAAGTACTCTTCCATTAAATTGCACATAAAAATATTTCTCATACAATGATACATACCTTATGAAACACGGTGTCCGCATATTAACCCGAAAGGGAAAATTAAGTCCATGTATCGCAAAACGAACAGCAAAAAATTCGAACCAGGTTTCTTTGATAAATAATGATTCCAATTTCATCTTACTTAAGGAGAAAGAATATTATTGTTGCGTTTTTCTTTTCTGACACCAGGTGTTACGTTATTTTCTTCCTTCACGTTCGTACGGGGTTCGTGAGGATTTGGGGTGAATAATGACTATACTACTTCATGAAGTATCGAAACACACTTTATTGGCCATTATTGTCAGGACAGCTGCAAAACACGTTTTTACAGTCGTCGATGAACTACTATGTGTCTATAAACACACAGACACGATCAGCGACACAGCCTCCAGGTTATCAGGCTATCACGGTGGAGACAGCTTCACGGCAAAGCACTAGAGTACAGCTCCCGACTCTGCTTGGTCGTTCTCGGAACTCCACGTACTCTCGAGACTCTCCACTCTACAACTCACGATGCACTCGACTACGCACAGAGCACACCTCCCGACTCCTCGGTTCAGTCGTTCCCGGAGCTCAACACGCTCTCTCGACGATTCACTACGAGACTATTTCGGTGCATTCGACGACCCACTCGGCACTCGCTATCCGGCTGTCAACTCGATCGACTCCGCAGGGATTGATTCGCTAGACGAGACACCAACTTGATACTAACTGCGGACCAGCAGGGTTTATATAGCTTTCGGCTTGTGTTCGAGAACATTCTGGCTAAACTGGTAAGAATTCGTTCCAGAAGGTTCTCCATCCGTCCGTGGTATATCGCCAATTTTGTCGCCAGATGTGGCAACCCTGCGTTCCCTTGCCATTTTATGGCAACCCTAAACTGCTTTGCGGGGAAGCCATCTCACCGCGCCTGCACATTTCGTAACAATATGTATACAGTCTGTTGCTGCGTTATTAACCTAGTTTTATATATTTAAATTTATTTGTATATTCTTTGTGCTTATTTTGTGACATGTTATATGAGGTATTTTGTTAGAAATAAATTACCAAATATATTTGAAATTAATTAGGTAAAAAGAATTTGAAATTCAATTAGCTTTTTACCTAATTGAATATTATCTTACTTAATATTATTAATTAATTTAATATTATTTCCTTTTTTGCTGAAAAAAACTGGCATAGCACTCAAAAACTGCATTTCACATTCTAAATGCCGTTCGAGTTTTTATTCATTCGTGCATGCGTGAAGTATTTTAATTATCATAGAATGATTAATTGTTAAGTAGAATCGGCTTTAATCACATTCAGTAGTGAATTCTAATTAGAGAAATGTACTGTAGTTTAATATGAATATACTTATAAAAATACTCACTATTTAAAGAATATGCATACAACCAATTAATTATAATTCAGTTTTCATTACTATTACTTTAACTATGCATTTGCTGTCTAGCAACAAATTAATAACACATTCAATATAGATCAATTATTCATTCCTTAATTGTATTAAATGTTTTTAACACTGTGATATTATTAATATTCTAGAATTCCACAAATTGCATACAATTTTAAAAACAGTTCTTCTATGTAAAAAAAGTTATAAAGCAACAGTGTAGACCAATGGTCTCAAACTCACGATCTCGAAACAACTTTACGTCAGCGAAAACATTTCAATTATGCATTTCTTGTAAATACAGTTTTAGAGACATACAGATCTAAATGCGCGGTTTTTAATGAAGGACCACGTTCGTTATGCGGGACATTTTTTCGGCTAGCGTATGTATTGGTTATGCGAGGCCTGCAGTACGTTATACATACCAGTGATGTAGCAGAAGGGACAGCATACTTGAAATATATGCCGATGGCTCTAAGACTGATGACGGTACAGCCAGTATCTTCTGCGCAAAGATGGGGAAGTCTGTGTTTTTCAATGGTCAACAAGACTCAGACGCATTAATTCTATCTTTCAGACAGAATTATTCGCAGTTCTACAAGCAGTGAAACGGGTTGTTTATAGAAACTCTATAACAGTCATTTGAACTGGCAGTGTATCTAGTAAAGCTATTATTGATGAAGCCTCTCAAAACGTCGTCGTATATGCCACAATGGAACTTCTTCTCTATAAAGATGGCATCATCACCATGCCATGAATCACAGCTCTGTTAGAGTGCGAGAGAAATGAAAGGGCCGAAAAGCAGTGGCGTACCTTTCGGAAGCTTCCCCAAGCGCAGCATCCAGAGGATGCAAAGTAATGTTCTCCATTGCATTCTGGCTAATAAGAGGTTGTGTAAAATCTTCAGTTGTTCCTGTGCACTGAAATTCTTACAAACGTCTACACCGACAAATTTGAAAAGGCGGCAACAGCCTACACTTTACCAGCCACCGGTAGTTTCAATGTTGATACCAAATCAGAGTTATAACTTGAAGGGGGGGGAAGTGAAAATCAATGCGGATAACATCTAGAAACGACAATGGGACAAACAGACTAGGGAGCATATCACCCATAACTATTTTCCACTAGTCTCTTCACCCCTAAAATCATAAAGCTCCATACTGACGTGGCTCTGCTTTGAACACTGCCTGACATCGGCCAATGTAGTAAATAGGTTCGGCCATAGGGATTCGGATCAGTGTTCCTGTCATATAAAGTAGGCTACCTGAGACATTATTTATCCTAAACACAGAGCATGCATCTTTCAGAACTTTCTGCAAAAGGAAATCTTTAGATCTGGAGAGCTCAACTACTGGAAAATTAAAAATGGCTAAAGAAAGCTCAGAAAGTAATTGCAGATATCAATACCATTACAGACAGTCTTTCTTTATACTCTTCCTCACAGCATAATACTTTTAATTTAGGACTGTATATTGGAAAATACATTATTCAATCTTACACATAATTATTTGATCTTTTTCGTAGTTCTCATTTATTCATATTTTTATATCTATTTTGTAAAACGAAGTTTTTCTTTTTTTTTTTCACTTTGTCTATACCGTGATCTTGTAAATATTTCAGGAAGTTATTATTCTGTTCTTTGGTCATATTCTGTAAAATAGTTTCTTTTGATGTAGATAATTCTATAATTACTGTAGTGCAGCTTTTAAGTTTATAATCTACTGTTCGAACGTAGCAACACAGAACCCCAATCTACTTGCTTCCAGGGCCTTGTATAACCATATAACTTAACAGATGCCGAATCATGTCACCTATCCAGCCCTCCCGGCCCGGCGCACAGCTAATATATTTTCTCTTCCAGAGGATTCACAACAGCTTAACCATTAACAGCAGGTCTATTATCCTGATGGAGGTGTAGAGATGCAGATTATCATGCATTTATTTCTCGACATGTTATTTATTGAGTCATTATCAAGATGTCCAAAGGTTAGAGAAAAAGAAAGATAATCACAGTATTCGAAGGGCATGAAAAATATTTTTCACTTTTATTGCAATATTGCAAAGTAGTTTATATGTATATAAAGTTTAAATTTTAATGTCTGTCGTTTTCACTTTCTAGGTAACTTTATGCTGTGGATGGATTATTGCTCTAACTATCACATTAAGTTCTATTTTTGGTTTGTATCACACAGATCCATCATTAATTGCAATTTGTTTTTATAACGCATTCAGTCGTCTATGTTTTGCATCTGGATTATCTTGGATTATTTACCTTTGCCTTACAAAACAAGCAGGTATGCATGTAAACTATATATGTATTTTAATTTGAGACTTAATAATAAAAGTGCAAAATAAGAATAAAACTCATGCTTCATAATCGAAAGATAAATCAAAAGCACATTCTAATCTTAAGATAAAACTTGTTCCCAACTGCAAAATTTAAATTTTTTCCCCCAGATTACCATTACAGACAGTCTTTCTTTATACTCTTCCTCACAGCATAATACTTTTAATTTAGGACTGTATATTGGAAAATACATTATTCAATCTTACACATAATTATTTGATCTTTTTCGTAGTTCTCATTTATTCATATTTTTATATCTATTTTGTAAAACGAAGTTTTTCTTTTTTTTTTCACTTTTTTCACCAGATTAGTTTTATAAGACCTGAACTAAATACGAGCATTTAAGTCATTTTTATTTATATATATCAAAGGGAAATTTCCCTTTGATATATTATTAAGATTTAAAACAATTGTTTTCTTACAAAATCTTAAAAGTTTCTAGATAAACAAATCTTAAAAGTTTCTAGATAAAGTTATAGGGTTGTCGTTCATCTTCTAATGCTACTTTATTCCTAAAAAACTGTAACAGACGTGAAACGAGTTGCTGCTATGTCTGAGACAGAATGGCAAATTTTTAGAAAGATTATAAAAACAATCTTTTTATTTAAACAGAGCTTTGAATATAAAAGGCCGATTTTGAGCTACAGCTACCACAGCATGTGGAAATGCAAATTAAAATAAGCACATTCAATAATTTTAAACTTTTGAGCAGCAATCTAAGATTACACAACTAAATACTAAAGCTGGGTCCATAAATTTACCGGACCATCGGATTTAAAGTATTGGCGGCGAGAGCCTGCTAAGCCGAATAATTATAACTGCTAGAGCTGGTAGAAACTAGCTATGCCAGAAACACTCAAAAATCCTCCGCTTAAATATAATTTAAGATAATAAATAAAATATATTTATTAAATAAATTTAATAATCCTCCGCTTAAATATAATCCAACTAATTTGTATTCTGGTGAGGAATACGGAAAACAGAAGTTACTGGTTAATAAGCATAAGATACTTTACATTTTCCTCCACTAGAATTTAAGTAATCGCAACGAAGGTCTTTAAAGATCTTGTTAAGATTTTAAATTCTAAACTTACAAAATGAGCTAACTTTTAGAATCACCAAGTTAAATGTCTAATTCTAAAATTATGATAAAAGTTGGGATATTCCTTGTACAGTTTTCATGCAAGAACTGTTAAGTTCACATATCATCTCCTTCCAGGAATCAAGAAGGAAAAATACTTTAGCAAAGACATACTGCGTAATCTTACATACTACGTAAGGACATCAGGGCAACGTAAAGATGCCCCACTATTAAACCCTTGCCACCGGTCTGTACAACGCTTAACACGAGACATGCAGTGCTTCTCAAGGTTCAGACTACACATAAACTCTGCCATCCGCTTGCAGCAACTGGAATCTCGATTCGTCCGACCAGACGACACATTTTCCATCTAAGGGCGGCGTGATTTGGTTACCTGCAATTGCAGCAATCCATGTCTTCCAATTAATAGTGGAATCCGAGAACAGCGGCACCTATTGTAAGCGAATTGTGCCAGTCTTGTGCAAATGCTGAATGAAGTAACTGCATTAAAATCTGTCGTAAGGTTGCCGTTCTACCTGTACCTATCGATACGATAGCTCGTATAGCAGTTAGTGACGCAGACTGCCGTACCGATGGACCTGAGTTTGAATCCCGGAGAAGGCATGGATATTATTTGTAACGAACAGTGTTATGTGAGGCAAAGGAACAATATATAAATATATGGACAAAATACATGGCGAGCTGAAAGCTCTCTCGAGAGGTTGATGGTAGGGGAAGATGAGACGCTCTTGGATCGCCCCCGGGGTTTTCCCTCAAAACTGGGGCAGAACTGCACAGTTAACGGGGAGGGATCATATCTGAACGGCCCCAATGGCGAAATTCTGGTATTTCGCTCATTTCTCCCTGTACCTTCGATACGACACGACAGAGACTCCAATCATTTCTCGCCTCAGTCACTGATTTATATCACAATTTTGTATGATTCACACCGGTTTTCCTGCTTTTGAGATACTGTTGGTATACCCGTAGTACAGAACTGCAAGATGTTGCCAGCAATTCGGTGGTTGCTGATATCGAACATCCGGCCTTGCAAGCACCGACAATTTGTCCGCGACGAAACCGCGAACTCGCTTAGATCGTTGTTTTTATCCATTATAACAACGTCTGGCGTGCCCATCAGAGCTCTGTTACACTCTCTTGTAATAAATAGATAAATAAAATAAAAACAGAGCACGATGAAGAAAGTGGCTGTTTTTATTGAAATTAAATAGCAATTGCACATTCTATGCTCAAATCAGCAAATGATGAGCCCTGGGCTACGAAGCATGTTTGTAAACGTTGAGGTAAAGATGATTTCTAATCTCATCCTGCGATACACGGTGCCAGAAATTTCTCAATTGTTGCTCCACATCTGCGACATTTTGCGGGTTCCATATCTGGTGACCTACCATATGCCATACAGGTTCGATTGGCAAAAGGCCCGGTGACCTTGCTGGCCAAGGAAACGTATCAACAGCTCGAAGATAGGGCAGGCATATTACAACTCCCTTCATCCGGACTTGCGAACAAAATTATAATCAGTGACAGAGTTTAAACAGGTTGATAAGCCCCATCTCCAAACGGACTAGCTGCTTTGTCGGTGGAGATAAAGAAATATGCCATCCGTGTGGAGTCTAGCATTATCTTGTTGGAAACTGGCGCGCCATGAAGGGTAACGCAAATGATAGTAGGATGTCATCAATATTATTATTGGGCTGTTAAAGTTGTATGCAGGATAACGTGAGTCGACCAGCTACCCTAAAAGTTAGCACCCCACACCATCACACCAGGGATAACAATGTATGCCTCTGTTAAACAAAGGCTGATTGGGATCGCTGGCCCTGGCCCTTTTACATACGGACTTGATGGTCATTTGCTCTAAGACTGAAGCAGTATTAATGGCTGAACACTATGTGATGCCAGTCGGCTGCCAGCAATGGTGATCAGTTACGATACCACTCCAGATGACTATTACGATGTTGTGGGGTTAAAGGCGAATGTCTTAAAGTCGTATCACTCACTTAAGAACAACTCTTCAGAACAGTTTTTCAGCTTTACCACACGATATTGAAACAGCCAATCACCGCGGATCATTTTGGGATTACCACGTAATGGTAAACCAGTTGTTCAATACACTGGTTGATGATAGCTGATTGGTTGTTGAAAACGAACAACTTACATTGGCAAAAGAAATGAAATCGTGCACCTTTCTTTCAATGGTAAAACATGTAGAAAAACTGTACGACATAAATAGACATGTGATACCAGCCTTTAAAGGTAGCTGCGAGTGTCGTGAGATGTTGAAAGGTGCCAAGAGTGGTAAGGAAAGGGCTGTAGCATACTGAATAGCGGTCAATCATGCCGTTAGGGCAGTTCGGGACTGTCGCATATTCATCCGATCTTGACTCGCATTCGCGTACCTTCACCATTTTGTAGCAACCATTGCTGCCAGCACCCTTGCACAACCGTGTCTGTACGGTGCAGGATGGAGGCCTATTACTTGGTATGTTCAGTCCGTTTGACTACTATGCGACAACATTCGTCTATAAAGTCTTCGAAAACGTCGTAATGGCATAATTTTTTGTGTCTACAGGAAACTGCAACGCCGAGAATGAGGAAAGATAAATCGTCCACAATTTTTACCTGTTTTTCAGAATTCTAGTGGCGTAAGTAGAAACAGAACTATGACTGAAGTTAACACTTATTGTCCTAGAAAATTTAATCATTTTCATATAAATAATTTAATCCTTTGCATATAAAATTTCGAGATGATCGGATTATTTCTTAAGAGTGCTTTTATTTACAAAAGTCGTTAATCCGGACTCGTCGGGTCTTCGGCGATTCCGGATTATAGATCATCAATTTAAATCTGGTAAGATGGCAAGCAGAAATTATAAAATTAAAAATATGAAACCGTAATTTATGAAATAAAGACAATTATTATCTAAAGGGCATCAAAATTTACAAAAAAGGAAGCTTAATATTTATTTTTTTACTTTATTAAACATTTATTTCAATGTAAGTTGTTTAAGTCGCTTTGTTTTATGTGATAATACTTTCTCTTTAATTCTATAAACAGACATAATTTCTTGTTCAGTTACAAAGTTCCGCTGTTCAGGTCCTATAATTGCTGTGTCGAGAATACCGATTAATTTGTCAATCGAAATTTTTTCGTTTTCAATAACCTCTGCGTCACTTTTTTCACTATCGGAAACGAATTATAATGACGAGGAATTTGATTTAAATCATATCAAAGACGGAGTACATCGAGATGAAATGCTACATTTAGTAAGGAATTATAAGCCAAATAAAATAAAAACATCTGCTCTGAAGATAAGCATAGTGCTGACAGATTAACTTCCAGTTCATTGCGAGCCGCGGCGTTTCCCCTCACCCCGCCGCAGAGCAGCGTGAAATTGATAAATAGATTTCGGAATAGTTAGATAAACAAAGGATATGCCTTTATCCATTTTTTGCAGCAATTCTACTTTTTGTTTGATGGACATCGAAACAGACTTTCGCTTTGTAGATCCTTTGGGAGCTCCAGCATCGGAAATTCTATTTGACATAATCGAAAGTTCAAGCTTACTTTTATAAAATTGCTCTAACAGTCTGCAAAAAATAATAAGCCGGATCCAATTCCAAGATTAAGGAACAACGCAATCTGCAACATTAACTGAAATAGATAATTAGATAATTTTAGCTTATACCGTTCGTTATACATTAAACGCGCATGCGCAACCGTAAAAGCCTTACGCGCATGCGCAGAAAGTTTGCAGCTTTGAGGTCCAGATTATAGATCATTCCGGATTATGGGTGTCCGAATTAACGACTTTTGACTGCATTTATTTACTACAAAAGAGTGTATTTATACTCTGTGGCACCAATGGATCACAAGTCACAGGTCCTCATTGTGCTATTTATATAATCGCACAGTAGTTGTGTATAATTTGTTTTTTCAGTGTATATGAATTCCAGCAGGTTCATGTTTTCATTACTGCTAATTTGCCTAACAGATATAAATATTTTACTAATAAGTTGGAGTTATTAGTCATAGTAATTCTGCCCGTTTTAAAAAAAATTCTCAGAACATTTTTGCTTCCAATATATGCCAGGAGTAGATACAATACTGCCAGAATATAATATATAGGATTCATTCAAATTCTTTCTCCCTCCAAAAGGAGTTTATATTCGCCTTATTAGGCAATATAAATTATATTTCCTTCTACTAAAACAGCATGAACCTTACGGGATTACATTGAAAGACAAGAAGTTCATGGACTACAGATTGGAAACCTGTAGAAGTACAATTAATTACGAGTTCAGAATCCAAACTGAGCTAAAATGCTCTTTCAGGTTCCCAAATTTAATTACTTACAGAACCTACTTAATAAATGCATCCAGAATTTTTATTTCTAGTTTCATACATCCTATCTGTTATATAATTGACGGATGATTTTCAACATTAAAATGTGTTTACTTGAATAAAATACCTCGTTTTTTTATTTTCTTTTAGGTGCTATTGATAGCATTCTTTCATACAAGTTATTCATACCATTAAGCAGACTAACTTACTGTGCATATCTGATTCATTTCCCGATGATACTAGGATATTCTGCAGCTCTCAAAAGTCCTTTGGATTTCTCTCACTCATCTACGGTTTGTATCAATATATATGCATTAACTGCTACTTCAAAGAAATAAAATTTATATCCTTTTAAAAATTAATGTATGTTTTAAATGATGTTAAATGATAAAAATAGTAGGAGGTTATTGGTCATTTTAGAATTCGGAAGTTGTCAGCTAACTTATTTCTGTTATTTAATTTAAGGTTTAGTAATGTTTCACAAAAAATTCCTCACCTTTTTCAAAGATATTCAATAATGGGGTACTAGCATATTTATATATCTCTTTCTCTGCACATATATTTATATATCTCTTTCTCTCTCTATATATATTAATTACCCAATACTTACTTTATATTTTGCAATGTTCACGCACAAAAAAAAAAAAAAAAAAAAAAAAAAAAAAAAAAAAAACCAACAAAAAAAAAAAAAAAAAAAAATTTCAAAAAAAAAAAAAAAAAAAAAAAAAAAAAAAGAAAAAAAAAAAAAAAAAAAAAAAAAAAAAAAAAAAAAAAACAAAAAAAAAAAAAAAAAAAATAAAAAAAAACAAAAAAAAAAAAAAAAAACAAAAAAAAAAAAAAAAAAAAAAAAAAAAAAAAAAAAAAAAAAACAAAAAAAAAAAAAAAAAAAAAAAAAAAAAAAAAAAAAAAAAAAAAAAAAACAAAAAAAAAAAAAAAAAAAAAAAAAAAAAAAAAAAAAAAAAAAAAAAAAAAAAAAAAAAAAAAAAAAAAAAAAAAAAAAAAAAAAAAAAAAAAAAAAAAAAAAAAAAAAAAAAAAAAAAAAAAAAAAAAAAAAAAAAAAAAAATGAAAAAAAAAAAAAAAAAAAAAAAAAAAAAAAAAAAAAAAAAAAAAAAAAAACAAAAAAAAAAAAAAAAAAAAAAAAAAAAAAAAAAAAAAAAAAAAAAAAAAAAAAAAAAAAACAAACAAAAAAAAAAAAAAAAAAAAAAAAAAAAAAAAAAAAAAAAAAAAAAAAAAAAAAAAAAAAAAAAAAAAAAAAAAAAAAAAAAAAAAAAAAAAAAAAAAAAAAAAAAAAAAAAAAAAAAAAAAAAAAAAAAAAAAAAAAAAAAAACTTTTCAATTACTATTAAGATTTTATTCATTAGAAAGTACGTAAATCTTTTGAAAACTATTAATAAAAATATTTTTAAGCAAATGTGTTCTACAAATTTTGTTAAAACTTTCATTATAGTATTTTAATTAGAGCAGGGTTTAGAGAAGTATAAATATATTTGCATTTATTACAATCTAAAAAGTATAAAACTTTTTAGAAACAGCTAAATGACTTTACTATAGTCTTTCTTTTGCCCTCCCACAAATCTGAATTTACAGTCATATTAAAAAAAAAAAAAAAAAAATCACATATTATGTTCAGTGTCTGATGAAGTAAACAATTTAGCTCCATAAATCCAGCATACATTGTTGCAAATAATAGATAAGAACAAGCAAAAATTATATAGTTAACATATGAATTATTCAAAATCATTGTTACAACAAGTTGTGCAAATAACTAATCAATATTTTATAAAGTAAAAAAAACATCAATAAAAATAAATAAAAGCACTGGCAACAAACAGTAGACAAATCTCTGCCTTTGATGATGGTTGTAGTGCTTAAAGCTATTAAATTAATTAATGGATGCTATTAAATTCTGCATCACTTCATGACATATTTCATGCAACCAAACTTGAAAAAGTACTTTCTAACATCAGTATGTCAAGTTTCTTATTAAACACCTCCACAATCATCTTGTTCCAAAGATTTTCTACAGGCTCTAAATCTCGACTACTTCCAGATCATGCCACCCGTATGGCTACTATTATCCTGTAATATTTTTTTAAGCCCGGGAAATGGTAACCAAGTATAAAAGTCAAAACATATATACAGTTATGCATTGTTAAAGATGCAAGACAACAACAATCATGCATCTTTTACCTACCGATTTGGTTTTATGGTACAAAGCAGAACCATCTCAGAAAATGAAGTGAAGTATCCAAATTACTCTTGAATTTTCTCTGAAAAGATTTATACAAGAGGATATCTGCATAAACAATGCAGGAACTGATAGCAAAGTAGGCGAAGAATGTCCTGACCATCCAAAACACTGGTAAACTTCACTCTAGAACAGGACACTCACAATTCAGTACTTTATTATGTCTACTTCATATAATCTATTAACAAATAACCATTCAGGTTAAATTTAAGACTCAATGTGAAAAATAATTACTTATCATTGCCCAACAGCTCATTTTCTATTTCTTTAGATACTGGGATCTCATTCTTAACATTAAGTAAAGGCTTCTTCCTCAAGAAGCAGCTGATGAGCTTCCTTGAAAACAAATATGCCAGCAGTACTACTTACTTATTGTCTTTCTATTTATGGGTGCTAGATGAATTGATAAGATATTGATCCTGTGATGGTATAGATTGTTTTTAGAGATCACTGCTGGCCTTCCTGTTTATAGTTCTAGTCTGACAAAATGTCATCAATAAATGAAAAACCCTTCAATATTCCATGGATGTACTAAGTTTTCTAATGAGGAATCAACTACATAAACAAAGTCATTACACATTCTCTAAATATAAATTCTCAATAATGATAGTTCACTAAATGAAGCAGTTCTATCCAACAAAAAAATGATGTAATCACTTGCAATGTTGCATATAATGTGAAACACAGTTTTAGTTCTGTCCAATTAAAGTGCAACTGAATGTAAGCTTGAATTAGGTTATGCAAAATGTTACAGTGGTGCAATCTTTTTACATACTCTGTAGATTCAATAAACATCTTTAAATAATGCAATTAAAATTAAAAAAACAAGTAAAAAATCTAATTTTTTAATACATTTTTTCCTTAGACAAACAAAATTTTTATTAAAAATTATTTTAACTATTTTTTTAAAATTATTGCCTTAACCATGCAATAAACAATTACTGTTTTAAATTTTAAATAATCAACACATAATAAAATATGAACTAAAAAAAAAGGTTTTTCTGGCAGCATTGTGTTAAATATTGTCCTTTATTGCCATCTTTTCAAAAAATTTTTATTTCCCTTACATTTTGTTTTTAAAAAAAATCACTTTTATAACCACAGAACTTTTTATTATAAAATTAAAACTTACATAGCTTGAAAACAGTTTTTATATAGCATGTAAAAGTTTTTCACATATTCAAAATTTATTTTGAATGGCTTTGAATTAAAAAATATTTATCTATTGTAAAATGAATAAAATTACAGTAACATACTGTAAAGCCCATCAGCACATCATAGAAATATTAAGTGGTTTTCAGTTCAGAACAAACTTCAGAAGAGCAGACTATAAATAAAGAGGTATAAAACTAGGCCAAACTAAATTTCAGATTTATGTACTTCATTACTTAATGAGGGAAAAAAAAAAAAAAAAAAAAAAAATTGCCGATAATTTATCTTTTCTACATTTTTGATAAAATGAAATTTTGGAATGGAATATTTTTATAATTTTAATCAGGTGAAAAAGCATTTTTTTTTTCTTTTTCAGGTATTGTACTTCCTGGGATTTTTACTTGTTTCATATGGACTGGCTGTACCTATGTCATTGATATTTGAATCTCCCATTATAGGTTTAGAAAAATTACTATGGAAAAAATTTAAAAAATGAAACTCAGTGCTAATAAATTACACTATTTTATAATTTATGATTTCAGTAAATAGCCATATTACAAAGCCATCTGGTTTAAAAAATCAGTTTTTATCATTTTTATTGTATTGAAAAATATTCATTTATACTTAAATTATTTATATAATTTTACATAAATTCTGGCAAAAACAAATATAAAAAAACATCATGATTTCTTTTAAGTATAAAAATATCATGACTTATTTTTTAAAAATAAAATAAAAAAAAAAAAAAAAAAAAAAAAAAAACCTGCTTTTCCTACATTAACTTATTAAGTGGTTAACATGTATTAAAAGTTTTCAAAGTAAATACACCTCTATCTAGATGATTTTAAGAAGCATAACACATACTTTTATTCAAAAATTAATATAATAATTAGAGATAATATAAACTGTGCATAATTTTATTAGCAGTATAAAAAAATAAGATATCTTGACAGCTTTCTGGCAATAGTAACTTGCAAAATTAGTCACTTAAATATAAATTTACCTACACATAAACGCACACAAATAAAAATTAAAAAAAAAAAAAAAAAAAAAAAACTTTTTGAATATATTTTTTATATAAATAAAATTATTTTACTTTCATATGAATTCAAATAAATAATCAGCCTTCATCAGCAATATATGCATGTTTTCAAAACAGTTTATTACATTATACTTGCACTGCTATAATTTACTTCCAATACTTTGAATAAATTAAAAAATTTAGATTTTAACATCATACCATAGGGTTTGTTAAGTTTTTTGTTCTTTCGTTGAGTTTGCAGTTTATCATTCTGCTTTTGGACTCACTCCTGCTGACAGAACTTTTTTTGTCTTTTTAACTTTATTCTTAAACATTACTTTCTTCACCCTTACATCACATAGAATTCAACAACAAAATCAAGCAGTGTATCTTTAGAATTCTCGATACAGTGTTATTACCATACACTTTTTTTAACAGGGAAGGCCTATTATTCTTGAATCTCATCTTTGTGCCTAATCCCTTTTGTTGTCATTTCACTTTTCAAATAGTTTAACCCTTAACTTCCCAATTTTTTATATTTCTATGAAAAAATTATATCAGCTACTTAAGTAATAATAAAAGGAAAAAAATATTTTTTAAAAAAACTAAGCAGTTTTAAATTGAATTTCAGTCATTTTTTTGTTTGTTGCAGAAGTGCAACATTGCGCAGTAGTGCTGTAAAATTACAAAACTTTTTTTATATGAGGATTTTATTATTCATTGTTATAAACTGCTTTAGCCTTACATACAATGAAAACTTTTAAAGCAGTTATTAACTTTGTTGTAAGACGTCCCCTACTTTACACTTTTCGCACTCAGTTTGAGTGTAGCTCTTGCAGTTTGGAAACTTGCACCATATTCTTTTCTGACCATATTGGCCAATGATTTATACCATCTCTACGAATGTCCTTACATGGAACGGATTGGGCAGTCCCTTTGCATCTTTTAGTCTGAGACATTTGTTCTATTGAAGTATTACTAGGTCTTCCTCTTTTAGCATTTCGATCGTAACCCATTTTGCATAAGCATGATGCAACTTCAGATTTGAATTTTTGTAAATTCATTAGATTTTTTATTATTATTTTTATTTTTTCAGATTTCTTCATTGTTTCTTTAATTTGATCAAATCCAAGCTCTTCTGACCAGTATGCTCTATAGTTTGGCAGGTGAACTAGAGATGCATAAATGTAAATACCCAAATATTGATTTATTTCATTCTCTGATATAGTCAAAGGCTTACTTGGATTCTTTTGAATAGCATATCGTTTGCTGTCTTCATAAATGTTACTTATGATCTCTTCCGTCCATAAATATTTAAAAAATTGGTACGTAGTGTCCAAATCCGTAATTTCTCTTGGGAGCGTGTCATCTTCATGGAAATTTTATTACTTCTTCAATCAATGAAATGTTTTGATTTTTCCATAAAATATTCTTTGAAAATGTTTTATTATTCTTAACAGTTAAATTTAAAAAAGGTTCTTTGACTGAAATACACTAGCGGTCGAGCGGTAAAGTCGCTGAAACACTGGTAGTTTATTTTCGTGGTTTTTCCCATGTGTAACTTGTATACAAACCAGTTTCCCTTAGGAAATCCTCCACGAAGGCATCCCTCCCCGTAGGCAGATAGCTCTCGAGGCTTTACCATAATCACACACACACACACACTAACTGAAATATTTCTATCAAATTTATTATCATTATCATTGGATGGTTTTATATTCTGAATTGTATTTTGTGAAACAACACTATTTCACAGTCGCTATCCGAAATCATCATTAGATAACACACAATCAAGTAAAAAATGAACATCGCCAGCAGAATTTTCAAGACTATCCTCACTTAAATCACTCAATTCGCCCAAATTATTCATATATCTAGCAATTTCATCTTGGGTTAGTATACGCTTTTTGGCCATGTCAAAATGGTAACCAAAGACCAATGTTGCAGACCTGCAACATACTATAATTAAAATCAAATTTCTTTCAAAATTTTTCTATTAGAAAATCAAAATTTCTTTTAAATGAACATAAAATGTTTAAACTTCTTAACTGGTAATTTTTTTTTTTTTTGTCAATAAACAAGAGGAAGCATCAAATATAATGGATTCTTTTTATAGCAAAAACACAGTTCTTGAGGAATCAGAGATTTTTATTTTTTGTTGCGATTTCTGGGGAAAATGTGCTGCTATCTAGTGACAAATTTAGCATGTATTTCGTTGTAGTAACCTTTTTTTCTTAGATAAGTGATTTGAAGGTAATTAAAAAAAATATTCTGTTAAATTAAAATAAATCATATGTTGCAGAAATGCAACAGTGGGAAGTTAAGGGTTAAAATATAACAGTAAAGAAAAAATATATAATATATAAATCCAGCTAGTAACTAATAAAAAAGATAAAAAACTGCCTTTATTGTTTTAAATCACTTAGTTCTTAATAACAGGCAGATTAAATTATAAAATATTTTGTATTGAACAGCTTTAAAATTCCAGATTAAATGTTAAATGTTGCCATACTTTTTTTTATATTTACTGTATTATTTATTTAAAAATAATACATAGCTCATAGCAACATTCTTTTATTCCTATTGCCATTTTTTTTATAGTCATCATGTTATTTCTTTAAACACATGGCAATACCATTTGGTGGCAAAATTTGAAAAGTGATACTGGAAAAAAAGTATACTGGTTTTTAAATCTTTAATTGGTTTTTCAATTTTTTTTGTGTATGTTATCAGCAGTATATGAAAGCTGGCATTCTATATAATATCTAGAATGCCCAAAACTGGCCGAGAATGTATGAAATGATTAACATTTCATATAGTTCTAGACATTCTATAAAATGCCGGAAGGAAAAAAATAGATAAGTATGAATTCCGATTCATTTCGAATATCAATATCCTTAATACATTCATAAATAATCCATACATTGTTTTCTTTAATAAGTAAGGCATTAATTTTGTTTTGTATAACTTTCACTTTTTGTTATGTATTTTGAATAAACGTTTTTTAGTAACCCTTCATTATTTTTTCAAAATAGCACCTTTATTTTTGAGGAATGCATGTCGTTTTAATAACAACCTTATCATGGTCTTTTTTTTCATACTTTGCCTAAACAGCATCTGTAATTTTACAGAATGCCTAGGTATAATATGTGTGTTAATGGCAAAGTATAAAACACTGGCATTATAATAGAATATCTAGGCATTTTTAAACAATGCATGAAATAGGAGAATTATTATATACTACACTTAGGCATTGTATATAATAGATCAGCGTTTAGATTAGATCTGGAAAGAAGTGCATGGGCAAAACATTAGATCAGTGTTCAAATTTTGCCCCATGCCCCTCCTTCCCCAAACTCAATGTATATACATAAGACATTTACTTAGATTATTTTTAACAGAACAGCATGACACAGGTACTGTCAGGCTGACTGTATCCCTCCCCACCTGATCTTGAACTGCAAAATTTCCACCCAGCCAGAACCCCCCCCCCCAAGTTGAGAATTCCTGACTTGGATCATGCATTATATGGTTTGAATTAGAGCATTCATCATCAAATTTACATTTAAGATTAGACAGACAGGATTAGAGCATTCATCATCAGATTTACATTTAAGATTAGACAGACAGGAAAGTGGCACATTATATTTCATTGTAAAATTTTTATTGCTCAAAAGATTTTAAATAACTTTATTTCTTTAAAAAACTTCCTTTTTTTTGCATTCAGTAATTAAATAATTAAGTCTCTAAATAAAGGAATAACAGATTACCTTAGTCTTCGATTTAAACGTATTTCGTACCATCTAAGAAAACGGAGGAATATTTGATTTTAATCAATTCTTTTAATTAAATTATTAAAATCATTTCTACCCAGAATAAAAGATGTAAGCATTACAAAAGCAATTAATAATCTTAAATTTAGTAAGAATAAATATGAAGAATATAATATAACATAGAAAATATAATATTTTTCATGAAGAACTTCTTTTTGTACTTGGTTCCAAGGAAATAACACCAACACACATAAAGGGGATTAGTAAAAGGCCAGAAGAAAACTATGATTTATGCAGTTTTCGTTTCCTATTACTAAATTTGTATTAGACTCAGCTCATTAAAATTACAAAATGTTAGTTTTTTTAAAAATAATAACTTTTTATTATACAAATTTGTTACCACACAAATATAGTTTGTTAAATTTTTGAATAACAATGAATTAAAATTTGAATTTCTTTCTTGCTGATTTTGAATAGTTGGTTAGCTATTCAAAATCAGCAATTTAGCAAGTAAATGCAATTCAATTAAAAACTGTTATTTTATTAAATTCTAATGTCAAACAAAATATTAAATGTTGAATAAAAAAACGGCAAAGTATGAGTAATGTAAATGGAATGGAAATAAATGTGCTATCATGTTAATGTCTTAATTATTAAGTTTTATTTACTTAATTAAAAATTACCTTGGTTTTCTTAAATTGAATTGTCTGATGTATGATTGGTAATTATTTATCACTAAGGCATCATCATTATCATCAGAAAGAGTGAGTGAGTGAGTGAGAGATTATGGCGCAAAACCAAAGACGATTATAGCGCGCCAAACACGAGATGGGATGATTACAAATGATGAAATTAAAATACAATAATTAAAAACAAGTATACAAATGTACCAAATCCAGAGGATGAAATCATATAAAAACAAGTTAAAAGCACACATTAAAATTCAAGACATAGTCTTCAAAACAAATTACATTACATAATAAAAGCCAGTCTCTTTTAAATAATAAAATAAATTACAATTGACCTCTCTTCCGATTAAACGGTCGAGAGGTAAGTCACAGCTATTAAAATATTTCTGACGAAGACTATTAAAACTTGGACACTCAATTAAAATATGACGGACAGATAGACAAACATTACAATTTGAACAAACAGGCCTTGTTCTCAGCTTTTAAAAGGTAGTTATGTGTTACTCTAGTGTGGCCAATTCTGGGGCGAGTCAAAAGAACTTCCTCCTTACGATTTTTGGTTAATTCCCAATGCTCAATTCTAGGCTTTACATGTCTTAATTTATTTTGAAGCTGAACATCCCAAAGTTGCTGCCATTTTTTTCGGATCTTGTTTTTCACAACACTCCAAAAGGGATGAGACGACTGGACAGTTCAACAGCACATTTTGCTGTGATATCTGCCAGCTCATTCCCTTTTATTCCCACATGCCCGGGTGGTGTATCATCAGAAAGAAAACATATTTCTGTATAACATCAAAATATATTTATTCAATAAAATTAATTGTATAATTTTGAGTTTTGAAAGTTATCAAATTAATTTCTAAAACAGAACTGTATTTTAAGATACTCCAGCAAACAGTTCAAGTAAGTCTTCATCTTTATCATCCTGTAAAAATATATCACCAAATAAATAAATATTGTAAAATACATAAGACTAAGTTTTATTAGATATGAAACATATCAAATAAGAATACTTTTTTTTTGTCTTTCATATTAATCCTTTACTATCTCATTTATTAATAAAAATATGAAAGATTAAATCTTACTAAACATAAGCGACATACTTGATCACATGTTTTATCACTCTCTGATGGACTGTCACCTTTGCTTCTGGTTTTCCCTCTACCTTCACTTGTCCATACTACTTTGGCCTTTGGTAGAGTTACAGAAATATCCTTTTCACTAGAGCTGCAATAACATAACAGAAAATAAAAACAAGAAATATATTATTGCATAAAACAGTCTCAAATTCAAATTGCATGCAAGCAGGCCAACTGCACTATCTAAGAGCAGTTGACAGGCCAGACCATTTTTTCAACAAAATTTAAAAATATTTTTACAAACACCTGATGTGGATACCACAACTTCCCTGTATGGCCAATTAAATTATATACATTTTTTGCTGCACTTCATTTAAACTTATTTTCTCAAATTATTCTAACTTAATTAACCCGTTCCTCAAGGCCACATGAAAATGACATTAAAATTATAAATTTTTAAATTAAATATCCCAGTTAATTTTTGTTATATGGGTGTCAAACTTTTTGTAGAAATTCTCCTACCCCTTCCTCATCGCATGAACTGGCATGCAAGTATACAAAGCTCCAATCTATCTTTTTTTCTTCAATAGCAATTATGCACAAAATTGCAGTCCACATTTTTTAGTTAATAATAGTTTCTCACAATTTGTTGTAGTCAGTGTTATTATTTTGTAAGAATTTTTTTAAAATACGTACTCTGTTAAATTTACTTTCTTCATCTTTTTACATTCACTTTTTTCTTTTTGCGCATAAATAATCCATTTCTGAGTAGAAGATCTAATTGCTGCAAAATTACATTAGCAAACATATTCATATATGAAGCTTAACTGAACCTAACTGAACTTAAATTACAAAAGGATATTTTATTCAAGTATTTTTAGATTAATTCTAATTTATGCAGCCTAAATCTGGATGGCAGTTGTGTCAATGTAAAAAAAAAAAAAAAAAAAAAAAAAAAAAAAAAAAAAACCTGCAGATTTTGTAAAACAAAAACAAAAAAAAAAAAAAACACCTTAGTGCCTTGTATAACAAACATTCTGCATGAAAAATATCCCTTCACATAAGGAACTTAGTCCTGTGTTATGAATCACAAACCAATTTTTCATATCCTGTTTGAGCAGAGCAGAAATACAAAATATATTGTGTGAGTAAACGGGGGGGGGGGGGGGGAATTACTGAAGGAGGGGATAAATAAATGCATATTCTTAATATTATAAAACATTCCTTGACCTGGAATATGAAGAAGTCTAGGAAAGTTTCTGCTGATAAACAGGAGGAAAATAAAAAGGATTCATTCCTACTGAAGCTACCAATGTCTTTCACATGAAGTTGTAATTAGATGGATTCTTACTTTAAGACCATCTCAAACAAAAGACTGTTTCAGACATTTCTGTTAAAAATTATTAAAAAGTATAAAAAGTCTTAATATGTTTAGATATTCCAAGTTTTTTAATAAAAAATAATTTATGAAGAAAGCCTTTAAACTGCCCTTCTCACACAGTTTCTAAATTAAAGGTAAAATACTCAAATTAAAAAAATTAATTTGTTTGAAACATTACAAACAAGTTATTATTAGCTAAAAGTTCAATCAATATAAGACAAGTTAAATTGCTTTAATCTTTATAATAATAATAAAACAGATACCAATTTTACTTTTCCTTATATAATGTAATTAAAAAATGAAATAAACAATACAATTACTTACAGACTTTGAAATGAAGTACTTGGAGAACTAAATACATTATACATTGGGGACAATTGGGATGGAGTAGTCCCTGAGTTTTGAGCAAGTGACATTTCACTACAATCAGCAGAGAAACTATCAGACTTTGTTTGAAAGTTTGGAGCAGCTGAAAGATTTAATACAAAAATTTTTGTAATAAATTAGAACAATATCAAATTAAAAAGCATTACAATTTTACAGTTACAAATACTGGAACTCAATGTGCTTTATAGCATAGTTTAAAAGCACTTTAGAAAATAAATATTTCATACTTTAAAGTAAATGTAAACTTACACTGTTCATTTGGCAGAGGGGTTAAGCGATAACTCAGTGGTTGATAGCAGGAAGAACTTTTTTCTAGAGCTTCAATAACAAAATTGTCCAAAAATGTTAAAGATGGATCAATCTATCAAAATTTAAAAAAATTTTAGAACAGGATTCTTTATACAAAATTAAAGTAATTGGCAACTTGAAAGACATTTGCTTATAACCGAAAAAAAAATTAATTTAATGCAAGGAACAAAACTATTACTAGCAACACGTGCATAACAAATTTAACTGTTTATACACAGTCCTAGTATATCCCTAATAAGGTTAAGAACAGTTAATATTAAACCTAGAAATTTTGTTTTAGAAATATGAATGTAATTAAGTCCTCTCTGTACAGTTTTAGAGAATCAGTTCCCCTTAATAAAATTACACATATGCAATAGTGCATTTAATTAAAAAAAAGATCACCCTAAGATGTGTCTATATATGAAACTCTTTTGTACCATCAGCACAACATGTAGAACTACCGTATATCGGGTTTTTTTACGATCTGTGGTTTTTATGGTTATTGATTTAGACCCTTTAATACTCACAGTCTTGTTGGATGGTACATCAAATGTGAGTGGAATTTCATCCCTATTTCCTATTTGACCGAGCTCAAAAGAAGTTTTCTTGCGTGTATTTATAACAAACCTATGAAATGCTAGTATTTTTTCTTCATAATCTGCTGGCATTTTCTGTGCAATAGTTGTTTTTGTGCGCATTGATAAGCCTTGCCTTTTCATGAACCTGTAGCACCAGCCCTCAGACCTTGAAAAGTTCTGCTTCCCATGTTTTTCTGCAAATCCTTTGGCTTCATTGATTATCATTTTAGTTGAAACACTCATCCCAGATTTCCTCTTATGTATCACCCACATTTTTACGGCATTTTCAAGTTCATGCCAAGATGGAGCTGGGCATTGAAGGTTATGTTTTTGTTTTTTAGCAGTCTTCAGTTGATCTTCCTGCAGTCGCCAAGTACGTATCATTTTTTTCGGTAGATGCCTTGCTGCTGCTCTGTTTCCATGTACTTAAACACTCCTAGTTTATACTGAATTGTATAGCTTAATCTCTTGTGTCCTGTAGTCATATTTTCCAGGGTATTTAAAAAAAATAGTTTTAAGCACCAATACCAACACGTTTATACAGAGTAGCACCGATACCAACACGTGTGTCGGCTGAGTCAAAGAAAGTCTATGTAAAGAAGGAAAGGCTTCATAGACGTAATGTGACCACCGGATCTGTTCAAACTTCGACATCAGCTTCGAGCTTTGGCGCTTTTTGGCGACAGATATTTCACGCATGCGCAAAATAATTATATGGCAGATGTAGAAAAAGTTATGTGTGTCTAGACCTTTATCCGGGCTAAAAATAGCATTCAGTATTGAAAGTTAACCTGTGTCCTTCACGTATAAGACACAGGTAACTTTTTTGAGACCTAATTTAGGAAAAAAGTGCGTCTTATATGCCGTCAAATATGGTGAATTAACTAAAAGCTGTAGATCGCCTACTACATGACTATACTACCTCGCATACTACCTCACCTAGATTAAATAAAGATCGAATGCACCCATATTCTTAATAGACTTAGTAAAATGAATCTCCAAGGTAAAGTTCTTAAGAGTTTATATAAAAGAGCTATTGAGAGAAAGATCTTGTATGCATGTGGTCCGAATGAGTAACAAAATTTTGCAAATTCAAAGAATCGCTTTATTGGGGATTACTAAGTGTTTTAGAACTGTTTCCACAGTAGCAACACCACTTCAGATTTTGGCTGGATGTTTCCTTATCTATATTTTGGTGGAAAAAACATTATCTATCTTTAAATTAAAAGCTGTTAATAAAACTGTCGATTGTTTCAGTGAGATCTTCTCAGCTAGAGATTTTGACTTGTCACCAGAAAGGATTAGACATTCATCCAGCTTTGTTGAAATGGTTGAATTGGCATAAAGGCCTCCCCAATATGACAGGCTACATGGTTTTTACAGATGGATCTAAATTAAATGGTCATGTGGGGGCAATCTTTTATGTGTTCTCACATAAGAAACTAAGCTTACAAAGGAAATATAGACTTTCTGACAATGCTTCTGTCTACCAGGCAGAGTTAGTGGCCCTGCGAGAAGCCTCATATTGGCTTATTTCTATTTCTGTGATAGATCCTGTAGAAATCTAAAATGATTGCGAAAGTGCAATTGTTTCAATTACGGATATTTGTCCAAGTAACGATCTAATTAAAGAGTTAAAAGACATGCTCATTTTTCTTAGCGCTTTCAGAGATATTAAACTCTTTTGGACGAAGAGTCATATTGGTACCATTGGTAACGAGTTAGTAGATAGATTGGCAATGGTTGCCACTGAAAATTAAATTATTGATTTTGAAGTAAAGACTTCCTTTGAAAGTTTGAAATCCTTGTTGAAAAGAAAAAAAAAATTGACTCTATGGCAAGCAAAGTGGAACGACCCAGATTTTAAAGGAAGATTAACCTATAATTTAATGTCAACTGTAAGTGAGAGAAGATGCCTAAGTGGTGACAAGTATCTAAACCAAGCTTTAACTAATCATGGACACTTTCCCTTTTATTATAACAGGTTTTCGATAAAAATTGTGCCTGTCCATTTGGCATGAGTAATGTCGATGTTGAGCACCTGTTGTTTAGATGCTCTTCTATGAAAAATATTGTTCTAAGATTTATTCCAGATATTGCTAAATTTAATATTCTAAAGGATCTAAGTAAAAATACAGTGACTAAATTGAAATTTTCAAATTTCATAAAATATGTATCTGTAAATGAAATGAATTTATATATTGATTGTGTTTAAAATTTCTCCGTCTGTTAAAAAAAAAAAAAAAAAAAAAAAAAAAAAATAGAGGTTTATGATATTCTGTTATTTTATTTCTTTGTATATGTAGGTAACATATTTTTATGCGTGTAAGTAACATGCATTATATTTTACAAAGTATGTAATAATGTGCTTTTGTTGGCATAGCTGGTAAATCTCACCAGCTCCTAGACTCTAAGTTCATATTTTAGTTTTTTATTCTATTTAAAGTTATTTCAGGTAGTATGGTGGTTGTTTACTGCTTCATGGGCCTGATTTAGGCTTTGTTTTATATCTCAATGTTTCTTTAATTTGTGGACTTGCTACTAATGTCTAAAATTAATTTATTATTAGGAACAGCATGAATTATAAACAAATAGCTAAGTTTATTGCTTTTTATTTTCCTGCTATCAAAATGCGACGCTACTAGAATAGCAACGTTTTGAAACCAAAACCAAGCAATCATGAATCAGAACTAGTTGCCATTCAGCATAAAAAAATTTAAATATAAATATGAACTACTTGTTGACATTCAGCATAAAAGAAATATAAAGATGACTTGACTAAATATTAAAGTTAATTTTATAAAATAATTAAACACATGAACAAATATATGAAATAAAAAATAGTTATTTCTCATGCAATACTTGGGCCACTATAAATTAAATAGCTCCACTAAGCCCTGTTAAACCTCTAATGGCGGTACAGGAAGTTCGACCAGTCATACTACATGACTATAAAAAATCTACCTAGGAAAGACTAGAGATACTATTTTCAGAGACCTCATTGAGACATTTTTACCATTTCCCTATCTCAAAAGAAAACAAACATTTAATTTTCAGATAAATATAAAATGATTTCTAATTTGCACCACTACTCCCAAGGCTTAGATTAGATTTATAAAAGTAAAATGAAATGCAAGGTATTTTTCAAAGATTTAAAATATTTAAAACTAAAAAAAGCAGTGTAAAACCTTACTTCTTCAGTTTCCTCATAATCTTTTAATTCTGGCAAGCAGTCAATAACATTAAGTAGCTGATTCAAAACCTGAAACCAAAGATGTTTTATTGACTTCTGCAACAACTTTACTTTCAGATGAACCGAGGAAAATAATTTAAATTTACCATTTTAAATCATTCCCTGGTATTTTACAAGAAAACTTCCTAAATTACTATCTTTAATACAAAAAACCTATGCTATCATGATGCATATATCTTTGTACAGAGGAGGTTCTAAGAATGCCTGATTTTTTATAATAAAAATATGTTTATTGTTTGCCATTTCTTTTGGCTCATGGGTAGAAAAATTTAAGTGTGATGCAAAATTCATTTTCACAAATATATCAAACACTTAAAAATGATATTCCATGTAGCTTAAGAAACTGTCTCCCCTTTTTTTTGCATGAAATCTTTTGAGTTTTAAAATAATGAGATCATAATTGTTACTATATAAGACAGTATTTTGAAAATTATCCATTAAATACTGAGTATATAGAAATATCAGAAAAAAGCTTCACATATGATTCAAATGTAACAAAAATATGCATGGTGCTCTTGCTCTGTATATAGAAAAGTACACCCCAATAATGCACAAATTTTAATCTAGTTTCTAATCCCTCTTCCCATCATAATTGTCAATATTTGAATAGAAGTACATTTAAGATGAAAGAAGCTGTAGGATTTTTACTTTAATGTAAAGAGATTTTTCATTTGACTAGAGAATAATGCAATAATTAAAAAATCAAAACTAGTAATTAGCACTTTCTAGTTTATGTACACTCTTTTGAAAGAGTGAAACAAGACAGAACATATGGCAAGAACACAGTAGTTCAGTTAATAAAAATTATTTTGAAATAACCTCCAACTTATCAGGGTTTCTGCATAAGAAAAAAACTTTAACTCCTATCATTAACTCAAGAGATGCGAATTAGACATTTGTTCCACTGCAAATTACAACTATACATATTTGTAATGTTGTTAATGGTATTTTCACAAAAGTATTTTTTGTAAAATTGCCATCATAACATGAATTTTAAATTTTACAAAAAGGATAAATATTTTTGCATAAAGCATGCTATCAAAATACTTGCCTTTTCTACTATCCTGATAGCCACTATTTGTTCTAAAATTAGCATCTATATGATAGCAAGTAACAAAAAGAGAATTTTCTTTACAAAATTAAAGTGTTGAGATAAAAAGGAATGTCATGAAAAAATTTCTGTTTCAAATTGTATTTCAGAAAAAAGATTTTTTTTTTTTTTTTTTTTTTTTTTTTTTTTACAATGAACATTGCATACTTGCCAACCTATGACACTCAAAAATCAGGAGATTTTTTTAAGAAATCAGGAGATTTTTCACAATGTTAAAAAGACTTTTTAAATGATAAAAATATGGTTTTTAATAATGAATTAACTTTAAATAGTAACTAATTCTTAAATGCAAGCAACACAAAAATACCTTACGCATAAAAAAACATTTTTATTACTTGCATCGTTTAAGGGGAAAAAAAAAAAAAAAAAAAAGGAGGGAATTTTAGTTTAGAAAATTAGTTCCTAATTTTGTTCACTGCAATTGCCACGTAGACCTGCTTTCGCTAAGAAAAGTTTTTCTAATGTGTCATCACTAATATTAGATCTAAATTTAGTTTTCGTTTACGCAACACTGGAAATCTCTCACACTCTGCACTACTATGGGGAACTGTCAAGATGGCCAACACAATTCTAGACAGTTGACTATATTTTAAAATTCCATCAGCACCTTTCAGTTTTCCAATTAAACTCCACTGGGTGTCAATCCTAGCTGATTTTATAACTTCATTCAAGTTTTCTAATTGTAAACTGCTGTTATGCAGCTGTTGGAACTGTTTCAATTTTTCCTTCCTTTTAGAACTCCTTTCAAGATAATAATAAATATCCAACAATGTGTTCATCCACATTTATTGGTAAAGAAGCTGCCCCCTTTTTCAGCTTGCTAAATTTAAGAGGTGACAGGTGCACCTCATAATCTGCAAATCTGAATTTTCCGTTCTGAAGATGCCTTGCAACACCAGTCTTCAAGCCTACCAATACTGGTATATTATCGGCACCAAGTGCTAAGCAATTATCCAGAGGGCCTGCATTTTCTTTTAAAGTTTAATAATTAGCTGTGGTATATTAAAGCCTGTCCAAATGTCCTTCTAAAATGGGACAGAAAGTAAACTTGCACTCAATTTCTGAAGACTCAGTGAAAAAAGAAACTCAGTGGATTAAAAAAAGAAACAACAATTGGATACAGTTTTGAATCGGTATTATTGCTTCCATCCGTAGAGAGGCAGAACGGAGTTGTTTTAATGCAATCAATAAACTGAAGATTTATTTTTCAAACCCATTTCTTTAACAATTGCACCTGTTTTGGTTCTTGCACTTGAGTATTTCTTAGCAATTTCACTATCGGGAAACATTTTTCTAAATAAAGCTGCAGCGTGATCCGATGCATTCAGTGGCAGGTTGTGCTCCAGTAAAAAGGCAGAGAACAGACATTCTGCATTAATAACTTTTTCGTCCTTTGTTTTCATTTTTTTAAAAAACAACTCATGTTATCCTTGTGTTTTTGTGTTCGCACATGTTTGAGAACATCCGCCCTTCCACATTGCGAATTTGAAAAATCGCAATGACAGGCGGTGCACATCGCAAATTTATTACATTTCCTTGAGGAAATAATGGAAGGAAAGTACGATTTTTGAAACGTACATGAGTATTTCATTCTCTCAGACATAACAAAAGATGATAATTTCTAAAACTATTTCCCGAAGGCACGTGCACTCACACAACTCAGCCCAAATTGAACGAAATAACTAAAGAACATCCAAATAACAGCTTGCCTTGTCCTCATTGGCTAATATATGCCAGCTGACACGCAGTGGAGTTCGATGCCCATTGGAGAACTGGAGAACGACGTTTCTCACAAAGCAGAAGTTATCTGATTCTTAAGGTTTTGTTTTAAATATAATCTAGAGAAAATTCAATTGCTTTCAGATGTCCAAAATCACTTTTGTTCATATAACAAAGTATTAAGCCAAGTTCCATAAAAATCGTGAGAAATTTTAAAAATAAGAAAAAGTCGGGAGAAATATATTGTAAATCGGGTTGGCGGGAGATCGGTCGAAAATCGGGAGTCTCCCGCCTAAATCAGGAGAGTTGGCAACTCTGACATTGCATTTAAAGGGCCAAAGAGTTTTTACAATTCCCGAGCCTCAGTCTGGCCATGTTTGAACCATACACTAGATGAACTTTTTAGAAAAAATCATGATGAAGATTTAAATTCAGTACACAAAACAAAAATTAAAAAAAGTAATAAGATATCAGTTCTTGTCTCATATAACACCAGTCAACAGGAAAAAGTAACCAAAGAAAGTATATGAACTCAATAGATTTTCACTCGCTGATTTCAAATATGTAATATGTTTATATGTTTTTCTCTATCCTGTCATGTTTTTCAGACGAAGCAAGTTTAACGCTTACAAGATCCTTTTTTTTGTTATTTTTTTACAATGCATCGATTTTGTATAAATTACAAAGTAGTATATGCTGATGTTTTTATATGAAGTTTGTCATTATTTAAATATATTTATAAGTAACAGTTTTAAGATTGCAGTTTTACTGTCATCATTACTTTTATTATGCTATTAATTTTTAGAAATAACACCTTTGTTACTCCCCCCCCAACTGATTTTCAGATGATCTAGAATATATTTCACTGTTTTTTAAGAATAATAAAAGTGCTATATTAAACCATTACTATACTTCATACATGTAAAAAAACACACAATTACATGTGTAGGCTTATCACGACTTTTTTTGGCTGAAATCAGGAAAATTTTGAGAAAACATTCACAACAGAATAAAATCTACTAGGATAAGTACCAATGATTGAAAATGCATATAAAGAAGTTGTTAACAAAAAATAACACTAAGTTAAAAGAAATTTTTAATAACTCAACTGAAGATATCTTATTATTAAGAAGATATTAGTATTTATTATAAGTGTGAACTTTCTTTAAAAATTCTTTGTTGTTTTTCATGATATCAAAAAATTTAGGGCAATTTAGTTCACTATTAATTTTACAACTGTGTACAGCTTTTATAGTTCAGCTGCTCTACCTCTTTCTTCAGACCATATGATGTTCATTATTGAGAATACTCTTTGGATTCATCTTGATGTTCCTGGCATGCTGTAAACATATTCTGCTATTTGAGCTCAGCAGCAAAATGCTCTTTTCTTTAAAATGACTGAAAAGTTGCGTCCATTTTTCTTCACAACTTTTATTTTTCTAAATTTCAAATTTGGCACACCAAAAATACTTCTGCAATCAAAAAGTTAATGCATGCTTATTGTATTATTTGTGACAATTCCATTAATATTTTCATCTGAAGCTTCAGAGTGTGTTAATTCATTGTTGTTTATCGAAATAAATATATTTGCTCCACCAAAACTGTTTTCCCATAGCTCAATGTAAGAACAATACCTGTCATTATTTTGAAAAAAAAAAAAAAAAAAAAAAAAACATCTACACAACACAGGTACTTTTCCATTATGCACCTGCCATGCATTTTGGTGGGTTTTTTTTTTTTTTTTTTTTTTTTTTTTTTTTATATGTATACACACTATTAAATATGATAAATTAAGCACATACACAAATAATCTGGTCTCTGATGGCATTATTAATGGGTCTTGGCATAGATTTGGTTTAGCTTTCACAGGTGCCAAAAAGCGTGGCATGTGCAGTAGTAACTATGTACTTAGATCTAGATACAAAATATTTAGATTGGCAAAAAGTGAACGTAACAGTGGGGACAGTTTAATTGCCAAATTTGCAAAGCTGTACTATTTGTACTTCCTGATTATTCAACACTTTTTGTGTGCATATATTTAGATCTCTCTATCTCTTTACATGCACATCCATTTAGAATCTCAGTCACTTGAATATACTGATAAAGAGACTTAAAACAACACACATGCAATATATTTTAGATGTCTATTAAATGAACAAGAAAAATATTAAAGGAATATATGTATATTTCTAAAAACATCTTTTTGTGCTAACACTTAAGTTTTTTTAAACGTAATTTAAACATAGTTCAATATAAAAGAAGCAGCATTTCCACAAAGATAAAATGGATTGAGAAATACTATGAAGAATATTTGAACAAATTACTAGGGGGTTACGAACTGAAAGTTGTAATACTTCAGAACAAATACATGACACGACATGTTTTTACAAAATATTTCTTAATTTCTAAAATAATATTCCACAATAATAAGCAGGGCAAAAAGATGTACATTTGAAAATACACATAAATTCTATACAATTACATTAATATTTAAATGGAAAATTTGTTTTTGGGAGGGGTTCATTGTATTTTATTATTACCTGCATAAAACTGTATTTCATGGAAAAAAATAACAAGCAGCATTTTTGAGTTCAGGAGAAAGAATTAAGAAAGTTTAGTTTTACATCCGATGAAAGAGTTTTTTTTTTTATCCTTATTGCTGACCAGTGTAATAAAATATTAGCTATCAAGATTATTATAGGCTACACAATAAGAAATTAAATAATGAAGTTAGAAAATTATAAATAAAATATGCACCGAGATGTACCTGAGAAGCACCTTCTGGCTTAACTTCCATATTCCTCAACATATGTACAAAATCAGATGAAATTTCTTTAGTTTTTAAAATGAGTTCTAATAGTGAAATCAAAAGCCAAGATGCAGAAACATCATCAGCTGTTTCCAATAGAGATGGCAAAACTTCTTCAAATTCAGATGAAGTGATCAATACCTAGAACACAGAATAAACAATCTCGAGTAAAATATAACAGGAAAAAATAATACCTGAAAAGAAAAAAGCAGTAATTATTTACAAAATGCTATCTGAATATTATTTCATTTGAGAGATAATGACTGATAGATAAAGGAAGATATTAAAGCTTTTACTATATTGAAAAGTCACATTATAAATACACAGAGAAGCTTAAGGAAGTAAACACATTGGAACCTTGATTATTCTTCAATACTTGTCATCACAAATAAGAGACAGATAGCTCTGTCATTGCAATGTCAGATCAAGGTAGTTTGTAATGAAGTTTCATTCTTATCATAGTACATAACACATAACTAGAACTGAAAACTGCTTACATTATGACTTGCTTACTATTACATACAGAAAAATATAACACAGAATATATACAAATGAGTCTCACAAATGAAACCACAACACACATATATACAAATGAAACCACAACACAGTAAAATATTAAATAACTTATATCTATTACGATGCTTTAATTTTTAAGTTAGTATTCATTCTATTCACTGAATTGCCCTGGGGCTTGAGTCACTACTAGGCATGTTGGCAGGTGGTAGATAGCTATATGTCCTATATTATCTGACAAGATAGCTTTGAATAATTAATAAGAAATCATAAACCCCCTCCCATAATCCTGGTGTTATGTGACCCATGCCTAGGGTGAATGACACAGCAGTTATGTCTTAACGGAGCCCCTAAAATGCCTGGCACCTTCTAGGGTATTTTGCCTTACCCAGCAACAGGCAATGGTGGGTGCACCTTTTTTATTCTGTACTTTCTTTTCTAGTTTATATATGGCTAAAAATGACAATATAACTAAAAATTCTGCTTTTGCAGGCAAAATCTCTGAGGTAGACCTTTCTTTTCAAAACAAGGAAACCCAGAGGAAATCAATCGAAGGTGCAGAAATGAATCCTTCCTTGAGTGAGGTAGAAATTATCTCTATTCAAATTACTCAACCGACATCTGGAGAAGGGCAGGAAGTTATTAAAAGCATGACTGACTTCCTAGATAAAATCAAAAAGAGAATGTCTGGAGCACAAAAAAGAAATGTGCCCAAGAACTGAAAATTGTCAAAGGTGCTTGGGTTGAAAACCCATGGGAAAAGGTGAAAAAAGACCATCTCAAAGGATGGAGCAAAATGCAGCCCTGAAGACTGCCAAAAGAGACATACCTTCAGGTCCGTAAGAGTCTCCCCGAAGGTATAACCTTCAGGCAGATTCTTATGGTAGTAAAGATAACTGTACTCATTGAGGGACATCCTGACAAACATTTATTGAAGGAACAGGCTACTGACCTTGAACTTCTGTTAATGAATAAAATAAGAAAAAAACAGTGTGGGCTTTGCCCCTACCTTTATATCCTGCAGAGAGAATGGGGCACTTATTTTCAATTGGGCAGATCTGGGGAGCTCTAAATGGCTAGTGAAATAAACCTTTGCCAAGAGCAAAAACTTCTGGTGGACAAAGAAACTTTTCAAAACCACAATTATAGCTAAACTGCCAAAAGTTTGTAACAAACTGGACCCCAAAGAGGTCATGAAAAGGATCAAGGCCCAGAACAGTCAGCTCGCTTCAAATGAGTGGAAAAGAAGATCCATCTAGACAGACCAACATCCTTTGTGTGTTTGAAATGGATGCTGCTGTTCTTGGTCGAAGAGTTCATAAATTTTATATCAGACTTCACCAAGTACAAGCTAAAGTTCTCGACAAATCCACAAGACTGATGGGAAGGGGGGTGAAGGTTCTTCAAGCCAACACCCATCACAGCAGAAATGGTACCACTAGCCTCAGAAGCAAATTTCTTACTGAGGACATACACCTGGCTCTGATACAATAACCCTGGTTGGTCGGGAGTAGAATGAGTGGCCTTACATGAACAATGGGTAAGCTAATCTATAATTTTAATAGTGATGCTAGAACATCTATTCTTTTAGATAAGGATATTGTTTGTTTCCTCTTACTGATTAAGTGTTTCCTCTTACTGAATTTATTCACAGAGAACTAACGACAGTGAAAGTCAGAGTCAACATGGGGGGATGAGACAGAGAAATTGTTTTTGGTTTTGTCTACTTGCCCTATGAAGAGAAAGCTCTACTTGATCAATCTCTACACAAACTTAGGCAAATTTAAGCATGAAATAACTTGCAAGCAATCCTAGGGCTAGACTGCAATGATCACAATGTGGTCTGGGGTAGCACAGACACAAAAGAATTGAGTGCCTTTTAGAATTTATTCTTATTATAATTTTGATACTCTAAATGTGGGCAATGATCCAACTTTTATCATTTCTAATAGATCTGAAATAATTGATGTTATTGTTGTGAGAACAATGATTAGTAAAAATATCAAAAAATGGAAAGTTGACAGTAGACTGTCAGGCTGAGACCATCAAAACACCCACTTTGAAATTAATTTAATTCTTGATCGAATGTTTAGAGATCCCATGAGGGTAGACTGGAAAAAATTCCAGGAGGAACTTGTGGGGCTGGCTGAACTGGAGGAAAAACCTATTAGGGACAATTATGATCTAGAAGTTACAGCAGAATGTCTGCATAACAATATTCTAGATTCATACAATAACAAGTGCCCAATTTGCACTAAGAGAGCCTTAATGTAACTAGTAGAATGACTAGCAAATGAAAGGGTAGTAGTCAGAAAACCTTTCAATAAAGCAAAGAAATATGGTTAATGGGCTACTTATAGAAAAGCCCTAACCAACTATAACACATGTCAGAAAAAGTAAACAAGACTCCTGGAGGAAGTTCTACAAAGGGACAGATTCTATCTCTGTAAGAGCTAGACTCAAGCCTCCTTAGGAAGGATGAACCAATTTTGGTTGGCCCCTGAAGAAACAGGATAGTAATGTTGCTAACACTGGTAAAGACATTATGGAAATTATGGACAAAACCCACTATCCAGGAGCTAGGGATGTGTACATCAATGAAGGTCAGCACTTCATTGGCTCCGTAAAAAGAGTCACAAAAAACCAAAGGACCTATGCTAAAAATATTCTTTATCATAATAATGTTAGGTGGGCTATATCAACCTTCAAACCACTCAAAAGCCCTTGACCTGATGGAATTATGCCCAACATGATCCAAAAGGCAGAGAAAATCATTATCCCAGTACTGACTAGAATTTATAGAGCTAGCTTGGCACTGGGATACATTCAAAAAATATGGCAAAAGACTACAATTGTTTTCATTCCTAAACCTGGCAAAAATAACTATGACCAGCCTTTCTTCCTTTTTCTTAAAATTACGGAGAAAATTATTGATAGGCATATTAGAGAATAACAGGGTAATTACAATCCCTTGTATTATAAGGTATTTCTCCCACCTTCTTAGCATGCCTTTGTGGTGTAGTGGTCAGCACACTTGGCGTATATTCGAGAGGTCTGTGGTTTGAGTTCTGGTGAGAGCATTGCTCATTTTTCATCTCTCCTGCTTCGAATTAACCTAATAAATCTACAATGGCGACTGAACTTAAAGGGTGGTAGATGATGTTTCTCCACCACCAAGATTTGGCAATTGGATCCCCTAAAATCCCAGTCACCCTTTATAGGGGTATATAAGGTATTTCTCCTGCCTTCTTAGCATGCCTTCGTGTCACCCAGAATTAATCTCTTTAGAGATGGTATGCCACTGTCTTCCAGGCATAGGTTCTCACTATTACTGTTTACAAATAAATATAAGCAAAGGCTATCACAGTAAGTGGATTCTCATTTTTAGTGACAGTCAAGCAGTCTTAAAGGTTTTATACTCTTTTCAAATTAAATCAGAGATTGTTTTGGAATGGGGAAACCTGCATTCCAAAACAATCTTAACATATCTGATGGAGTATCAGCACAGTAACTACTGTTATGTCGTCCTTTGACACTGCAGCCAAGACAGGTGCATCTACAGTGGTGTGATTAATGATGACATTGTTATCGGAGCGACATTACCAGACAAATCCTGGTTTTGTGTACAGCTTTATGATGGATGTATCCAGGTGTGGAGGTACTGAGGAGAGGGAACCTTGCCAGCTTGCATTTGTCACTTTAAGATGTGCCTAGTACACCTGGCATGCTGGTATTGGGTATTGTTGGATACACATCCCTGATAACCTCTTATTCACATAATACAATATTCTAACTTGCAATCTATACAGCTATAGTTACATTTCTGATGTATTATGGTCCATCGTTGCGCCCTATCTTCAAGGCTTGTGTGATGCCATTTTTCAACAATATAATGTCTGTGCTGTCCTGACTTTCCTCAAAACAGAGGGTGTTTCACTGTTGCCCTGACCAGCAAGTTCTCCAGATCTCTCATTGAGAACACCCGGTCATGGATTGCTGACAAACTAGCATGCCACCATTCCCCAGCAATTATGGCTGATGAACTCTGACATCAAGGTGAAGCCACATGAAATGAAGTATCCATATCTGACATTTACGCTCAGTTAAGACTTGATGTTCTGCCTGATTACAACCACTGTTGCTGCCAGAGGTGGTAGCTCAGTATTGAATTCTTCACGCTGTGTATCCCAAACCACCTGCAAATTTAATCATGTCTTCCTCTCATTATACTGTATATGTACAATAAATAAGATTCTGCTACTTGCTTTCCTTTCTGATGTAGCCAGTACTTGCTTTCCTTTCTGATTCGCATTATATGCTCTTGGATTTTTCAATTAAATAACCTGTTATATAGTTCAGATACTAACTTACGGAGAGAAACAGAGAGGAGTAGAGATTCTTCCTCTTTATGAAATAATTTACAATAGTTGGAAAATCTGCTACTGGTACATGGGCAACTTGCTCAGAAGTTTAATTTCTTCTCCATAATGCAGAACAACCAGTTGTGGCCAGAAGGCATGTAAGGCTCATTCCCTTATTTTGTGAGTTTAACCCCACCTTGCACTGCAGAAAATACTGTCAGTAAAGAAACTGCCTCCGACCAACAGATTTCTAAATTCAAAAGAACACTCACTGGTGACTAAATCAAAAGAGCTCCTATTTTCCATATAAAAGACCATTGATTGGTACATTATTTACATATAAACATGAAATAAAATAAACGGGAAACACTACCATTGTTTTCTTTGTGAACACCATTTATTTTAGTAGCCTAGCAGTATCCTAAATGTATTTTTTATTCATGTTAAAAGCCATGCCCCCAAATTTTTAATCTCATTTTTGGAAAAAAAATTATGATCAGAATATAATATTAATAAATGTAATAGTTCTTATATATGTAAGATATGTGATCAGTAGATCCACAGGGCATGTCAATGTCCTACTCATCTTTTATTTTTAGTAAATATAAAATTTTAACAGTGGTAAAATAGATGAAATTTAAACACATAGTTGTAAGCATTAAAAAATGATATAAAAATTACAGCATTTGTTTAAATGAACAATTCATAATTAGATATAATAAAGATATATTAAATTCATACTGATGCAATAACTTTGATAATGGAAGGAGGAAGACACTGTTTTTCTTTATATAATTTTAGACATGTTTTCTTTGCAAGATTCTTCAACATATCATCTGTGAAAAATTCAAACACATTACAAAAATATATTATATATTACAAACACTGAAATTTTGAGCAAAACTACTTTTTGTGAAAAAACAAAAATGAAGCTAAAAGAAGAAAACTAACATTAACTTTTTTTTCTTTTTTAGATCATGAGAAAACTAACAGCATGAGAAAATAATTTCACAACAGCATTAAACTGAAACTTTTAGTGTGCAAAACTATAAACATCTGAGAGACAGATTGAGATTCATATAATAATTATATTTCATTATTGAAACAGGGCAATAATTTTGGCAAAATTTTCCAGAACATAAAAAGAATAACAGTCCTTATAACATTAATTCTCTATTAACTAATCAACTATGAAGATTTATAAAGCAATTCTGAAACAAAAAAATTAGCGCAATTTAATTATGACAGATATAAAAACACATGTTAAGAAAACTACATGCTGGCACATAATGAGCCAAGTATTTCTAAACGCTTTATTATTACTTTCAACATAAAATTATTAGTTTACATTATTTATGTTAAAGACAAATCATTAAATATTTGAAATTATAGGCTTACATAAATTTATATGGGGAGTACAAATAAGTCTCCACCTTTTTTAACCAAAAATTGCCCATTTATTGTGAAAGAATGGTGCATTAATTTTTATTCAAAGTATTGTCCATCACTAGCTACTACTTTTTCCTATCTTTCTGGCAGTATATGGATACCGCCTTAGAAGAATGCTTCATCTTTCAAGGTTACCCACAAATCAACCCAATTTTTGGTATCTTCATATGATGTGAAGTGCTGCCCAGACATTCTCATTTGAATGTAAGTTTTCATAAGTGCTGCAACATGAGGATGAGCGTTATCATTCAGAAGAATAATGTTGTCATGTCTGAAGTAGTAGTGGGTATATCTTTCTTTGAATGCTAAGTTCACTCTCATCAACTGTATTTGGTACAGAGCCCCAGTAATCGTTTCCTCGATTTGAGCAACTCATAATACATAACACGAAAATGATCCCACCATAAACACAACATGATTTTTTTCCATGATGAATTCCATTTGGCTGTCGATGTTGAAACACGGCCAGGTGGCTCCCATGCTTTCATCTTCTTTGGGGTATCCTATTAGATTCATTTTTCATCACTAGTGACTATACAGTGGAAAAAAAAAAAAAAAAAAGCCTTTCATTTATGTCTGGCAAGCAGCACTTCACATGTAAAAAATCAGCGTTCAACGTTTTCTGGCTTCATCTGGCTTCAGTTCATATGGAAACAATATCCTTGCTTTTGAATCATTCCCAATGATTTTAAACAATGTAAAATTGCTTGCTAAATCACTTCTAATGCAAGTGCAAGGCCTACTTGCATTTGACATGAATCTTCATGCAATAATGCTTCTAATTCCACGTGATCATACATTTTCACCTTTCTGCTCTGTTCTTTTGTATTTGGCGTGAAATTCATCATTTTTAAACTTTTGAAATTGCTCACAACTATTTCTCTCACTTAAGGCAGCCTCATCATATGTTTCTACAAGCAACTGGTACACCTCAGCTGCAGAATTTCTTCAAATTAAAGAAGGTTATGTTGTTAGCACATGTCTAAACTTTTGATATGACATTTCACATCAGACAATTTGACCATAACTTACTGGTGATGTCATTTTTTCCTTGAATTGCAGACTTATTTTTGCTCCCAATAAATATAATAATAATTTTATTACATAATTTAATTTATAATCAAAAGCTCTTAATTCTTAAAGGTAAATTAATTTCATAACTTAGTTTTTTAATTGTAAATAATGTGGCAGTACTAAAGAATGAAATTAACACGCACAATTTCAAATTTCTAAAAACACTGTTCTTTGAAGATACACCCAAATTAATTTTGGTACTTTTCTGTTTCACTGCCGCAAATCTCGCCAAGCAGACTTTACTGGCGACAACGCCAGTAAAAAATGTTACAAATGTTAGTTCTATGAAATTTTTATTTTGAAGGCATAAACATTTTAATATCATTTAAAATTTTGTAAAAAGACATTAATTTTTGAATTTACTATGCTTTCATGGTACTATATCCTGATTTGCCGTTTCATATCACGTGATCCCAAGTGATCTCATCTCACGTAAACTACGCTACAAAAACCTAATTCTTTCAATAATTATCTACATTAATTTCAAGTTAAATCTTAATAATTTGGATTACAAGTTTAAATGCAAGAATTATTTCAATTCGTACGACTTATAGCTCTTCTTTACTTACTCAGAAATGATGTGAAAACCGCAGTGCTTTACTTCGCCTAGTGTATTCTTCATTAGAATTGGATGTAATTTAACCCTTAATGTTGCCTTTCCTATACATTTTCGCCTTCGGGTGAGCGGTGTGATTGCATTCTAATTGACTTACTTACCGCGAATGGCCTTAGGGGTATAAAATTGAACCATTTGGTTAAAATTCTATGTAATTGTATGCCAGTACTGAAAGAAACAATCAATCTGATAAGAAATAGCTGCAACTTGTTTTGAAAATGAAGTGTAAAAGGTTACAGCGATTAAATTCTGTTTAGCATCGGTTGTAAAATCTTTGGCGACTTTATTACTTGTGCCGGCAAATTGGAAAAGCAGCTTAATTTTTTACACTTGTACATTTCAAATGCATGACACAATGTAAAAACATATAAAATTTCAATGATCAGCACAAAATGGATAACAAGACATCCCCTAAAAAGATTAATGAAATAATTAATTATCAATTTGGTAATTTTAAAATTAATAATTTAGATATTATTATATCATTAAAATATAAATTAACATTGCATTACCATTATTAATTATTATTATTATTATTTTAATGTAAATTCATTAAAAAATATATTCTCCAAAACGGATCAAATTCAAAGCAAAATATGTAAATGCATACAAGAAAGCATATTATTAATTCATAAACTTAACAGGATGGAAACAAAATGTTTTTGTATGACTAAAGTTCACATAATACCCTTTTATTATCAAAAAAAGAGAAAAATGATATGATTAGGAGAAAAATACCACAGACCTTTACAAATCTTGTTGATGACGCCATGTATATTAAAAGCAGGCAGAACATCACCAGCATTCAAAAGAACATCAATTATAACAGAAATATACCATTCATTTTCATCTTTGAATTTAAACATGATTAAGGATTAAAACACAAATGTGAAAAAATTATGGATATATACTTAATATTTTCATACATTACTTTAACCCTCTGAGCGGCCATGATTTTCACAAAGAAAGCACAAATTTTCCAAAACTACTATGAGAACAATTATTTTTTGATTTTAATGTACAAACTCTCCTAGAATTTCATACCTGGATTTGTTTTCTTTTCATATATTGCCTTAATTTTTTTTTGACATATTTTAATATGCACGTATATATATGTTCTTACAGATATCACAAAAAATATTCTACGCCATATATATATATATATATATATGGCCTTGCCACTTAGAGGTTAAAGCACAGAATGCAATTCAATATTTAAATAATAAAATTAGAGAATGAAATTAAATATTTATGTTTTACTATTACATAAGAAAACTTATTGCCTGGCTCTACATTATATCAAAGAATATTAGGGAAATCTGTCTAATTTGCTCAAGGAATTCCTGTAAAATTTATGATTCAGCTTCAATGTACAGTCAAAGTATGTTTTAGTAAAAACATAACTCATGCCATCCTTTGAAATAACATTAATAAATCAGAAACAATTTCATTCATATAAGTTGCTGTCTAAATCCCTTATTTAATGGCTCATTAACAACAATAAAAAATACAGATCATTTTTAGAACTACATTTGCAATGTAAAATTATACATCCGTCTACTGATAAATAAGGAAGAAGCTGCATGCATGTATGTATGCATGTATACATTTGTATTTTCCTTGAATTGTGTGGTGATTGGAAGCATCTACAACCACCACATTTTTAACACATGTAGTCCTTACCCTAACAGGCTCAATTTGAAGCTTGAATTTGTTTTTATTTTTTTATATTTTGTGAGAATTTAAGGAACTTTGTATAAAAACTTTGGGTTGCCACTTTGCAAAGTGCAAGATATTTATGCTTAAGATTTAATTAGAAAACTCAACAATGTAAAAGAAGTGTGTTCTGCAAAAACCTAAAATATTTGTCTTTCAGAAATTCAGTTATCTAAAATCGAAACGTACTGCCACCACACAAATTAAAAATCTTCATCTCACAAGCAGCAGCATGTTATCATTCAGTAACATATAAAATAGTATTTAATTTTTCTTCCACATTTATTCAGTTATTAATTAATAAACTAAGCGATTTAAAAGCAGTTTAAATTTTCATTACTATTAATTAGTAGATGTATTTGTGAAATTACTTTAGTTGGATTAGTTAAAATCATTATATATTTGTTTCGTTTTCATAATAACTATTTTAGGCAGCTGGCTGCACAAGTGGCTATAAACTGTGACTCCAGCTATAATTTTGATTACATATTTTTTATCTTATGTATATGAGGTAAAAATATGAAAGCAAATTTCTAATTTTAACTGGCAATAACCTCTTTTATCCTGCATTTTAATTTGGATATTTCTGCTTTCTGTCCTAAAAATAGAAACTATTGTATAATATATAAGAAGTTCAAATTAATCTGCATTATATGATCTTGTGCATCATTATCTCTCTTACCCAATCACTGAATAAGATTTCTGTTGAGAACCGAAACCTTTTTGATATCTCCTACATTTCCTTCTGAATGTGTTACTTTCCTAACTGCTTGCAAAGTAACACATCGCTACTTGTTTCTATTTATCATCCATTTTGTTGCATGTGCTAAGCTTTCAAAGCAGTGGGGTGCATATAGTGCTCATTTTATTTGTGTCAGGTTAATGAAATGTGTGTCAACCATGAATATTAAAGTAAACAAGTAAATTTGCCCATGTCTACATTCCTTGTTATGCATCTATGACACCACAAAGCTTTTACAACTTATTTGCAAGAGATAGATAGATATATGCACACATGTTACATACATACAATACAGAAAGGGTAAGGGATGTTTAAAAAAAATGATTACAAAATGTTTAAAAAACACTGATGGAAATTATCTATTTATTATTGAAAACAGAAGTTTAAAGGAAATAAAACTGTAGGACAAATCTATTTACTACACAACTAAAGACCTTGATTTAAGAAATAACATTAAAAAAAATCAAGACTATGAACATTTCTTTTCTATCTTTTTATAATAATTTTTGTAGGGCATTACACATAATCCCAAGATATTTTTCACAAATAAACATTAAAAACTTTTTTAAAATAAAGTTTAAAGGATATTTTTCAGCTAATTGCAGAATTTTCATAGACAAATCTCTTTTCTTCTCATTGTCCACACTTGAAGTTATAAATTCCATCATCTTTTTGCAGATGGCAATGACATTTGATGGATTGGCCAACTGATATATCAGATCCAATGTCTAAAATTATGGACAGCTGTAATCACATCATTTTAACATATGACTATATTACATCTGTGCTATAAATCTATAAAAACAGTATTTTCAAAAAATCAAAGTAAACATAAAATATGCAATACAGGAATTATACAGCAAAAGAAAAAGGTTTACTCAATATTCAAAGCAGCAGCTTAAATGCAGTCAAATACTGCTATTAATAAACTCCATATTCGAAATGACGTCTTATACCGAAAATTCGAATCGGATGATGGGAAAGCTTTTCGATGGCAACTGATACTTCCAAGATCCTAGATCCCAGACTTCCTTAAAGAACTACATAGCAGGAATACAAAAAGCCACTTCGGAATAATGAAGACATTGCAGAGAGTTCATGAGCGCTTCCACTGGAGTAATATAAAGTATGATGTGCAAAAGTGGTGCCGATCTTGCGATGCCTATGCGGATTGGAAAGGACCGAAGAAACTCAGCAAAGGCAAGCTGCAATGATGCAACATAGCACTGCCTTTTGAACATATCCCCTTTGACATCTTGGGACCTCTGTCATGAACTGCTGATGGCAACAAATACATACTCGTTTTCAAGTGGCCTGAAGCATATCCTATTCCTGATCAAGAGGCTGTCACGGTAGCAGAGATAGCAATGGATTTCCAGGTTCAGAGTGCTAATTTTACCTTGGCTGTAACCAAGAAAGAACTCATGTAAAGAACTCGGCAAGCTGCTCAGCATTGACAAAACCCCAAATGACACCATTACATCCCCAGTCAAATGGCATGGTAGAGAGGTTCAATCGAACCATCCTTATAACCTCTTGTTGCTGGCTTCCAAAAACTAACAGGACTGGGACAAGAAGTTACCTCTCTTTTTGCTGGCTTATCGAAGTGCTGTCTATGAGACTACCGGCTATTCTCCATCCCAGAAGCTCTTCGGCCGTGACCTTCGTCTACCTTGATCTCTCGTTTGGTCACCCTCTGGATGCCCCTTCATCACCTGAGGAATACATTCAAGATCTCCAGGCCCGGTTTGAAAGAGAGCGAGTTAACTTGGCAACAGGAAAGATGAAGGGCTGATATGACAAGAGAGCTACAGGACATCCGATTCAACAAAGGAGACAAGGTGTCGTTGTGGAATCCGATTCAACGGAAAGGACTCTGTCCTAAACTACAATCACCTTGGGATGAAATGGGATGGTCCTTACACAGGAACAGGCTGAATGACATTGCAGTTTGGATCCATAAGTCATCAAACTGTAAGCCTAAAGTCATTTATTATGACAGGTTAGCTTCTTACTATAGCCATAATATGTAGTGTATAAGACCATGGTCCTTTTAGCAACTAAATTTGTGACTCATTTATTTAGTATTTGATTTGTTTTAAGATACTTATTGCTATTATTGTTTATGTTGCCAGTTATTGTAATGTAATGTTTATTATTGCTTTGATACCTTAATTGTAAGTTTGGCTTCCTGTCCAGAGATTGGACTGCCTGAGACGAGCAGTCCTTGGGAAGGAGACAGTGTTACGAATTTTGTATTTAGATAGCTAATGTTAGTAGAATTATAATTAAAATTGTTTTATTTTCCCTGTGCAATGCAGCATGAGACAAATATTAAGAGAAAGCTACCCCAGAAAAGTAAAAATACAAGAGCATGTGCATTTAACATTTAATAAATGAGTATCTCTTTAATTTGTATTGAAATTGTATAAATGTAATTGACTACTATGTTAGCTGTAAGCGTAATTTTACTCTTTTGCTTTCCAGAAATCTCGAGAAGCAGAAATTACTAGAAGCTCTCGTGGCTGACAAATATTAGAGAAAGCTACGCCAGAAAAGTAAAAATACAAGAGAATGTGCATTTAACATTTAATAAATGAGTATCTCTTTAATTTGTATTGAAATTGTATAAATGTAATTGACTACTATGTTAACTGTAAGCCTAGTTTTATTCTTTTGCTTTCCAGAAATCTCGAGAAGCAGAAATTACTAGAATCTCTCATGACAAAAAGGCCAGACAGAGAACATCTCATCTTAGTTAGCTGGTGTTATTATTCTTGATTGGATTAGCTTTCTCTGCACTGCGGATTGTGTTCTATTTAACATTTTAGTAGTTTAAAGTATAGCTACTGATTATATTGTGTGATTATTATACTAATATTTCTGAGGAAAATTACAGCATTTTGTTATATTTCTTCTGATAAGAATAAATTTTATTAATGTTTTATCAGACTTGTGCATTCAATCTATTATGAACATGTACACATGCAACAATATGCTATTTTAATTGTCTGGACACATTTTAAGATGCATGTCTGGGCATCTTAACATGAAATTCAATTTCTCTAAATAGCTCACAATAAATATATGACATTTAACTAATGCAGACAGCCACACAAAAACACCAATTTTAAATATTTAAGTAATTAATTTACTACCAAATTAATATATCTGCACCCCTTTCTGAAGTCTTAAAATTTAGCCTTCATAGATATTTGTAATTTTAAACACAAAATTTTGTATAATTTCGGAAAGACTACAGATAACTTTCTGAAGAAGTAAATAATTTAAGTGATGTCAAGAAGAAATAGTTATTTATTTTTATAATATTTATAAATAGCTTAAATATAAAATAAATTTGTCAATTTTCTGAAATTACCTTTTTCTCTATTTTCTCATGCTTAATTTATAAAACACATGAAAAATAATCTAAATTTAAATAAGTGTATATGTATTTTTTGCAAATTGGAAAGAAAGGGGTAGAGAAATGATCATCTAGCAAACATAAAAGGGTGCATGGGCAAAAAAAAATTGAGAACCACTGGTATAGTAGAACACTGACTAATTTTCTTATGATGTATTTCTCATACAAACCGACATGCTGAATCTAAAAATTAGTTCATCATATTCACAGTATCAATAATTCAAATTTCATATGTAAGTATCCATTTTAGAAAGATAATTTTTAAACTTGAATAATGTAAATGTTATGCATATTTTAACTATAAAACAGATAAAAAAACCTTAAGCTGCAATGTTTCATCTGGTAATTTGAGGCATTCCATAATTATTTCTTGCTGCACACTTGTAATACTAGGTTTTATTCTCTTCACAACTGAAATTAAAGCTTCGATGCCTATTAATAAAAATATATGAAATATCAGTTAAATAATGTATAAGAAAACACTTTCAAATAAGTAAATCACATATGAGAAAGTATTTTACACATAAACATTACCTATTAATTTCAAGTTTACATTCTTTGATTTCAAAAATGTAGAAACAGATGATAAAACAAGCTCAGTTAATTCTACATTTGTTTCCATATGAGTTAATGCTTGAATTACTTCATACATGATAGCTAGAAAAATTAAAGTTCATTATTAATCAATATTTTTTATTCCAGATAGTTATAGTAATAGGTTTATTGAACGAGTATTTACCATGACACATAGAATTCTGCTGGCCAGTTTGCAGCAATGTTTTCTTTAAGATTGATGTCAGCTTTTGACAATGCCTAAACAAAATCAAAATAATAATAATAATAATAATAATAATAAATTGAAATATATAAAACTGAATGTCTAAACTGCAGCTGTGAGAAAAAATTCTGTGTGTGCTGGGTGTTGGGGAGAGAAATACAGTAATGAGAAACAAAACTCCCCACTACAAATTTTCTAAGGTAAACACTAAATGGGGAATCCCCCATTTATGCAGCTGATGTGGCACTTTGTCTCTTAACTTGACGCTTGTATTCTCAGTTTGCAATCTACACTATTTAAATAAATATATGCATTTAAACTTTTATATCCCAAACTACTGCTTTTTGGGACAATCCAGAAAATCCGGTACATATGGTGACCTTTATTTGAAAAATACCAGTTATGCCTTTCATGAATGCTTTTCAAATATACAATCAGGAATGATTTATAACTTCAAGCAGTATACTAGGTTCACTCTTTCAAACCCCCTATCTGAGATGAAATTTGCAAATCAAAATCTTATTCTTTATGTTTAAAGATTTTGTATGAGTGGTGCTATATAATATAAAATATATACATCAGTTAAACACTAGTTAAAAATTAGACAGCATAATTACAATTTACAAATAAAGAAAACATTATACTTTACTTTTGGAAATAGTCAAATAATGAAGACTGGCTTTTTGAATATCAGTACAGTGAAAAGTCCTTAATCTGGACTCGTCGAGACTTCTGCGATTCCGGATTATCGATTTTTCCGGATTATAGATCATCAGTTTAAATCTGGTAAGATGGCATGCAGAAATTATAAAATTAAAAATATGAAACCGTAATTTATGAAATAAAGAACAATTATGATCTAAAGGGTATTAAAAAAAAAGCTTAATATTTATTTGTTTACTTTATTAAACATTTCTTTCAATGTAAGTTGTTTAAGTTGCTTCGTTTTATGTGATAATACTTTCTCTTTAATACTATAAAGACATAATTCTTATTCAGTTACAAGTTTCGCTGTTTCAAGTCCTATAATGCTGTGTCGAGAATACCAAATAATTTGTCAATCGAAATTTTTTCGTTTTCAATAACCTCTGTGTCACTTTCTTCACTATCGGAAGCGAATTATAATGACGAGGAATTTGATTTAAATCATATCAAAGACAGAGTACATCGAGATGAAATACTACATTTAGTAAGGAATTATAAGCCAAATAAAATAAAAACATCTGCCCTGAAGATAAGGATAGTGGTGACAGATCAACTTCCAATTCATTGTGCGCCGTGGTTAGAGAAACAAAGGATATACCTTTATCCATTTTTTGCAGCAATTCCACTTTTTGTTTGATGGACATCGAAACATACTTTCGCTTTGTAGATCCTTTGGGAGCTCCAGCATCGGAAATTCTATTTGACATAATCGAAAGTTTAAGCTTACTTTTATAAAATTGCTCTAACAGTCTGCAAAAATAATAAGCCGGATCCAATTCAAAGATTAAGGAACAATGCAATCTGCGAGATTGAAAGTTTATAGCTTTGAGGTCCGGATTATGGGTGTCCAAATCAACGACATTTGACTGTAATAACAAATGAGAACATCTAAACTTTATGTACAGAGAAGATTTTGTTTTGTGTTTTTAAAATTAGAGAATATAACCCCTCTAAAGAAGCAAATACCTGCTGCTCATTGAATAACTTGAGCAATTTAGGAAAAAACATTAAACTATTAGTGTTAAATCTATTTGTAATAACACTGGTAAAATATGATACATATTAAGAAATACTATGAAAAATAAAATTTGATTACTTTTTAATTAAAAAATTACTAGTTTACAAAAGAATGAAAATTTAGATATATTAATACATTGCCATATGCTATATTATTTTAGGCTGTTTTTTTAATCTTTATCTCTTAAATGCAGCATCGACAGAATAAAGAAATGCAGTCAAAAATACTCACTCTGGTTTCTTACACAGAAAGGATAGCATTTTTATGATGTCAATTTGCAACCATGGTGCAGGAATATCACAGTAATTCATACTACGTGGAATTCTCCTGAGTAAAATTTGATCTTGCAAATCCACTAAACTGTCGATCAAGTATGCGAAATCTGAAGGTAATCTCTAAACACAAAGATAATATTAAAAATAGTTTGGAATTTACTGAATAGAAGCACACACTTATACGATTGATAAAGACAATTGGCTTAATAAAACAAAATAAACAAACAAACAAAAACAGTACTTTTTGTTATCGGGACTAGATTCTGATATGTGTGTTTGTATGCATGTATGCATGACATACACACATATACATACATATTGTTACGTTTTTCTCTTCCTCACACCAGTTGTTACGTTATTTTCTTCCTTCATGTTCGTACAGGGTTCGTAGATTTGGAGTGAATAACGGCGACGCTTGATGAAGTATCGAAACACACTTTATTTAGCCAATATTAATCAGGACAGCTCCAATAACACTTTTTACAGTCGTCGAAAATCTACTATAAACATGCTGGAACATTCAGCGACACAGCCTTCACGGTGGAGATAGCTTCACTGCAAAGCACCAGAGTACAGCTTCCGTCTCTGTTTGGTCATTCTCGGAACTCCATGTACTCTCGAGACTCTCCACGCAATGCACTCGACGATACACAAGAGTATAGCTTTCGACTCAGCACAGTCTAAGACAAAATTCGACGATGCACCTCGATGACGAACTCAGCTCTAGACTTCGAGACACTCGCTCAATGACTGACTATCAGCTCGCTAGACGTGGCACACCACACACTAACTGATTGCGGACCAGCAGGGTTTATATAGCTTTCGGCTTGTGTTCGAGAACATTCTGGGCTAAACCGGTAAGAATTTGTTCCAGAAGGTTCTCCATCCGTCCATGGTTTGTCACTCAATGGGTGATTTCTTGCCAAATGTGGGAACCCTGCCTTCACTTGCCATTTTTATGGCAACCCTAAAATTATCACTGAACATGTAAAATTTCATGAGAAATGTTTATAGAGTACAAAATATGCTCATGATACAGCCAGAGAAAACTGCTTTTTATAAATTGTTATATGTCATTGTGAATATCACTGGATACTTCTTTCTCACAATGACATTAAAATGAAAGTACAGCCAATTTCCAATTAACTGAGCTTAGTCTACACCAAATAAATTTGTTTACTGCGCAGCAATGGAAAAATTACCATAACAAACCAACAGAGTAAAACAAATTTCTACAGGAAATACAAAAACGAGAAAAACAGTGTAACATAAAAGTGGTAATAGCAGATGATGCCAGAATATTTAGGAAATGTCTTTATCCACAACAGTACATAATATAACTGTGCATAATATGAATATAAAAATACTGTTCAATAATCCATTAAAAATAAATTAAGTCTATAGTTATTTATCTTCTCTTTGCCACTGACTTTTATTAAAATACAAGAGTAATATAAACATAAACATCGTTTTTCTGTTTTGAAGTATGTCTTTGTTTTTAATGTTGGTTTAATTTATGCAATCAAATGATCTTATTCCCGAAAAGAATGTTTACAAAATATAAGTAAATTTATTGATTATGAGGCGGGGGATAAAAAAGTTTCCATTTCAGGGTGTCTCTGCAGCATGTATGAATATTAGTGTGATGCAGATATGGGTTTATAAGCAACAACATCTTGGCATCAGGCTATTGTGGCATTTGTCTATTTCCGAAAAGTGTAAAATAAATGCTCAAATGTTATCTCCAAATGCGGTAAAAATGGACCAATGTGCTGTTATTCTTTTTTGGCTGCAAAAAATGGTAGATATTTGTTGGGAAATGAAGAACGTGTATGAAGTGTAGTAGTGTGTATATCTGTCAAAAACCACGATTGTGGAATGGTGCTCCATAGTCAAAGCTGGTCGTGATTCAACTCAAGGTGCACGCTGATCTGAGAGGCTCACTACATCCATTACAGACAACAACCAGCGGGCAGTTGATGATGCGATTAGGCACAATGTCACATTTCCATTCACACGTATTTAAAGGATCTCAACATAAGCCCTGGTAACATGCAGCACATTATCTGGCAGAAGTTAGGCTACCATAATATCTGCAGTTAAGGGATACCCTAGACACTGTATTCTGAATACAAATCGAACCTGATGGCTGTTCGCCTGAAGCACTTGATGCATTTCAATGTTGAAGGCAACACATTCTTTGAGTGCATTGTTACTGGCAACCTGAGTTGAAAATATTGACTATGCTGTATTGCCATCCTTTGTCGCCTCATTCCAAGAAGTTCAAGAGTTAGTTATCTGCTGGAAAAGTGATGCTTACCCTGTTTTCTGATTTTAGAGCCCATTGCTTATTTATTTAAGAATCCAGGTGTCTCCATTAATGGGGAATGGTACTGTGAAACACTGGAGAGATTATAACATGAAATGGAGATGAAACACCCAGAAAACTGCAGAATGAGGCGATTTTGCTTCATGATAACAAACGTCCCCGTTCAGAAATGTTGTAACATAAAAGTTACATAAATCTGATCTGTCCCCCATTCCATTTTCACACCAGTGGTCCCTTAAAAAAGTCCTCAAAAGGTTGACAGTTCAGGTGAGACAGAGACGTGCAGCAGGCAGTTTCAGACTTCTTCAAGCAGCAGAAAAAGAAGTTATACCTAGTAGGTACATTCAACCTGGTGAAGGGGTGGGATGATTGCCTAAACGGTCATGGCGATTGAGCTGTATAACCTTTGAATGGAAACTTTTTTATTACCCTATATATAACATATTAGGTTATTCCCCTTACCTGTACTTTTTTAACTGCAGTTGGATTAACCGTGGATGTTGTTCATGGTAATCCATTAAAAATAAATGGTAATGGGGAGCTTACTTTTACTCATTTGAAAGTTAACTCTCTTGTTTTTCTTAATTAAGTTTTCAACTCTGAATGTCTTGGTATTATTTGTATTTTAAAAACAATTTTCTTTTCATTATAATTTACAATGTTCTTCCAAGAGCTTGTTAACTTCAACAAACTGACTGCTTGAGTCTACATAATTCAGCTACTGATGATTTCAAACATGATAATACTGTCCATGAAAAACTGGTCATTATTATAAGTGCACAGAATCTCTGCACCTAAAACTAGCTGAATTTAGTGCCTACTCTTACAATTTAAGATGCTCGTCAGACCAATATAATGAAAGAAAGAAAATTTGGAAGTTTAACATTGCTGCAAGATAAAGATTTGTTCTATGAAGCTGGATCACTTCATTTTCATTGATTTAAAATGAGTATAAATATAAATTTACCTTCCAAAATTTTATGAACGAAACTTTTTTTACTAAATTTAACGCACAAAATTTAAAAATCAGCATTTATGACTGTTTAAAAATATGTCTTTGGAAAGTATTTTAAGATTTTATTGGTTCAAATGCATATTAAATAATATTACTTAATTGTTTTTGGTGGTTTTAATTAAATAAACTTGCAAACAAAAGTCTGAATTTGAAGGTAAATTATAACTAAAAAATAAACAATGAACTTTTTTATTTATTTTTCAGTTATGATTTACCTTTGGATTCAGATTTTAATAAAGTAGTCAATTCATACAATATATTCAAAAGCCAATGACATTTCATATTTACAATATATCAATATTATATACTAAAAAATTCTGACAAAAATATGCAAAACTATTCATTTATTCAAAATCAAATTTACAGCAAACATATGGTATTTTCCTTTTTGAAAACTAATATCTCCTCTCAACAGGAAACAATGATAATGCTGAGTTAAAACTATTATAATTACAAGAAAATCTTCACTGTTTTCACAACAGAAGTATGCATATATAGCCTTTAGCCCATTGCATATTTATTATACAACTATGATTCATATCAACAACAATGAAAGCAAAACTAAAATCACTTGGAATTAATGCGCGACACACACACACACACACACACACACACACACAAAAAAAAAAAAAAAAAAATACATTTATAGTTATCAACATCAAAAACATGTATTTCTATTATTTATCATATTCTGAAACACATCTCTTACATTTATTTACAAAAAATGGTGAAAAAACTTCCATTTTTCTTCACAATATATAAATTCTATATATTTGTATTTTAATTCTAATTTGAAATAATTCTTCTTGAAAAAAAATTTGACTGCATGGGCTGCAAATAATTCTTCTTGGGGGAAAAAAAAAAGTTTGACTGCAAGGGCTGCTCTAATTTTTTTACAACACTAACCTAAATATTTACATATTAATCTAGGTTTTATCTGAAACCAAGTAGTGCATACATACACAGTGAAAAAAAAAGAGCATAATATTTAATGATCTTCCTAGCCTGATATAAATCCAATGTGTTCATTCAAACAGGGTTGCCACTCAAACAGGAGAATGAAATTCCCTGACTTTTCCAGATTTTCAGGTATGTTTCGAGAAAATTCCAGTCTATTCGCGTAATGTACGTTGGCTGCGCTAAGAGGTAAATTAATTATGGTATTACTTGTACTGTGTAGCAAATTCACTTAATTATTCAATAAATCCCAGAGGACATTTATTCTTAATTATTCTTGCTACACTTTGTTTGATAATTTTGTTTACTTTTCCACTTAAGAAAATTAATAAAATTTAAGATATATACATTGGATCACAATTGTACGTTTTATTTAATTATTACTCATGATCATCACCAGTTAGTTCAACATGAGGCTAATCCGGTTCTTATAAATCACAATGCAATGCTAAAAGTTAGGTTAGATTTTAGGTAAATTTAATTTGTGTGAGGTGTCTTCTTAAAAGGCACCTTAACACTTGAAAACACAAATATAATTATAATAGGAGTTGTTTTCTCCACTGAAGATTGAGATTAGAATCTCTCCAATCTGGAATAAAATAAGGCTTTTTTTGCAGACATTCTGCAGCTAAATGAAAGAAAGAAATCTATTTAATGCTATTTTTTTACTAAATTGAGGTATTTTATATTTATTTCGCAGCATACATAAGGAAAAAATATGTGCATTAAATTTCGTGATGTCATCATACTGCTAGAATTAATTTCAGGATTATGCCAGAGAAAATTTCCTGAAATTTGGAAATATTATTTACTAATGATAAATAAATTTAGACGGAAGAAGCAACATTAAATGATATGAATAACATAAAAATAAAAATAATTACTTAAAAATTGAATTAGAATAATCAACGATATTTTAGAGAATATAGTTATATTACATGGCTAGCCTAGATGACTGATTACTATTTTTTTATTTTACTGCAAAATGACAAGGTATTTATTAAAAAGAAAAGAGAAAAAAAAAAAATTTTCCGGTAAAATCCTAGTATACAGTATAACCTTCGCACGATTTTGAAAATTGTCGCCAAGAAAAAAATAACTCGTTTGCTGCTCATCATCATGTCGCCAAATCCCACTGTACCATACATGGAGATTATTCTAACCAAAGAACGTCTATGTAAAGAAGAAAAAGTTCCATACACGTAAATGCTATTACGCGGCTAGAAAGCAGAGGGAAAATTTGCCAAGGGGTCTGGCGGCCAGAATCTCTCCGCGATGTGTACAGGAAATTGAGAAACACGTGTTAAAAAGAAAAGTTCTTTGACAAAAAAGAAAACTACGAATATCCGTTTTTAAATTATTGCGAAAAATCCAAGAAGAAACGTTTTATCAAAGAACGTTTTTTCTTGGATTTTTGCAATAATAATTTTAAAAAAACGGATTTTTGGTAGTTTTCCCCCCCTTCAAACCCCCCCTCAAAATAACTAATCCATGAATTAATTTACTTGCGCCAAAAAATATTTTCTTTTCCTTTAGAGTTTTAAAGAAATTTTAAAAAAAAAAACGATATTCATTTTATGAACTCTTGATAACGTGACCTTCGAACTTCGACACTGGTTTCGAGCTTTGGCGACAGATATATCGCGCATGCACAGCTGTTTCCCTCTATGATGGAACGGAGCCACGTCTGTTGCAGAGAGGTTTTCTTTCTTTACAATACATATTTTTTGATTCTAACCTTCATGGTACCGTATATTAGGATTAAACCCATTTTGTTTTATACGAGAACAGGTACTTTCTTTAGTTCATGCACTGCACATGCGATTCTCAAGGTTACTGGAAACCCAAAGTTGCGGGAAACTTGATTTGCCCTTCTAAAAGACAATCAAATTGGAGCTGCAAAAATTGGCTCTATGCCAGCTGCCCGAATGACACTCACGTGATACCAATTCACCAAAAAAGTGATCTCTTCCGACGTCGGCGCAAAACTCGCCTTTTTTGGCGGGATCGTTGTATGAAATTCCCTGACTTTTCCAGATTTTGACTAAAACACTTAAATTCCCTGACTTTTCCCTGAATTTTTTGGTCAATTTCCGAATTCCCTGACTTTTTCCGATTTTCCAGGTAGTGTGGCAACCCTGTTCAAAGTTTCTTCATGAAAAAAGAATTACTGATTGCACGGGTTGCTCTGATTTTTTTTAGTACACTTATTTGAATACTTAATACACTTATTTGATGTAAGTACTTTTTAGTACACTTATTTGATGTAAGAATTCAGCACTGGGATGAAAAACTTACCATGTAATTAATATTAATTTCCTCTAATCATTCAGTGATTGAAACTTACTATATACTTGGAAGATATATGATGAACAATGCAGTATATGCTCAGATTTTAAGACGGCAAATAAGTGATGACTTCAAGATAGATATATTGTTTATTTAGATCCTAACCTTAATTGAGTAAACCATCAAACTGATCTATTACTTATTTACTTGAGCCATCTAAGAACAGCAATCAAGACTAGATGCTCTCCAATATACAGAGTAACAATGTTTAGATTTGCAGCATTTAAACCTGCACTTCTAATAGTTGCGTTAAAATATAATGCTTAATATCTGAAATGCTTCTGCTAGAGACAATTTTTAATACAAATTTTCCATAACTGTGTACAATATAGCCATTTTATATATTTGAATTTCTGAAATAAATCAATCCTTAGAATATCTAAATGACAAAATCCTTTTGAATATCAAGAAATTTAAATACCAAATAAAAACAAGTACAGTTATCAATATGCTAAATTATGTAATTTAAATTTTATACCTGTATAACTTTAAAAATAGTTTGCACAGCAGCAGCCACAACTTCTAGCTCACTATCAGATAAAACTTTCTCTAATTTGGGGAAAGCCATCAGATCAGCACTTTGGCTTCCAGCTAATTGAAGACAATGACCAAGTGCCAAAACAGCTAACTTTCGAACATCAGCTCTAAAACATACAAACTAATTGTATTTGGCAATATATATTATATATATAATTATTAAATAGATAGAAAAGAAGCAGTAAATGTTTCGAGAATAAAGCACACGAGCACTAAATGAAAAGATACATTAAATAGATATATACAAATTAAGTTTATTTCACATTACAAGTGTAAATTAAAGCCTGCTGCTTAAAAGCTAAGCAACTATTGTTTATAATTAAATTACAAAGCAAAATGTTTTTATTTCATAAGAAGAAGGCAGATCTGAATTAAATACTCTAAAAATGTACAGAACTTTTATCTACCCTAATTTATATACCCTAACTTATGGTTTAATTTTGCCCAATTTAAAGCGATATTTTCTATTCATATATTATAAACTTCTCAAGAAATTTTATGTGGCACAATAATAATAATGTATGCAACATAAAAATTTTTCGGAAACACAACAAATTTAATATTAACTGCAATTTAGTTGGATTTTAGATGTATTTAACAGAACAAGTTTTTCCAAGAACACAGTTCATGTCAATCACAAAGTAGATGTTATGGGAAAAAATTCTTGGCACACATGCCACAGAAAAACTCCACATGGCAAATTAGTTTGAGCAATAACAGTAAGCTTCAAAATTTGCAAGTTATAATTTTGATTCCAACAATGGAAAATTATGGATGATTTTTTTCATTTAAAATATCAAGTATGATTCATAACTTACATTCTCATGCAATTTTATAAATATTCCATAAATACAAATAGAGTATTCTATTTTTAACCCTTTTCACACACATTCTATTACACATATATGTAATAGGATGAACTGGAGAAAGCTGCAATGGATTGGTGTTGGCTCTTTGCATTGTAATAACTTGGACAGGCTTTACTGCATAGTTAGAAAGATGACACATGAAGACTGACATAGCCATAAATTCCACACACAATTTTACCCCTTGATAATTAATTCTTAGGACACATATTCTTTTTCACTGAATATCATCACTGTGTGCTATGCACCCCTCCTCAATTTTATACAGATTATATTTTTAGAACAATGGACAACAGCTAGCAAAGGCTAAGCGACATGTTGCAAGCAAAGCAGAATCTTAATGGCAAGATAGCTAGAAGCAAAATGTGCCCCAGTTATCCAATATGGCAGTTATTACAAGAAGGTTTTAGTTTAAGTTGCTTCTTATGAGAAAATTTCAGCTCTTGAAATTTTCAGTTCAATTAAGCTATGTCATCAGCGTTACACAGTGCAGAAAAAGGCATGCAGTAATGTGAAATATCCTGGTCACTGGATTACTGGTGAGGGAGAAGAGGTTGATCCTGAAAAATCTCTGCTATATAGAAGAAGCATGCTCCAAAAAATATGAAACAAGTGCAGTCTTTCTTAGAGAACTGTTCCTGGTATAAAAGATTCATACAAAAGTTTTCAGAAATAGCTAAACCTCTAAACCAGGAGTTCTCAAAGTTTTCAAATTCTGTACCACATAAATACGAAACAAAAATATAAGTACCGCTACAAAAGCATTAAAAATCAATGCATCCTAAATGAAGTGCATATAATCAAAGAATAAAAACCTTTAAATTTATATTATTTAATTATATTTGTAAATGAAACTTTTACATTACAATAAAACATAAATAAGTGTACTAGTAGTATATATATAACAATTGTGGTAAATAGTGAGTAATAATACATATATTAAGCAAATAATATAGTTGTACAAAAAGCAAAGAAGACACCTGAGTTACAGGGCCAACATTGACAAGACACGCTTAAAAAATATATATACATTTTGTCTTTTTGACATTTTAGATATTACAAGGTTTAAAAAAATGGTGAATGTTGTGAAATTTAGTCAGTTTTCTTGGAAAAGTCATGTTTTTAACATTAAAGCTAGAGCTGTACAAGTCGAAAACTTGAAAAATATATGTGTTTCTGAATAATAAAGATTAAAACAAAATGCTAAAAGGGGTGCAATTTAATATTTATTTAATTTTTTTCTGTAAAAATTGTACCACTAAAAATATTGTAATATACCACCCATGGTACATGTACAACAGTTTGAGAACTGGAGCTCTAAACAATCTAATTAAGAATCATGTACGCTGGATACTGGGACCAGAGGAAGAAAACTCTTCTCAGACATTAAAATAACTTCTCATTAGCCACCCCATCTTAAAGCAAAATGGTGCAATAGAGCCTTACATTATTCAAATGGAGGCTAGTAACCATGCTTTGGGTGCTGTAATAGTATGAATAAATTCTGTGGTTATATGAATGGTCAAGAGATAATGGTGGCAACTGATCACCAACCACTGAAATGGATCTTACGCTTAAAGTCACCTATGGGCAGACTCGCTACATGCACCATGCAATTACCATTCTATAATTTGAAGATGGAATACATCCCTGGGAGAGCAATTTTGTAGTCGATATGTTGTCATGCCCTGTGTGCAATCACACAGGAGAAACATGTGAAGTTTGTGTGATAACCATTAATATGCCAACTAGAAGTGCAGCAGAAATCCATGGAGAACAGCTGAAGGATACAGATCTTAAAAAAAGATCACGGAATCTTTCAAAATCAAAATATTAAAATCTTTCCAGTTAGACAAGACGAGGTTATCTTATGAATTAAGTAATTTTGTATTGCTATTCCCCAGATTTTGATCCAGAGGAAGTTCAACAAGTAGTACCAATACATGAGTGAGAGAGAATTTTTAAGTAATATATTACTATTCTCCTAGAGCAGGATATTATGGTGCTGAAGGGATATACCCCAAATTTTCCCAACAGTATTATTTTACAAAAATATACAAATACATTGTATTTTACATTAAAAAAAAAAATGTCCTGAGAGCTGTTACAAACCTACTGTTGTACTACAGAGCAACAATTACCAACCTGTTCTTGCTCCAGAGACATCCTGACTAATCCTGGCAGTAGTCAGGATGACTCTGGAGCAAGAACAGGAAGCTATAACAAATTTAAAAAAGAATATAACTTTTCCCTCTTCATTCTTAGGTTAAATTCGGAGGGACTTTGCTCTCCTTTCCTAAGATTTGATTTTGGATTGTGTCATTGTTAGTGGACAGAAAACGACAATTCTGTGATTGTCTTGTGAAAGTGCAATGACATAACATTACACAAATTACCTCTAGCTGTAATACATCTGTTTGCGATTCATTTTATGTCATATTTAAAAGTAAATATTTTACACAGCATTTGTCAAGTACTTGTTATGATGAAAGAAAATTTACACTCCTGCTGCAGAGTGCAATTCTTTATTTGTTTGTGATGTGTTAATATAATCAACTGCTGAAACTTTTGCAAAATTCAGAAGTGTAGTGATATGCAAATTTTCTCATTAAAATACTGAAGAAAAAGTTTTTAATATGACAATTTATGAAAGCTAACTGATTAAGAAAAGACAAGTGAAACCTATCTATCTTAGGAACACATTTGCTGAGGAGGATTTCTTGGGAAAACTACTTTTTAATTGTTTTAAGCACGAGTTAAAATTTCATGGATAATTTTGACAATTATTTAATGATAAAATAAGTAACGACAAACAATGAAAGCAAATTACAATTAATATTCCCTTAACATACTTCTCATGATTTAGTCTATCTTGAACCAGATGCAGAACATTGTGGACAGTCTCAGAATTAATAAGGTTGCATACACATGTTAATGCAAATAACACTTCCATGTAATTAGAGCTACAAAGATCCTAAAAAAAAATAAGACTTCATGAATTTTCCATTTAATTATTCTTACATTTTTGTTAATCATTTCAAAACCGAAATATAACTTTGCATAACATACGTTGTTATAAGTAAAACTAAAGCATTAAAGTTTGATATTCCATTTGTTTGCAATATTATTCAAGTTTGATGAGTCATCACTGCTCACACTACACTTATTTACCTCTTTCGAGACAATGCTACAATGGTAAATAAGCATCAATACGCCAGTTGCTACTATTCAATACACTATAATTCTGAATTTTCAAAGGATTTTGTATTTTTCCATACAGATGTTTTGTAAATTCTTTAACAAAGAATTTCAGGAAAGTTAATGAGAAGAGTCAAGCTACAAAGAAAATGGTAAAGATCACCATACAGGTGAAAAAAAGAGATTGTTGATAAGTATGAAGATCTGGGACTTGTCTATTGCATACTGTATACCTAATATGATAATCCTTACAATTGTGAAAAAGAAAGCCACGATTAAATCAGCTTACACTGCAAAGGGGGGAATAAATTTCCAGACAAGAACTTATACATTACAGCATGTTGAAAAATTGCTTTTGATCTGGATAGCAGGAAAATATTTATGTACAGTATGAAGTGCAGTGCTTCATTTAGGTACAACATATATATTTTATCCAGGGCATATGTATTTTAGTATTAAAGAGTATTACAATAATAATAAAAGGATTTTTTTATAAGAATGGATTAATTATTTTCCCTTTATTTCTAATCGCAAAAGTTTGTTTAGTATACATCCGAGAACCTGGAATGTATTAATGATACCTTCCGAAGTACCCCAATAGCTAAATATATGTATGGCATTATTATGCAGAAAAATAAAATGAGGGGAAAGTGCAGTTACATTAAAATAATCATGCACACATACTCTGGGGATATATGAATGCTTAATGAAGAGTACGTAAAAAAATTATAATTATTGAAAAAGAAAGCTGAATATTTAAAAAGTTTTAATCTATTTTTGAAAAAAAAAAGGGGGGGGGAAGCAACTGCAAAGATTTCCAGTGAGTATTACTGACCAAAATGCATATAAAATCAATATAATTAGTTATAACTAGTCCCTCTCACACCGTCATATTACTCGACTCCTTCATATGTAGCCACTTTGTTCTTCATTCTCATCACTGCATTATCATATAAAATGATTGATATAACCAACCATATTTTTAGTACTAAGGAAATCCTCAAATCAATTATACAGTTCTTTTTCTCTACTGTTTTGTCATTCATAATAGTCCAAGGACAGAGTTTTGGGTACAATCGCATTATCTACCTAACCTCGACAAGAATCAGTGAGCAAAGGACTATGTCACCAAAGTTAGGCAACCAAGAATTTTGTGGAATTGTATTTATCTGGCAACCCACTAATGGTTGTGCATGCATAACGTCAATATGTAATGCTACCATCTATCTTGGTAGTGGTGGTAGTAATTTGTTCAGTTTTGAAATTCGTGGGTCATGTTTGTGGTGATTAGTGTGTCAATTTTTTTGTCTTGTAATGAATCACAATGCCATTGAGGAGATTGCTGCTGATGCAAAAGAGAAAGTGTTGCACTTTTTTACAAATATGGCATTTTTGGTAGTAATACAGGGTACAGGAATCCACACTCCATGAAGTTAATTTGTACAGTTCTCCAACTTTTTTTAAAGTTAAAAACAGGTTGAAGTGTAAATGAAGAGCAGTTCTAGATAGCTCTGCAATGCCAAGAATTCTGAAATTTTCTGATGATTTTTTAAGTTAAAACAGATCGCTGTGCACATGAACAGAAGATTGAGAAAACAGAAAGTTAAGTATTTTTTCATGAATGTTTGTTGTGTTTTTAATTTAATTAATTTGTTGCAATTTTATGAAATTTTGAGCATTTCATTATGGAAGTTTCTTGCATTTTTAATTTTGTTAATTCATTGCTGTTTTATATAATTTCCATTTTTAAAAATGGTTACGGTTTTCCATGCATTACGTTGGTGAAAAATAAATTGCCAACGATTGCCGACTTTGCGGGAGAGCTGGGTGGATAAGGCTCATATCACACGCCGTTTGTTTCACACGAACAACTGTTTTGGACAATTTTTTCTGCCTGGTTTACTATTGAAAGAAAGACGTGTGACTTTTCCTTCCTTTCCAAAAAAACTGCAGGTTGTTCGTTTTCAACCAATCAGCTTGTTTGTAATGGGGAACCAGTTTCCCCTGCGTTGACCCCAAAGCGATCTGTGTTGATTGGCTGTTGTGACAAAGCAGAAAAATTGTTCCAAACAGTTGTTCTTCCGAAACAAACCGACGTGTGATAGCAGCCTAATGCAAGAGTACCAAGTTTTGCTTTAAACTGGCATGTGCTCTTTTCAAGTTGTTAAATATAAAATGCTGTTCACATAAAAATGGATAAGTAACTAAAAACAAGTTCTTTATCCATAGCTGAAAGTATTACGTATAACAACTGTCATCTATCATCTGCGCTAAGAGCTTTTTTGAAGATTGCACATTTTAGTTAAGCTTGTAGATAACTATTTCATATTTTTTCAAAAATAAAGAAACTCAATTCAGGAATCCAGAACAGTTTCATATGTTTTCAAGTTATCCGCCAAAAGTATATAAACAAAGCATATGAATGATTTGACACATTTTACAATCAAAAATGAATTTCAACTTACAGATAGAATTACAGAGAACAAAATAACCAATTTAAAAGGCTCATTCAAACTTTACTTTCCAAACAAGTGAGGAAAACAGGAGGCTGACTTCTTTAAAGCAGCCTTAAAATTATTGCTCTCTGAGGAAAGAAAAATTTATTGATTATATTTTTCTGAGTTTACTAATTGCAGTTCATAATTTTATGGCATTAAAAGAGTATGACAGTAAGATATATCGCAGGAACGCTGAAAGAGCATGAGGAAATCATAGGTTCTAAAAGCAAAAAAGTTAGGGGTATCTTATCATTATGAAGTCTTAAAGGTACCCAAAAGAATAAGGCTGGGAGTTACTGTTACAGAAAATAAAATGCTGATTTATCAGCATTTTAGTATACTTTAGTATATAATAATAGTCTACATCAATTTAATGCATAATTTATCACACCACTTATTAATTACTTCAGTATTTTTTAATTTAATTTTTTTCGGTAAAAATCTGCATCTTTCACATAAAGTTCTTCAAATTAAAAGATAAAACTATATACTGTACCACTTAAATCTAACAACCATGGACCTAATTATTGCTGAGCCAAAGAAAAATCACAATCCATGCCTTGTAGCAGAAAACCATGTGCCTGAATCCTATATTTGCTTGCTCATTCCAGACACAGACTACTACGATTCAAGTGCTACTGGCTCCCATAGCCTTGGGACTAGGTTTAAATCAAAGAGAAGGCATGGATATTTTAGTAAGGCATGGAGGCACTTAAAATATGGTAGGTAACCATTCAAACCCTTAAATGGTTTGGCACTAGGGAAGGAGGAGTGGGAGACTCTTGGATCCATCACCTAAGATGCTCTCCACCAAAACTGAGGTGAAGCTGCACAGCAAATACAGTGGGACTACTGTATTTGCTGTGCTTGTATGACTAGTGGTGAAGTTCTGGTATCCTACACCTTTTTATCTGTACTTCTAACTTCAAAGTTAAAATAAAGCATGAGACAAGAAGAAATAAACTCATTAAATGTTATAAACAAAGTTCAACAACTTTAAACTTTTCTGGTTTTTATTTTGAGCAAAATATTTAAAACCTCCTCTTTTTGTTTTTTTAATTGATGCACAGCTGACAATCCATGGCACACATATACTGTCTTATCTTTTCAAGCACTGACTGTTCAATTTTCTCAACCTTTTGGTTTGTTAGCTGATATTTTGAAGAGCTATAATACCAGTGGCGTAGATAGGGTGGGGCAAGGAGGGACATCTGTCCCCAGGTGCAGTGATCCAGGGGTGCCAAATTCATGTTATGAAATTTTAGAATGAAACATGTTTTATTCTTGGCACACAGAAAAGGGCGCAAGATCTTCAGTTGTCCCAGGGCGCTGAAAACCCTAACTATGCCTCTGTATAATACAGTAGAATATAAGAAATTAAAAGGAACACTCATAATGTAAACAAATATTGAATTGCTGTGTAAACAGACATTAAATCCTATTGCAATGTAAACAGATACTGAATCAGAATAGAACACTATTGCAATGTAAATAGATATTGAATCCAGAGTGTTACCAGTAATACCATACTTATGATAAGATTAAAAGGTACTTTTCCGTTTTGCTGGCGCAAAGATAAAGTCACCAATAATGGTACAACTAATGCCAAACGAAATATCTTCGCTGGTAACCTTTTATGATTCATTTTCAAAACAAGTCGCAGCTGTTTCTTATCAGATTGATTGTTTCTTTCAATACTGGCATACACTTACATAGAATTTTTACAAAAGATAGTTAAATTTTATATCCTAAGATCATTTGCGGTAATTAAGTCAATTAGGACGCAATCGCACCAAAGGCAAAAATATAGGAAAGGCAAAATAAGGGTTAAATTCATCAATTCTAATGAGAATGCACTAGCGAAGTAAAGCACTGCGGTTTTACATAATTTCTGAGTAAGCTATTCGTACGAATTAAAATAAATCTTACATTTAAACTTGTATTCCAAATTAAGATTTAACTTGAAATTAATCTAGATAATTACTGAGAGAATTATATTTTTGTAGCATAGTTTATGTGATATGAGATCACTTAGGGTCATGTGATATGAACCGGAGAATCAGGATGTTGAACCATGAAAGCATAGTAAATTCTTAAATTAATGTCTTTTTACAAATTTATTGTCTTTATTTATTTGCTTTTTACAAAATTTTAAATCATATTAATAAGTTTATGCCTTCAAAATAAAAAATTCTTAGAACTAAAATTTTTTATGTGTATACTGTATGCTGTCACCAACAAAGCCTGCTTGGCGAAATTTGCGCCGGCGAAACAAAAAAGTACCGATTAAAAAAATATTGACGGCCAATATAAAACTTGTTGGATCAAGGAGCCACCAGACTACAACAGTACTTAAAAAAAAAAAAAAAAAAAAAAAAAAAAAAAAAAAAAAAAAAAACAGTACTCCTGTTCTTAAATTATCATCATTAAACTATCATCATTGCATTAGAGATATATAAAATTGAGATAAATATGAAAACAAAACATTTTAAATTTATGTAGTTTTTCTGAACATATCATTTTCACAGTTTCTAAATTAAAGGCTTAGTAATGGAACAGAAATGATTGGAATTTAAAGGGCATGCCATGCATGAATTTAGAAGTTATCACTATTTTTCAGAAGTTTAGCAACCTTCCTAATATAAAAATTTATAGCTATTATACCGATATCAATAACTGATAGCATAAGAAGAATTCTATGATTCAACTCTCCACCCAGGAAGACCTTTCAGTCAATCTTCCCTGTTGTGCCATTGCAGTGTACTGTTCTCTAATGTTCCACATTTTGTACATAGTGTTAGTAAATTATGGAGTCGTATGTTTATCTACGTAATATACACAGTTTGCAAAACCACACAAGCCTTTCAATATGACCGCATGATGAAATTAATATATTCAGTTAAGGAAAATATGGCAGAACAACACAACTTTCTGCTAACAAAAATATAGTTTTTTGATGTCAAAGTATTAGTTTAAGGAGAGAAGGGAAAATGGGCATAAAAACATGGTAATGAAAATGTCTTAATGTCTTTTTTCACCAAATATTTGCCATAACAATGTAACCAAAGATAATCTAAAGTACCTTGAAGGATAAATTCAATTCATAAACGAAGAATTACTTACTTTCTGCATGGTATTTATTAATAATATCACCAGTTCATGATGAGGATGAAGAAAGAAAGATGTTGCTAAATACCCTAAAAATTTCAATACAATATAACTGTTAGAAACTTTATATATTATGCAAAAATTTTTACTAAATTGGAACAATGTGGGAAAATGTTTTTTAATGCCAATCTAAGATAGTGAAAAAATAAAAACATCATTCATTTAAAACATTCAATTATGATTTTCCAAATGATTTATTCCAATTATTTTTGCACACTGACATATTCTTTTCTTTTTAACCCTCTAAGCGGCAAAGCCGTATATATATATATATTTATTGTGATATCTGTAAGAACATATATATACGTGCATATTAAAATATGTCAGGAAAATTAAGGCAATTTATCAAAAGAAAACAAATCCAGGCATGAAATACCAGGAGAGGTTTTGCATTAAAATCAAAAAAATAATTTGTTCTCATAGTAGTTTTGTAAAATTTGTGCTTTCTTAGCGAAAACCCTGGCTGCCCAGAGGGTTAAAATTGAAAATTAGTGATTTTTCATATGTTCTGTGAGTACATCTTCTTTCCCTTTTCTTCATTAAAAACATTTTAACAATATTAATTAAAAAAAAGTTAAAGAACATTATTTCAAAACAAAATTCATTCTTTAAATTGAAACATTAAAAGTAGTTAAGATAAAAATAATAAATATTTACCAACCTGTGTGTTTCTCTTGAAGATTTCCCTTCTGTGCAAGTTTTATACTATGTACGTAAATGAAAGGGGTAGAATATCCCATAGTCTCACAAATAAAGCACATTTTTACCATATTTTCCACCTCAGCCTAAGTATTTAATAAAAATAATAAAAGTACCAAGTAATAAAAATAACAAAAGTAAGAAATTTATTACAAAGGAATATTTTAGTACAGTTCTTAATGGAAAGACAAAAAATAACATAGGAATAGCATAATTTCAAACTTTCAAAAATTAATATCATCTATTAAGAGAAACATATTTAAAAAGCAAAAATTTTAGTGTTGAAAATTTTTAAATATCACTGATACAGGAATCTTATAATAAATTAATTATTTCATCACAGTAAAACCTTTTAAACTTGAAGTAAACTTTAAAATGAAGATACAAATTAATAAAATCATATCAAAATCAAATCCTCTAATATAGGAAAGTATGGTTAAGGTCCCAAACATAAGTGAGCAAAGTTGTCAACTTAATTTAGCTTTGCATATTTACTTGAGCTAGTTAAGATAATTGTGGGATTACATCCTTCGTGTTCTATTCTTTACAAAGTGAGTGAGTAAGAGAACAAGTTTGACAGAAACGATTTTTTAGATTCATATTAAATACTGATCTAAAGTCATACTGACTCAGTTCAGTCCCAGACAGGCAGGCCTTTTCAAGTACCTCAGGATAGGGGATGGAATTTTCAATTCATCTCTTATGCTGAAACCACCCAACACAACTTTAAATAGAAACCTTGTTTATATTATTTCTACCCTTCCCCCACAGCTGAACAAAACATACTTTGAAATAAATATATATGCCTAAAAATTCTTAATGATATCATTTCAGTGATAAATCCACAGAAATGAAATGCTCCTATATGTTTCTCCCAAAACCAGATGGCATAAATTCATGACAACACACTAGTCTTGAACCTAATTTTCAGATTCAAGATAAAAAGGTTTTATGAATTAGTGAGGTTAAAATAGGCAAAATTTGTTGTGGCTTATCCTCCTTGTCTGAACTAATCAGAACAAATCAACAAATTTTACTGTGAGAAGGAATGCAAGATCGCATCTATCATTGGCATGAGATTTGCATACCATATAGGTGGCAGTACAGCTTTGCCCAGCTCCGTCCCAGTTTTGATAGAGATCACCCAGAGGCATAGGTTTAAGCATCTCCCACCCCTTTTTTCAAAACCATTCATGAAGACTTTCAGCTTGCTCTGCATTCTGAATGCCTATCATGACACGCAAACACTATACATTCACAAACGTTGATGCCTTTTCCGAGATTCAAATCCAAGCTCAAGGAACAAGCAGCAACCAGGAAGACTAACCACTATGCCAATCAAACTTAATGTTCATCTTATAGGAATTATGGTTTGGATGAGTATTTATCACAATGGGTAACTAAATTTTATTTTGTTCAGCCAGATTTAAATCAGTTCAAAGTGAAATTAATTCAGAATAGCATATATGGAATATTCTACAATAATTTCTTAAGTATGATCTCTCCAGAATGTATCTGAAAGAAAATATAGTCATGTTAAAACTTTTGAAAGAATTCATAGCTATGAGTGGTCATGGTTATAGAAAATAAAGGTGGTATAAATCTTAATTACAGTCCATGATTTCATTGTGTAACGTTTTTGGTCTGATCAGCTAGAGATCTATGGATTAAGAGTAATCTATCTACAAGTAACGAGTAAGTCAGCAGTTTTGATTTCAAAATAAAATGTCTTTTTTTTTTTTTTGAGATACTGTAGAATAGTTTTGAGGAAAAATTTATATTATTTATGTATTGTGTTAAGAGGATTTTGAGAACAATTATTTTATTATTATCACCTTTTGGTAGAATACGAATATAATGTTGATAAAAGGTGCACTCAATGAAGATTTAATGCTACTGTCTTTAGAACTAAATATAGAATTAAGTGAAAGATTATTGTTGCTGATTTAAATCTAGCAATTCAAAGTAGTAAAGCTTTTAAATATAATCCAGATTTGGTCATAGAGTTGGATATTTCTAGAGCACTGTAACTCTGAAGAAGCTAAAATATTACAATTAGAATAAATTAAATTGGAGAGATGTAGAACAGAACTGGAAATTGCTCGATTACGAGCTGAAAGCAAAACTGATAATAATGGTCAAAACGAAACTAAAGGAGAAAATTCTGATGCCTTAGATTCCCTTATTAAAAGTATAAGAAAGCTAACATTGAAGGTTTCAAGTAAACATGAAAACTGGAATTATTTTTTATCTTCTTTAGAAACGGCTTTCATAACAAGAAATGTGCCTCAGCAGAAATACTGCTAAACTTGTTAGGAGAATATGCTTCAAATATTATCACTTATATAAGAGATAAGGATATAAGTGACTACGGAAAAGTAAAAGGTGATGTTCTACAAGAAATTTGAACTTGCGTCACAAACTACTTTAAAGAATTTAAAAAGGCTCAACACCTAAATGAGTCCATGTCGCGATTAACAACAAGTTCTAAATATTACTTAAAATTGAGGAAAGTGTCTGATTTCAAAACACTCAAGCAGTTAATAAAATTGTTTGAGACATTAGACAGAGAAACATCAGCCCATATTTCTGTAAGGCAAGCAGAAAGTTGGTTTCCTCCTTAACAAATGGCAAAGGAAGCACATTTTTTTTTTTTTTTTTTCCCCACATTCCACGGAAAGTCCCGTAATGAAAGTGTGAACAGCTTTAAAAAATCTTGCAACAATAATAAAACCTCAAAAAATGTTTCAAATGTATTCTTTGCCTATGTAAAAGTTTTAAAATGTGTTTTTTGTGAGGAAAATCATTTCTTGGAAAAATGCCCAAATTACTTGAAGCTACCACTAAATGATCAAGTTGAAATAGTAAAACACAATAAATTGTGTTTTAATTGCTTAAATAATTCGCATTCTGCATCTAGCTGCAATTCAAAAATGTCATGTTCTTGTAAAAAATGACATCATAACACCTTGCATTTCCTGAAGCAGACCTTGTCTTTCAACTGGGCCAATAAGTGTGTTTCAAATCAAAATTAAAAAGGAAAAGTCCAGACACCAATACAGATAAAAGGGCAACAGTGAAGTGAAAATATAAACACCAACTTGAAGGTTGCACCTGCAGAATTTGTACCTAAGAGCTTAGCTTTCATGAGTCATAATTTGCAAAAAAGAAATACAATTTTATTGAGCATAGCAGCTTGTTATTTATCAAATCAGGCAGGAAAATGAGGTTAAATTACAATGTGTGCTTAGTTCTCAATGCTCCTTTTTATCACGGAGGTGTACAAATTTATTACAATTAAGGAAAGAGAAAACTAATGCAAATATATCAGCTTTAAATGGTGCATCTTTAACAGTGAAATGCAGAGTGAATGCATCAGTAAGTAATCAGGATAAAACTCATATAAGAAATTTTGACTTTGTGCTGAAAATAACTACAGATGTAACTGCATCTAGGAAAACTGATATTTGTATTCAGGAGTTTAACAATGTTAAATTAGTGGATAATAAATGTTACATACCAGAAAGAGTAGATATGCTCTTGTGTGCAGAAGTATTTTATGAATTGTTATGACCAGGGTAATAACAGGTAAAACATTCAAATCTTTTCCTTCAAAACACTGTGTTAGGGTTTGTGGTTTCTGGTGGCACGGTAAAAGATAACACAGTTCATTATGGCAATACATGCAACAGCAAGACTTAAATTATATTAAACAGCAATACATGAAGAACATTATATGCAAACTCATAAGTGAAATGAAGACAGATGATACATTGTAACAATGCCACTAAAGAAAGATCCTATTAGCTTATGAAATTTAAGAGATTTTGCCCTTGAAAGGTTAAATTCACTATGGAATGATTAGTGAAAGACCATGAATATTAATATCTGTATCAGGGTTTCCTTAAAGGAGTACGAGGAACTTGGGTATATGACTGAGAAAGGTGAGCCAAGGCTAGTGTACTATATGCCACATCATGGGATATATTACCCTCGAAAAACAACAACTAAATTGCATACTTGCCAACCTATGACACTCAAAAATCAGGAGATTTTTCACAATGTTAAAAAGACTTTTTAAATGATAAAAATATAGTTTTTAATAATGAATTAACTTTAAATAGTTACTAAGTCTTAAATGCAAGCAAAACAAAAATACCTTAGACATAAAAAACATTTTATTACTTTCATCTTAAAAAAAAAAAAAAAAAAAAAAAAAAAAAGGCACTTTAATCAGTTTTCATGAAAGAAATTTCATAATTTTGTTCATAGCAATTGCCACGTAGGCCTGCTTTCGTTAATAAAAGTTTTTCTAATGTGTCATCACTAATATTAGGTCTAAATTTAGTCCTTCGTTTTCGCAACAACACTGAAAATCCTCTCACACACACTCCGCATTACTATGGGGGGAACTGTCAAGATGGCCAACATAATTCTAGAGAGTTCACTATATTTTAAAATTCCATCAGCACCTTTCAATTTTCCAATTAACCTCCACTGGGTGTCAATCCTAGCTGATTTTATAACTTCATCCAAGTTTTCTAATTGTAAACTGCAAAATTGCGACTGCAATATATCAGTAGCAACATCAATATCATCACCTTTCATGACTAAACGAAGTAACACAGGAAATCTGTTCAAAAAGTACCTTATATCAAAAAAAGATGCATTTGCTAGAGCAGAAGCATCAGCAACTTTAGCATGCAAAATCACTTCATCTTTGACTGGAAATTTATGTAATATGTAATCACATACTCGACAGAAGTAACTTCTAACATGAAGATAAAACTTATTTTTGTCTTCTTCTGAAAGTTCTTCCACTACTTTTGTAGTTGCAGCTCCTATTACCAAATCTTCATCTTCCTTCTGATTTTCTGTTTTACCATAAATCACATCATATATAGAATTACAAGACAAAACACAGACTGGTTTTACAAACTTTGATAAAATGTCTTTAAACAGATTATAAATCATTGATTGCAAAACATGAATTAATGGAATTCTGCTTTGTAGAATTGTGTTCAGAACATCGAATGATGGCAAAATGAATTGTAAAAAAAAAAAAAAAAGCAAAAAGCTTTGTTAA